AGGCACGCACGCGAGAGACCCGACCGATCGACAAACGTGCGAGCAATTCGATCCGTGGGACCGAATCGGGCAGGGGGATCTCTCGCGATATCGATCGATAGCGATCGAGCGCCGGCGGCCACGCGAAACATGCACGGTCGTTGATTAGCTACGAGAGCCTACGACTCTAGCAAGGCATAGGCACACGGACCACTGGCGCCGCGCCGGGCGCGCGCGCGGTGCCGGGTGGCCGATCGGCTAGCTATAGGCTGCTGCATGCTGGATCGGAAGGGAATAATCTTAGGTCGACTCCAGATCGACGACTTAGGTAAGCATATGCATGGGAATGTCCGTTTGCTGCTGGATGGTCCAGTAGATGGTCCTATAGCTCGCAACGTACGTACTGCCATTACCAGAAGGAATGGAATGCGATCGATCGGTCGATTTGCCGGAACACTGCAATTAATGCTGCATTTGAGCAAGTTCAATAGTATAGCCAACTGTTGGCTCTAAATCATATATAGCCAATTTAATAGCCCATTCATATAATAGTTATCTATAAAAATATACACATTATTAATACCTAGTCTTACCTCTCATACACTCATAATGTATTAGAGTTCGTGTTGCAGCCGACTTCAAATCTGTAGCCCGATTTCTTCTCTCTCTTCTCTTTTCTTCTCGATATGTGATTATAGCTGGCTTATAGCCTGCTATTGTACCTGCTCTTATGCTCTTGCGACTTGCGAGGCCGGTTTTTGGTTGCTATTGACTTGATTTTTAGTCTTTAATCTATTTTTTTTCCGTTTGAAGAAAAAAAATAAAAGCATTATTTATCCTTTTTATTACATAGAAGATGCACACACATCTCAACACACGCGTTCAAAGAGACAAAGACTAATGGTAGATTTTTTTTTTACTTTAATCCATACGGTTCTGACCTTTTAATTAGATAACGATATGGACTTCAAAATATATTCTTTGACTATAATTTTTTTATTGTGCATATAAAAAGTAAGTAATTATTTAAAATATTTTTAAGACTAACATATGTATTACATATCATGTTCTAGTAGTCTCTTCAATCCAAAAACTATTAGCAATTAAAGTTTTAATTGTTTGACCTCTGTCTAGTTTAAAACATCAAGAATTACGAAACTGGATGACTGTAGTACTAAAATTTGAAAGTTGTGTATCACTCCTTATTTGGTTTCTCCTACATTACTCGATTTTTTTTTGTTTCAGAATATACCATCTGAAAACTCAAAACTGCATGTGCTATTATCTTTTACTTTTATGCTCCCAATTCATTGTGTGCATTTATTGTGTAAACAACGATCCGACATTTATTGTACCTCCCAATTCTTCCCTCCTCCCATCTATCCACATCCACTATCCGTGGAGTCGCTTTAGTTAGGACGATAGCATCGTTTTGTATTGGGATGACAGGAATGCATGCATATCTCACACTTCTGAAAGCTCGGACGCACTAAACTAAGGATTGATTAGAAAGAGTGGTGAGAAGAGGAGAGAAAAGAAAAATGTGCCTCCATAAAGCAATATATGGGCCGGTAATGTTTCTGATTTATAGGATAATTTAAGAAATGTTTTGTGTGTTATGGATGGGTCGTAATCTAAGGGCCCCTTTGAATCACAGGAATGAAAAAACGGAGGATTAGGAAAAACATAGGATTCTGACAGGAATGTAAGTGTAAAACAGCGGATTGCAAAACACAGGAAAAACATAGGAATGACCGTTTGATTGGACCACAGGAAAAACACAGGAATTTGAGGAGAGATAGACTCAAATGATTTCTTCCATGAGGTTCTATCTCTTGTTAAAATTCCTCCAAAACTTGTATGGGAAGAGGCATTCCATAGGAATTTCATAGGATTCCATAGGGTTTATTCCTTTGATTTAAAGGGCTTTGTAGGAAAAAAAATCCTATAGGAATAAAATCCTCTAAAATTCCTATGAATTTCCTTTGAATCAAAGGAGGCCTAACTATACGTCGTAGGTGGGTTAAAATTTTATTCTGTTTCAAAGGTGTATTCTTTATTTTTTCACAAAAGCGCAAAAGAAATGCACGTAAGTATAGCAGTAGAAATAGTGTTTTTTCTGTTATATAACGCAATTGACCAGACTGGCCGTTAAGGTGTATTAATTCTTTTATTAATTGGCATATTTTGATATGAATCATCATGCAAAAAATAATACATTTGACCAGCATCAATTTGTTTAAAACAATCCAGATAAACTAAGTAAAACATATTACCTGGTGCCATGAAATCTTTTTATGAACGTTATATTATACTCCCTCCATATTTTAATGTATGACGCCGTCGACTTTTTATCTAACGTTTGACCATTCGTCTTATTCAAAAATTATGTAATTATCATTTATTTTATTGTGACTTGATTCATCATTAAATGTTCTTTAAGCATAACGTAAATATTTTCATATTTGCATAAAAAAATTTAAATAAAACGAATGGTCAAACGTTAGTTAAAAAGTTAACGGCGTCATACATTAAAATACGGAGGGAGTACTATATACTAAAGCTGAAGTAAAAGAAATGCAACATGAAAAAAAACATTTCGGTGAGCTTGAAACATCAGTGTGGGCTGATTGATTACGGCAGAGCGTGCAAGCAAAACTAAAGCCGCAGAAATGCTTTACGTATTTTGAGATGAGGCTGGGAAATTAAAAGGTATGTCGTCACTTGAATTTTGAAGTGGAAATCGGTACTACAAACAGTACACTTTGTGCTGTACGTTCAGACCACGCAACATATCACAGGTACTGTACGTATATATACGTGCGTACAACACAAGTTGATAATCGATCATGACCTCCTTGCATTGGTCCCTATAGCTAACTCAATGTCTTGGATCGATCAACAGTATAACAACTTATAGCTCGCGCATGGCTAGCTGGTTCTTTCCATGTACGTTTGGTACATGATTGGTGCACCCGTATCAAGTTGCAAATCCACAACATGCTCGCGATCAATTGAGAAATGGACCACTCACTCAGTTCACACACCATGTATGTATATATATATATATATATATATATATATATATATATCCAATCAAGCCCTCTATAGTGTGACTAGTACTGTCTCGATTTATTTCTTCTTGATGAACACTCAATTTTTTTTTTTGCTTTTATGAACACTCAACTATCTTATATCTCAGCCAACGATTGAGCCACATGCTTACCCTTACATCATATTACTTGAATGTTGGCGTTTGATCCTTATTTGGTGAAGCTCGAGATTCTGAGTAGCGGTGAGAATTAGTTTAAAAGGACATGGATTTTAAGCTTTGTATTCTAAATTCTACAATTACACTAAATACACATAATTAATTTTAAAAATAAGCTGCAACGGCTAGAATCTCTAAGCCACGGATATCTCAGAGCTAATACGCCCGACTGCAGGATGCGATCATATCCGGATCACCTTTTATACCTATACCTATATAGAGAGCTAGATTTAACCTAGCTCGCACGACCAAGCACGTGTACGCACTACGCACTCTCTACCGTGAGTTAATTCGCGCGCGTGCATTAACTGGAGTCTGGAAATGGTCTCTGCTGGCCTGGCCGGCCGGATCGACCCGGGCGGCCCCGCGTCGCATCATGTAACAACTCTCACAAGTCGCTCGTATCCCCACCCGCCAACCATGTCTTGTCCCTCACGTGCGCGCGAGCACGTACATGTGAGAAAATACCATGTCCTCCGCTCCGATTCCCCAGCGCGCGCCCCTCGCCCGGCCGAAACCAATGGCCGAATTCTGGTGGGCGTGGCGTGCGGTGCAGCGCCGCAGGGGTCGTCGTCGGATGGGAGAGTGTTCGGAAAAAAAGGCGAAAAGGCGCGGACGCAGCGTATCCTGCCGCGATCCTGTGCAATCGAGGATGTGGATGGACACAAGCGACGGTTTGCTGTTTGCATTGATCTCTCTCCCGTTGTTCTTGCCGTTAGGTGGCGCCTAGCGAGCTACGGTTGGAGCTAGCTAGCCATCCACGCAAGCAGCCTAGTATGAGATATACGGAGCATGTGTGTGCGCAAGCCTGCAAGGCCATCCAGCCGCAGCCATGCCTTTTGTTGACACACTGAAACCGAGATGTTGACCATCAGCTGCTGTTATTACTACTAGCACACTGCTAGTTGCACATCTTTCTCCTTTTTAGCTGAAGATTTGGTGCAGCTCGTACTTTGGTAAAATGCCTTCCTGATCCCGCAGAAAGCGAGCGGATTCGGGGTAAAGCTCGATGCTGCTGTAGATTCTCCCCATCTGCATGCTCTAACGAAAGGTTGGTCAAGATACGGAAACGGGAGAGGATCTGGATTTCTTTTGGTTAACTACCTGATCTCATCTCCCTAAAAAAGCTAGTTAGCGACTCTAAGATTGGATTATAGTACGTACATTTGGGCCTTCCCTCGAGTTAACACGCCTAAAGAACTCATCTAGAAAGTTCATCGCACATGGCAGCACCAGGACGGGGAGCCGGCCGGGCGGCGTACATACGTCGCCTTAGATCCCATTTGCCAATTTGGATCATATCGATCAAAGTGAACTAACCCAGCCAGAATGCAAGAGGAGAAGTGAGATCTTGTTATCTCTGAACCTCTTGTCGTTGGTTCAGTATGATATAAATTCAGGCCGATCACTCGATCCCCGATTTGTTTCCCTTTTTTCTTTTGCGATTGGAGTACGGATCTAGTTGGGCGTGGCTAGCTGCCTGCCTGGCTTAGCTGTAATTCCGAATTCTGCACCGGCCATCATATGCTGGGGCGGGCGAGTCAGGCGCGACCGCGCGAGATGTGCATGAGTCGTGGCGCGTCACGGGAGTTGTTTATTCAGGGGGGGCGGCCGTGTTGTGCTCCTGCGTCACTCAGCTTTTTCTCTCTCCTATCCTCCTCGGTCTCCCCCCCTTTCCCACTTTGTCAGTTCGTCACTCCACCACCGCCTCTCTCTCCCCGCCTCTCGCCTATAAATACCGCCCCCCTCGCCTCGCCACCAACACTCACCTCACCATCATCTCTTCTCCTCGTGCTCGTCACTCGCGAGCAAATACATCGCCATCTCTCCTCCTCCTCCTTGTCGTCATAGTGCACGCAAAGAAACACGGTTTGCAATGGCGTGGTGCTTGGTGTTCATGGTGTTCTTGATCTACTGCCTCATCTCGACTGTCGGGCTGCCGGTGGCGCCGGCCGACGAGGCGGCGATGCAGCTGGGCGGCGTCGGCGGTGGGCGGCTCAGCGTGGAGCCGTCTGATGTGATGGAGGCGTCCCTTGACTTTGGGCGGCTCACCAGCGCCGAGCCGCTGGCCGTGTTCCACCCGCGCGGGGCCGGCGACGTCGCCGCGCTGGTGAAGGCGGCGTACGGGTCGGCCAGCGGCATCCGCGTCTCGGCGCGGGGGCACGGCCATTCCATCAGCGGGCAGGCCCAGGCGGCCGGCGGGGTGGTCGTGGACATGAGTCACGGGTGGCGCGCGGAGGCGGCGGAGAGGACGTTGCCGGTGTACTCGCCGGCGCTCGGCGGGCACTACATCGACGTGTGGGGCGGCGAGCTGTGGATCGACGTGCTCAACTGGACGCTGGCGCACGGCGGGCTCGCGCCGCGCTCGTGGACGGACTACCTCTACCTTTCCGTGGGCGGCACCCTCTCCAACGCCGGTATAAGTGGGCAAGCTTTCCACCACGGGCCCCAGATCAGCAACGTCTACGAGCTCGACGTCGTTACCGGTGAGCACCAGACAAAACCTGTACAGCATCTCCTCAAACTTCTTCTTCCCCACCTCCTCGCCCCAACCAACCTTCCGCCATGCAAGCACACACGACAGTTATCCCTCGTAAGTTTCTGACGCGTGTCCGTCACCGCGATTCTTTTACAGGGAAAGGAGAGGTGGTGACCTGCTCGGAGTCCAACAACCCGGACCTCTTCTTCGGCGCGCTCGGCGGGCTCGGCCAGCTCGGGATCATCACGCGCGCGCGCATCGCCCTCGAGCCTGCTCCTCACAGGGTACACCCCGAAATCCCACCCAGCCCAGCCGTCACACCCACCACTGGCTGCGTACGTACGCACGCGCGACACAGTCACACACATCATCGGATCACCTCACTCTTCTCCTCCTTCCGTTGAGCTGATCGAGCGAGCGATATGATGGCGCCGCTAATCTACCCGTTCGCTCCCCGTGCGACTTTCCCTTTTCTCGGCGTCATCTCACTCTCCCTCCAGGGCTTGGCACGGAGCACGACGTGACGACGACCCCGTTCTTTTGCGTCACCGCCCTCGCTTTCCAACTAATGGCCCAATAGGGAACTGAGGCATCAGCGAGCAGCCATGCAAGTGGCGGCCGGGCGCGCCACGCCGCGCGAGGGAAAGCGAGCGATTGATGCGCGCTGCTGGGCTGGCTGATGGCCTCTCGGGGGATCTTTTTGTTAAGTACCGCAATTTCACCACATGTCGATCGAAACCCCACAAAGGGGCACGGGGCACCCAATTGAAACGTGTTGCCAATTGTGGCCGTCGCAAAGGAAAGTCACCGTTGGGAGCTGACACGTAGGACAGGATCGATCGACCAGCGACCGAGCAGGGGGTAGTGTTAACTTTATGTTGGGTCGCTGTTGAGGTCTACGGTCTCCGAGAAAAAGCGTCTGGAGATGGGATTTTTTTTTTTGTGTGCGCGTCGGGTCAGGTAGTGGACCAGGTTGGTTGGGAATTTGGGGCCGACCCGATGGATCGACCGAATAGTTTGTGCTGACCAATTGGTGGTCTGCTTATAAATATACTCTATATAGAAGCGTTTGGTTAGCTGATCGTGCGATCACTCACAAGATTTTGTTGTCATATGCAGCTCAATTAGCTAACTAATCCATGCTAACTAAGCGTGTGTGATCTAACGCTGATTAAGCTGTGTCCATATGATCGGTACGGCCCGTGGGTAATAATAATTTATTAATTTGTCGTTCTGACCTGCATTGCCAGGTTCGCTGGATCCGGGCGCTCTACTCCAACTTCACCGAGTTCACCGCGGACCAGGAGCGGCTCATCTCCCTGCAGCACGGCGGCCGGCGGTTCGACTACGTGGAGGGCTTCGTCGTCGCCGCCGAGGGCCTAATCAACAACTGGAGGTCGTCCTTCTTCTCGCCGCAGAACCCGGTCAAGCTCAGCTCGCTCAAGCACCACTCCGGGGTTCTCTACTGCCTGGAGGTCACCAAGAATTACGACGACTCCACCGCCGTAACCGTCGACCAGGTGCGTGTCCGTCGTGCCGGCGCGATCGCGCGGCCGGCGCCGTCTTTCCTGATTCACCAATAATTCTCTGCCTCCCCCCCTGACCGCCCATTTGTTTATGACGAAATTTCTTAATTATTCCTACTGGAGTAGTTTAGTACTCTAATGGCAGGGCACCTAGTCAATCATTGGGCCATGTTTTTAGTTAGTTATGGGCGGTTTAGTCAAGCTCTCTAGTGTAATCCAAGCCCTTGATGATTGTATGATTGCACCCACATGCTGAGCACAGTGGATCGGTGGATCTTGCAAACGTACTAGTAGCTGTCTAGATCTTAGTCCCACTGACAAAACATGCACTATTTTATCGACCACTTAATTAATCAATTAATTACGCAGTACTAGCTATTACCACTAGTATAGTACTATACGCAAGTGATGAAAAAGAAAGACGAAGTAGATCATTCTAAACTAGGAGTTTAAATAATTAGTTTCGATTTTTTTTTCCAGGACGTGGAGGCGCTGCTGGGCGAGCTGAATTTCATCCCGGGCACGGTGTTCACGACGGACCTGCCGTACGTGGACTTCCTAGACCGCGTGCACAAGGCGGAGCTGAAGCTCCGCGGCAAGGGCATGTGGGAGGTCCCGCACCCGTGGCTCAACCTCTTCGTGCCGGCGTCCCGCATCGCCGACTTCGACCGCGGCGTCTTCCGCGGCGTCCTCGGCAGCCGCACCGCCGGTGGCCCCATCCTCATCTACCCCATGAACAGGCACAAGTAAGCAGCTCGCCACACTCATGCCCCCATATACTATATCCAGCCAATCTACCTGTCGTAACAGTAATCCAGTAGCACTCGCGCCCGCAGCGTCACATGAAGCGCGGCCGTCCTCTCACATGCGGCGCAACACGGGAGGGCGCGGGCAGGTGGCCGATGGGCTGCGGCGTGCGCGCCCGCGCGCGCGCGAGAGAGAGCGTCCCATGATTGGCGCGGGATAAACAAATATACCTCCAGATGGGCAGCAGATTGCACAGGATGGATCGTGCTGCCGCCATACTTTAATTCCGAAACGCAGCCGCCGCATCTCCGGTGACTGGAATTGGCCGCGGACATACCGCGCACTAGGGCGACAGGGCCCTATTCTAATCGCTGCGTGGTGGCGCCATGCCAATGCTAGGAACAGAACAGAACAGACGGGGGGCGGGCGCATCATCAGTCACCTTCACCGCCTTGCGCCGACCGGTTATTCTAACCAGGGCGCGCGCCGCTCCCGTTCCCAATCGCCTTTCCACGGCACCAGTTGTTAAGCTTCGCTAGTGGCCAGATTGCACATATGTGTTGTCGCTTTCACATTAGTACTTAACCTGAAAGGACGTGTCGATCAGAATCAGCACAGATCTTGCTGCTAACTGTTGTTGCTTTTCCTACTCTGCTCCAATCTTTCCTCTCTCTTTTTTTTTCTCGGTGGATTTAAATACTAAAGAGAACTTGATTTGCGTACGTTGCAGGTGGGACCCGAGGAGCTCGGTGGTGACGCCGGAGGAGGACGTGTTCTACCTGGTGGCGTTCCTGCGGTCGGCGGTGCCGGGCTCGACCGACCCGGCGCAGAGCCTGGAGGCGCTGGAGCGGCAGAACCGGGAGATCCTCGAGTTCTGCGACGAGGCCGGCATCGGGGCCAAGCAGTACCTGCCCAACCACAAGGCGCAGCGCGAGTGGGAGGCCCATTTCGGAGCGAGGTGGGCTCGGTTCGCGCGGCTCAAGGCCGAGTTCGACCCGCGGGCCATGCTCGCCACCGGCCAGGGAATCTTCGACTCGCCGCCGCTCTTGGCGGAGTCCTGAAACGAAGACGATCGACGAACAAGATGATGGCTAGCTAGGCGCATGTAATTAGTAAGAATCATAACAGGTGATTAGTTAGTCTTAATCTGATGTGTAGATTCCTCGCCCCATAAAAAAAAATCTGATGTGTAGACAATTCTGTACAGAGGGATGTATCAGTTTCATGCAAAATGTGTGCAATGTTTTTTTGCCGGTAAAAGTCGGCGTCTGCCTCCAGTTCCTCTTCGAAGCGTCGTAGTTACCCAAGGACGAGATATCTCAATCACTGATCCATCAACAGGTTCAGGCCCTGTTCCGCATGGACTAGGAACAGATTAGTGACAGAATCTGGCTCCTTGGCGAGTTGTATCGTGGGTGAAAGTCAAGTTCGAAAGGGAAAGAAAGGATGGTTACCTGATACACGTGTTTTGGCCCGTCGGTCCATTGACCAATACCATACCAGCAATGCCTACTGTAACTCCTGTCTCCGTTGGGGCCTCACATATACAGTAGTATTCTAGGTTGTTGCACTACTCCTAAACAGCATCAAAGGTCGAATTGTACTACAACTAGTACTCAAACTATTGACAGTACCAAGGTACTATACTACCCAACTCCACACTGCAAAAGATCCTACTTCCGTGGCTGCAAATTCCGTTCTTCCGTTCATGCACTTAAGCTGCTCATCGACCCGTCAGGCAGTGCAACGTCACGAAGGCACGGAGCATGTCCACTTTAGCATTACACAAGACCGAAGACTTCAATGAACTGAAAATCAGGCGAGTGGCGACGCGCGCCGCGCGGAGCCGAACAGAACAGAAACGCCGGGTTCCCGGGCGGATCAACGGGATGGCCCGCCCGCTGCCGAGCAGCAAATTTGCCCAGCTTTGGTGCGTGCGGAGACGATGCGTAAAGACGAAAAAAGCAGCGAGACCGCAACAGGCGCCGGCAAGGGAAGGGACGGCTTCGGCGGCATGCAGCGGCGGGAACGCGGCCAGGTTCACCGGCTCTTTTCCGTTGATGCGCCCACGCGGCGAAGTCTCTCGCCTTTGACATGGCACCCGTGTTGCTCCACCCGTCCGTCCGGTCCCCCGTACGCGAACGCGACTACGCGAGTGGCTGGCTGTTTGGCATTTTTGGCTCTACCAAGAGACGTCGCGAGGAGTCGAGCAAGGACGAAAGCGTCGTTCCCATGCCTGACGTGCCGAAAAGAAAATGTTTGTCTTCTCTGCACCATGAACAGAGCTGCGATATGGCAGGATCGATCCCTCTTTCACCAGGGATGCAGGCGGTGGCTGCCCGGTCTCATCGGCAAAAACTCCAATTAAATTTAGTATTGATGAGTAAATTGATGATAAAATTTCTATAGAAAATATTGAAGTTTGCTCGAGCTAAAAAAAAATCTTTCAGCTCCACGCCTCCACCACTGAATTCGGGGTGTGAGATTGTACGGTGATGCTACTGCACTGTGGCTTGATGCCCTGAGCCTGATTGTCTGATAATTTGATTGGTGCCTGTGAATGTGATTGCTGTGATTGATTGGCGTGGCTCCGGAAAATCTGGATGCTGGACTCGAATGGTTGGCGCCATTAACCAGATCAGTAGAATAATACCAGTTCCGTTCTAAAGTAATTATTTTTCTACGATTAAACTTTGTGTTAAAATATTTATCACTCTAAAGTAGTACTCCATCACCCTCCATTTAAATTTCTCCCTATTACAATTATCACTATATACTCTTAACCATACATCGTTAAATAAGGGTTACTATAGTTTTTTAAAAAAAAAACTTTTATCTATATTTAACTAGCTAGAATGATAAATACTTCCTCCATTTCAGGTTATAAGATGTTTTGACTTTTATCAAAATCAAACCGCTTCAAGTTTGACTAGGTTTATAAATAAATATAGTAATATTTACATTACCAAATTAGTTTTATTAAATTAATAATTAAATATATTTTTATACTAAATTTATCTTAGGTAAAAAAATTGATATTTTTTTTCTATAAACCTGATTAAACTTGAAACAGTTTGACTTTGACCAAAATAAAAACATAACCTAAAACGGAGGGAGTATTTTGGTACGAGGAAATACTAACGGCAATCTTGTTCGGCATAAGAACTTCTTCAGGTTTACAAGGGTTCACGGAACTCGTGGCCCAACACACGGGAATGATTGGGCCTTCAAAAAAGGTCTCTCATGGGCCTTGGCCTGTCTACTCCATCTTAAGATTGAAAAATTGATGTCCCATACTCCTATTTCTGATTAGATTAGTCTGTCGCAGACATGAAAAATCGTTTTTCACGTAGGCAAGTGAAAAAGGCCATGTTTTGCAGTCGCTAGAATCTTTTGTTCTCATGAAGTAATATGTTGCTTCGTTCAAGCAAATTGAATTGCAGACAAAAAGAAAATCGGACTATTAATATAAGGTCCATGAAGTTGCCCCCAGGATTCGTCCTCGAACTCACGCCCTTTGCGGTTGTGTTAAGTAGTATCAAACAACATGTGCAGCAGTCCGCGTGAGAAACTCAGAATTCATTTACTGTAGTACCTCGAACAGCATCTACTGCTTGAGACGTCAAATCGAATCTACTCCTATGTATGTATATGGCCGTATCCGTATGAGCAGAAGTATTAGAAGCTTAGGAATAAAAGCAGTAGCAATACCTGTTCTGTTCCTAATCCAGACGACCAGCATTAGCAAAGTCGAAAAAAATCCTTATCCCCAGGTTTCATGTTCTTGGCAAACCACCGAAGTTGATCAATTCCTGGTTGCTTCGAGACAAACCCATGTGGAGCAAAATAGCAAGTTAGTTCATGGTTTGTCCGTACGTTTTTCAGCAACCAAACTTGAAACAAAAATCCGTCATGCTTTATTATAAAACTATTTATGATCATAAAGTACAGATAGACTAACAAGGCAAGTGAACGGGTAAAAAAAAAACTTTTAGAGTGTTGGCACCGGTGTCATTAGCTTCAAGAAAAATGATTTACTTCTAGATGCTTTTTTTTCCAAGCCTATTTATAAAATTAGTTTTTAAAAGGCTAAAATACAGAGACATACACATATATATCCAATCACCTTTAAAAGGATCATTCCTCAATGATCATCTTGATCTTGGATTCTCGATGGGAAATCCTCTAAGCACCTCGGTGACTGAACCCATAGGTTGGCCACTGGGTGTTGGCTAAAGCCAACCACAAGAGTTGTGATGAATAGTGGAGACAGTCGGGGCTCTTCGTAGAGGGAGGGGGATGGGGTTCTGCAACTGAACTGATAGAACAATAATAGATCACCCACAAATCACTTTGCTTTGAGCTATGGGACTGTCTACTGGTAGAAAAAAATCCGTCATGCTTTATTACAAAACTATTTATGATCATGAAGTACAGATAGACTAATAAGGCAAGTGAACGGGTAAAAAAAACTTTCAGAGTGTTGGCACCGGTGTCATTAGCGTCAAGAAAAATGATTTACTTCTAGATGCTTTTTTGCCCGAAGCCTATTTATAAAATTAGTTTTTAAAAGGCTAAAACACAGAGACATACACATATATATCCAATCACCTTTAAAAGGCTCAATGATCATCTTAATCTTGGATTCTCGACGGGAAACCCTCTAAGCACCTCGGTGGCTGAACCCATAGGTTTGCCGCTGGGTGTTGGCTAAAGCCAACCACACAAGAGTTATGATGAATAGTGGAGACAGTCGGGACTCTTCGTAGAGGGAGGGGGATGGGGTTCCGCAACTGAACTGATAGAACAATAATAGATCACCCACAAATCACTTTGCTTTGAGCTATGGGACTGTCTACTGGTACAATTCTCGTCGTCAGATCTGCCAAAACAAGGTTTACAATATCAACATATAAACTTCTTTATTTTTCTTTTGTGAAAACTAGACATTTCGGTCCGACTTGAGATAGCAAACCATTATGTAAACATGACATTTTTTAATCAAACTAAAATTTAATTTTTTGATAAAATTTAGCCAAATTCCACCAGCAATCAATGGTTTTCAAATGGTTCTAAAAAACTGAAATAACCTCCTGAGAGCATTTTTTAGTGCCGGTATGATTCACATGAAAAACAAAAGAACTGCCAAGTTATCTATACATGTTAGATGATCTCGAATATCGTGTGACGCATCATACTTGATCGACTAATAAATATCCAAAAATGGATATTGGAACGTATTCACATGATGTAGCCTCTCTACACGTCATCAATATTATCTCCGCAAAATCAACTTTTGATTTTATTCTTTTTATGTTTATACCGCGTCATAAAAACAAGGTACATGTGAAACCGTACTAATCTACTTTACGCCATCTCCCACGTCCCCCTCTTCTTATATTTCACCTCCACGCCCCCCTTCGTCTACCTGCTTGAGTATTCCCTACCTTCACCATAGGCGGAGATCGAGTTCCACATACGGTATTTTCTACTAGTACTCTATTTTTTTCTCTTCTATCACCATTATGGTTGAATATTTCCTTTTCAAATCCTTAACCCTTGAAACCACAGACACCATTGTAGGTTTTTTCGCGACCTCGAATCATCTCCGATAGTGTCGGCTAGGCGCGCCACCCATGCGCGCTGGCGACGCTCCGCGCAGAGCAAACGGGAGATTATATGGTATCAAAACAATGACTTATACACCAGAACAATGACTTATACACCAGACGAGATCCACGCAGCATGTTCCTCTCTATTTCTTTCTTTCTTCTTCCTACTAGTAGATCTAGATATATGATTTCAAAACTTTGGATACATATAGTTTTGAGGTCTTCCATGGCGTACGGTGAAAACTTCCTTTTTGCACGGCCCTCCCCACCATTGAGATCACCGTTTTTTTTTTTTTGGCCTATTTGCGGCGCGCCCCGGTCGGCCGTCCCTGTAGCTCAGTCCACCCACCGCTCTCACTTCCATACGCGGCCCGCCGCACGGGTGCGCATCTCGGCGTCAGAAAGGGCTACAGCCCTACAGTGATGGATCGGACGGACCGTGCGGGGAAGAAAGAGAAACACATCGGCGCAAGGCGCAACCTCGTCTCCGCCCCACTCGCCGAAAATATAAATTCCCCAATCCAAAATATTACCCATCCCCCCCCTTTTTTTTTCTCTCTCCTCCCTTTTCGTCTCGCCGCCGCCGCCGCCGCCGCCGCCGCCGCAGTAGAGTCTGCAGCAGCCGCAGCCGCCGCCGACGCGGCGGCTCTCTCTGCTCGCCATCCGCGTCCGGCGTACCGGCTGCCGACGCAGGTGAGACGCTAGGCCCTTTCCTCCCGGCCGACACGGGATCGGGGAGGCGCGCGCGCGTGGCGCCGCGGGCGCTGATGAGATATGGTTGCGGCGGGGGACTAGGGTTTGAGGGTTAGATGCGCCGGCCTGTTTGGTTTGGCTGTTGGGGATTTTTTGGAGTCGCGAAAGGAATTCAACGTTGTCTCGAGGGGAGGCGTACCTGAGTTTCTCCCGCCTGCTTGTAGCTTTGCGTTCCGTATATATTTCCAGTGAAATTCGGTTGCCCGCGCTTCGTAACGAAGGGCTTTTGGTTTTATATGGATGGTACTTGTGTGCAGTGATCATGGATTTCTGTGGGTGGATTATAGTTATTCTGAAGCCGGTTTGGCTTGAGTTTTGAGGGCTTAGCACAGGTTTGACTAGCCTGCCATTTTGATACTGTAAAGTACACATGCTGATATAGTGATATTTCTGGATTTCTGTGGTTGGGTTAGTTACCCTGGAATCGGCTTGGCATGAGTTTTGAAGGCTTAGGCGCTTAGCACATGTTTGATTAGACTGCCATTTTGAGACAGTAAAGTAAGCATGTTGAATTTAGCACATATTTCCTTGTTTCTGTACACAGATCCGAAGTCAGGCTCTGTACGGTTCTACGATTATTTGATGGAGCATGATATGACAGTTGAAGATTTTATTAGAACTAATGGGTTAGGGGCAAGTGGATTGATAGAGACCAATAATCAAGGTGTATCCACTTCTTCTGTGTCTGATTGTCGGTCCTGCGAGCATGTCGAGAATGGGAGCCCTTCCACGGCCCCTCCCTTTTGGGACTCTGATGGTGAAGATGACGATCCTGGTATGCAAATAACACTACTTTTGTTCACTGTGATGATAATTACCGTAATAATTCAAAATGATAGCGCTAGAGTTTGAAATTTTTATAGCCTATTTATGGGAAAAACAAACAGCCATTTCTCAACTAAGAGTTATGATTAGTTCCTTAGGAAGATAATATTATGTTGAAATATGTGTCTGGCAGGCCAGTGCTGGAAACTGTAATCTTGAGGGACGCGCATTAGGCCCTGTTTCTTTCAGCTTGGGATTATTATAATCCAGATTATTGGGAGTAAGCAGAAAGAAACAAACAACTTATTGAAGTAGCTTATTATAATCTGTTAAGCTCATTTAGGTGAGCTTTTTCCAGATTATTGGGTGAAAAATTACCCACCATGCCACCCCACTCCCTCTTTAGACTTGCAAACCCAATAATCTAGGCTCCATTCTACTACAGATTATAACAATCTAGCTTATATTAATCTGACTCAATAATCTAGATTATAATAATCTTAAGCTGAAAGAAACAGGGCCTTAGTATGGACAGAGATTACATGCTTAAATTTGCTATGAAGACCTGAAAGAACTATTTTTTCTAGTCATACTCAAAAGTATCATTAGTTTGTTTACTCCTATTGTTTCTTCCTCTTGTACACATAACACATTCAACGTGCCAGTGCAATGCAGTTGCCCTTCTGAATATTGCACTTTTGGCCACCTGTACTTATCTCTACCTTTAAGCCCTATGTTTCACTCTGGGTTAAATAACTAGGTTAACTTAACTCATTTCTTGTGTTTGGCAGCAGACGTAGTTAACCTAAGATACTGTTTAGCTTGATTAGTATCTGTTTAGCTGGGTTGACAGTTCAGAAGCCTAGAAGGGTTAATTGTGTCTTTTTAGCTAATTCACTTTTTGGTTATTCGCTAATCACCATATTTCTGCTTGTATCCAGAAACAGTTGCCTGAAAACATGTGTTTCTTGCTTGCATCCCAAATACATTATGTTACAGTTGACATATTTTTATGTCATCATCATATGCCGTGCATTCCTATCCATGTCAATATATCACCATGTCATTAAGTTAACGAAGCTTCCTAAAAACTTATCTCCAAAAGTATTATTTGCCGTTGTACATATGAATTATTTATCCACGAAGAATGCTGTTATCCATTCTATTCTTGGTCTTTGTAAAGTTGAACTGAGTTTAGGGCATAAAAAGAGTTTTGGAGTACACATGCTGCTGTCTATGGCTACTAATATATGTTACTAGTATTTACCAACATTTTTGTTTGACAGAAGTGATAAACCTGCGAACTTCTTGTCAGTTACAGTTCTTGACACAATAGTAATTATAGTTCCATCTTCAAATTAACCTGTTTTTTTTTTCTTTAGCGATGTTTCTTTCTTTATTGTAATTGAATAATTGCAGCTACATTTCATTTGGCTAATCTCTGTCAGTTACCTCAGGGCCTAGACCTTCAGATTTATTTGGGCGATATACTTGGAGAATTGAAAACTTTTCAAAGGAGAAAAAAAGAGAAATGAAAAGCGAACCATTTGAAGCTGGTGGTTACAAATGGTAGGATTCCTGATGGTAACTTACTAGAAAATTTGGTCACAGCAATTCTCTTTTCGGAGCTGGAAACTCTAAATTGCTTAGTAGCTCAGTTTGTAATGCATTCTGCTTAGATTCTCTATTCCATTGACTGACAAATCACTCATCACTAATTGTTATTTGTGCAGGTACATTCTAGTTTACCCTCAAGGATGTGATGTCTCCAATCACTTGTCATTATTTCTATGTGTTGCTAATCATGACAAACTTCTCCCAGGTTTGCTGTTATTATGTTGGCTAAACTATCTTATGTGTTCCTCACAGTATTTAATCACACCCTTAACACATTTCAGGATGGAGCCATTTCGCACAGTTTACTATAGCTGTGGGTAATCTTGATCCAAAGAAAGTTAAATATTCAGGTGAGGCAATCTGTGATTCTTATTGTTTGAATTAAACACTCTGTTTCAGAGTTTAACTAAGTAAGTTTGCAGACACCCTGCACAAATTCTGGAAGAAAGAACATGACTGGGGATGGAAAAAATTTATGGAGTTGTCAAAAATCCAAGATGGTTTCCTTGTTGATGATGTTCTTGAAATCATTGCTCAAGTTCAAGTTATCAGGTAGGCAGTTTACCAATTTTCAGGATTAGCACCTAAAAGAGTAAAATTTGTTTGCAGTTCTATATGATTGAAATAAATTGCATATCTATGGCCTTATATGTAAAGCATTCCACAGATATGCTTTTAGATATGTTTTTCCTATGTCCCTGAAACACGAAAGATCACTTCATTTAATTGTTCCTACGATGCTTTTGTGCTAAGATGATTTTGTTGGGGGCATTTATGCTCTCCATAATTCAAGTTTTACTCTTCATGTGCAGTTTCGACTTATTGAAATCTTAACTGTACCCTGTTGTGAGCTGTATAAACCTTTCTTTTGTTTTTATTGCATGTTGCAACATGTTATACTGCGATTTATTCAAAGATCTCTCTTTGTTAATGCCTCTATTTTCTCTAATTATTTAAGTCCTAGCTTCTATGTTTAATTTGTCAATGCTCAACTATGGTGTGCTCAGAAATTTGGTTATATACTTATAAATTGATTGCTGGACATTCAGTAACTGTTCTCTTCTGCTTTTCAATACTGGAGGGAGAAAGTGGATCGCCCATTTCGTTGCCTCGATCGCCCTTATCGACGAGAATTACTCCGTGTCTATATGACCAATATAGAGCAAATTTACCGACGCTTTGTTGAAGAGCGCAGAAGTAAACTTTGCAAGCTCATTGAGGACAAAATGAGATGGTCCAGGTTATACAATTAAAGTTATCAACATCCTGTTATCCTTTCATAATGATTAAGTATCTGTGCGCGCTCGCGTGTGTGTGTTTTTAAAAAAGTTAATACTAACACATGCATATCTTTGTTTGTACTGCAGTTTCCGTGCCTTCTGGCTTGCAATTGACCAAAGCACAAGGCATCGCATGTCGACAGAGAAGAGTGATGTCATACTGAAAATAATAGTGAAACATTTCTTTGTGGAGAAAGAAGTAACTTCAACGTTAGTTATGGACTCTCTGTATACGGGGTTGAAGGCGCTCGAGTGCCAGAGCAAGAGCAAGAGCAAGAAAGGCATAATAGACTCAGTGGATTTTGTAGAGCTGCCAGTGCCTATGGTCCATGTTGATGTGGACATGTTTGTTTTGGCTGGTGATGTCATAGCTTTGCTTGAGAGGGCAGCTTTAGAACCCTTGCCTTGTCAGCCTGTGTCTCCAAAGGATGACAAATGTTCCCAGAGCCGCACTAAGGTAGGTATTTTTCATATGATTTATTCATTCAGTTTCTGGACTATACAGTTAATAATATTGAGTTTCTGGCCCCCAAAATGAATGTTAGTATTTCTTGTTTCACTGATATGGAATTAATTTAGTTTAGTTCAAATCTCTTTAGTTTGCATCCTATGTCAAACTTATTTCCTTGTCTTCCCAGTTTCCACCATTATTTGACCTATTTTTAGACAGAAGGCCAATGGCCCAGCTTATATTGAAAGCCAAAGGGTTTTACAACGCTGGGGGTTACCCAGTTCAAAAGCAGCGCAACGCAGGGGAAGTAGTTTGCCTTACAACAGCTTTAGAAGCTGAAACAGAGATGGCACGCAGGCCCGAACATTAAAAACAAAGCAAAAAGAGCCGGGGCATCAGGAAGTCATCCCACACCGGATCTCAGTGATTGCACGGCTGCCAGGATCTTCTCCTCCAGCTGGTCCAGTTGGACCTATTTAATATTTTAATTTTGCATCCTCTTTCATGCTTTCTCCATAGTTTGTTGTTAAGCAAGAATGATTCTTTTTTTCGGAGTTTGTTTTCTTGAACCTTCTGATTTCAATGAATAAATGTGGTTAAAACAATCACCAAACTGTAGCGATTCATTTTCATTACTAGCTCTTCTTATGACATTTCAATTTGATTGGTCATGTAAAGCTTCAAACAGTGGTTTTACCTTCAAAATTCCAGTTTGGCATCTTTCTGTACTTTAGTTAGGAGAATATTTCTATCTTAAATATTCAAGTTGGATGAATAGAATTTCTAGAAGTAAATTTCTCTGGTGGTCAAAGTTGTACCTTGGAGACTGAGAATCAAAACAAGGCTTCTTTGTGATGAGACTTGAGTAGTAGTAGAATGAGAGTGAATTTCATTTACTTTCCCATTTTGTGGTCTTGATATGTGAAGATTGTAAGCATTTGTATTACTTGAATGCAGTATAGCTATTTATCTCACTGCTCAGTTTTTGTCATTCTCATCTTTCTAGGATGGCAGTTCTGGAGAAGTTAACAAAGTTTCGATTGAACGTGAAGAAAGGCGCCTAACTGAACTTGGTCAGAAGATAATTGAAACATTTGCACTATCCCATATATTCAGGTAATATATTTCAGTTCAATCATCTTGTTACCTCCACATGATTGGTTTTCTGGGTACATATCATAAATTTGTAAAACCATTTGTCCTATGTTGTCCTTTTATGTGATTTTCTTAGTACCATATTTTGTTTAGTGCTTGATCAACCAGATGACTCATGTGGTCACATTCAACTTTTTTTTTTGGCTTGTATCAATGTGTAATTGTGAAGTGGTTTAATGATTTTGTGTGGTCAGTTTCCGAGTTAGTATGCTGAGGCTGCCAGCATCACACAGGTCTGGTGGTGGCAGAAGAATGTTAATGGGTCTAGGTGGAGAGTAAATAAAGTGATTGGAACAGAAACCGGAAGAGATAGAGGCTCAGTTCTTTTCTTTCTTAAATTCATTAAGGACATATGGCATCCTCATATGCATGCCCTTAACCTTTATTAATGTGGCAATACTTAACCTATCTTTATTCGTATCCTCGCTCTTTGCCAATGCAAATGTCTAGGTCATGAGGATTACTAATTCATGCCTCTAACTTGAACCCTGTTGCACAGCTCCCACCCAACTGAACTTTTCTTGCCTTGCCTGACATGGGTACCTATGTTAGACTTGCCCATACCCCGTAGTACGTGTCCACCATATATCTCATTTCTGTTTTACATTGAAGAGTGTACCTTTTGAGTTCTATTATTACTGAGTTAGCACGAAGCTTTTCCATGAAGCCTCCTGGTGTTTTGCATTGCAGTATCTCCCTTAAAGTTCCATAAAACCAAACAAACAGTTCTGTAACACAAAACTGGAGCTCATCCTCAAGTTCTCTTAGAAATATACTGGCATAGTCCATTATCTCTTAGATTAGCACAAGATAACCTTTTCATCCTTTTGCATTGCCTCTTACATTTTGTTTTCACATTAGTGGGATTGAGGTTGCCTATCAAGAAGCTGTTGCTTTGAAGAGGCAAGAGGAGCTTATTCGCGAAGAGGAAGAAGCCTGGCTACTTGAAAATGAGATGAAGGGGAAGCGTGGCAGTACCACTGAAAAGGATAAACGTGCAAAGAAAAAACAGGTTAATTTTTAACATGGTCATGTCATCTTCATTTATTTTATGTTAGATTGGATTTTGTTTTACTCATAATGATCGATTATCATTTTCAGGCAAAGCAGAAGAAGAACAATCGTAAGGTTAAAGACAAAGATAGAGAAGAAAAATGTGATTCAAATTTTCCAGAAAGAAGTCAAGATGAAAACACAATTCATGACAGGGAAGACTCTAAACAGGCAGGACAAATATCCATGAAAGTAGATACCTCTGAAGAAGGTGCCTCAGATGTTTCAGACAATTTAGATGGGTCAATTGAGGTATGTCAAAGTTCCAAACTGACACAGTCAATAATATTTCAAAGCCTGTTAATAGGATGAATGATGTTGATGTTGAGATGAAAAATGTTCAGATTCAGAAGAAACATTCTACTATGGAGAATAAGTCATTGTCATGTTCATCTGAGTCTGCTACTATGAACAATGCGCAAGGCAAAATAAATAACTTGTTAGAAAGTAAAGATCAGATATCACGCAACAGGTTGGTTAGCATTCTGTCTTAATTTTGCATTACTTCTCTTGGCAACTAGAATTTGTCTTAATTGAATTTATGCACAGAGGGAAAGCTCGCAGCAGGAGCACAAGCAATATGAACATTACCGAGGATGTGGATGATCTTCCATCAAGCACGACTAGCTCAGACAGGAATACATCTGGCTGTGGCCCAGCTCCAAAGCTTGATCAAGAGACTGTTCTACTTACCTTGAAAGATAGGCTTCGGAAACTTGGGCAACGTTTACATGAGGTTAAGTTATTCTTTATAAAATATTGAGCTATATTTCCACTATTGCCTTGTTCATTTATGTTATGAAATTGTCATCTTAAAGCATATCACCGTCACCATTGGTTTCATGGACTCAGTTTTGTTGTCTAGTAGTGCTTTGAATTTGCTTGTTTATGTTGGCAATGAAATAGGTTAGCTATTCTGATGATAGATTTAGCAACAATTAACAATATGGTTTGCAAGGAGTTTGAACTTTTACTAGACTAAATCATAGGATCAAACACCAGAGCCATTTTATTATGCTAACAATATGGCTAGACTTGTAAAACTCTTCTGTACCATTTGCCGATTAACTGCACCTTCTCCCTGTTTTTACTGTAAGGATGATAAGCACAGTAATGGAATACTGCTAGATAGCATTCCAAATGAAAACATAACTTTGCATTCTTTTTGGTGTTAGGACTAATATTACTTCAGCATCACAAATGCACACACAAATACACAACAAGCTAGAAAATGCAAGTACAGAACACAGGAGATCACAAGATACAACAGATCCATAAACAAATTCATTGTGTTATTTACATCATACTGATGCATTGCATGGATATGTTCCTGACAAAATATGCTTTGGTGAATTCACTTCCTGAATTGGAATTTTATTTAGTATTTTATAGTCATTTCATAGTAACACTTCAATTGTCAGTTATCTTGTGCAATTGTTTTTGTACTGCTGAAGATTGATGTATCTATTTCTATTTATGTTTGTTAACAGAAGGAAATTGAGGGCAGGAAACTACTCCAGGCTCATTTGGAAAAGAAGGCAGCAGCTGAGTCAGCAACTGGTTCATCCTCATCACTCTCATCCAATTCTTTAGAAGAGACTCCAGAGGTTCTGAAGAGCCCAGATCAATCTTCAGTAACTATCTCTGATGCTGATATTAATGCATCACCTTCAAAGTTTGGTGCCAGTAAAGAAGTCACTCCAGTAACACCAACCACCATCCTAAGCACTGAGCCTGTGCCTACTGTTGCTTCCACCCTGAGTAAAGATGAGCCAGTTTTGTGTGAAGATCATGTATCATGTTCAACTCCACAAATTGATACTCCAATCACCTCAAATCCACCGCAAGTTGTTAAAACTGTTACCCTTCCTTCAGGCATGCTGCTTGTTGGTCACGCTATTCAAGCACCGTCTAGATCACCGGCACCACAGGTTGATAGGGTCTCTAAAGCTATTGCTGCTCCCACCAAATCACCTGCTCCACAGGTTGATAAGGTCTCTATAGCTGTTCCGACTCCCTCAAAATCACCTGCTACACAGGGTGAGAAAGTCGCTAAAGCTATTCTGGTGCCCCCAAAATCACTTGCTCCACAAGTTGGAAAGGTTGCTAAAACCATCCCGACACCAAAACAACCTGCACCTCTGGTTGACAAGGTTACGTCACTTGACCCTGTATCAAAGCAAATGTCTTCCATGTCTAATTCAGAAGCCCGAGAAGCTATTCTTCCCAAAAAGGCTGCAGTCCTGTCTGTTTCCCAAACTCCTGCAATATCGAGGCCTTCAAGTGCTCCTCTGTTCCAGGTACCAAGATCAACTTTACCACCTACGCCAGCAGTTCAAGTTCCCCCAATGCTTTCCCGCTCAATGACCCTGGCTGGACGATCGAGGAATGAACCATCCCCTTCTGTTCCAAGTTATACAGCACAGACCTACCGAAATGCCATCATTGGTAAGAGTAATCTTGATACAGCATCAGCAAGTCTTGATCATTCAACTTCTTTTGGCCAAAACGTCGCACTTTCACAGCCACTATCATCGTATGCATCAGCAGCATCTGCCATGGTACCTCCGGTCGGAAGGAATGGCCAATTACCAGGTAAACAGGGCTTCATGTTTGGGCAAGGAAAGTCCGAAGCAATTGATAACTGGAACCCATGGAAAGGTGATAGTAATGCTAACAAATACATGTGGAAAGATGATTCTCCTTACCATCAAATGACCAAGGGTGATGCACATACTCAATCTTGGAGGGACAATTCTTATCAGCAAGCAGGATGCAGTGGAACAGGGGAACAAGGCGAATTTGGGGGGCTTCAATATAGGCAGTTCCAGAGGGAGATTCCAACAAACCTTGTCTCATACCAATTGCCAGGGCCAGTTGGAGAAGAATTTCCACACCTTGATATCATCAATGACTTGCTTGAGGAGGAACAAAGCAGTGGGAGTATGGCAGAGCCTACCCTCCACGGATATCATACATTGGGCTTGCCGTATTCTTCCAGAGGAAACTTAGTAGACTCTGAAGTGACTTCCATAAGTAGTTCTGGCCGGTTAAACTTGGCCGATCATTACTATGACGAGGGCTACCCGATGGCTTATGACAGGCTGAATGCTCTTTATAGGTTAAGAGAAGGGCAAAATTCCACATTGGATGCTTATTCCAATGGAAGGATGGACTCGATTACTTCAAAACCTTGGCTACATAACTTCTCAAATCCAGCAGTGAACCTTGGAGTTAACCCAAATGGATTTTCACAGCAAATGGGGAACTACACCAATTTAGGGAGTGGGAGGGTGAATGGAGAACATCTGTATCGCCATGCCAACGGGCAATGGTGATGCCTGTACACAATTGATAATAAATCCTGCTATAAGTTGTCACAGACCATGGTGGCAGATGTAAGCGTCGCCATGGCCACCAGGTTGTAACTTTTAATTTTAAAGGGGCAAAGAAATAATACATTGTGTAAAGCATTCCAGTGTCCGTTAAATTTTCTGTCGGCTGCTTTCATAGTTTTATGGTTCTTCTTTATTTCTTTTTTGGTTGGAGTATAAAACGGAATTTTAACAAGTCAGTCCAGAAGAGTTCTATGACTACTTCATCGGGTTGGAAAGTTCCAGATTTTGCATATACGTGTTTGTGGTTTTCTCTTACAAGCCTAAAAAATGCTGTAATGGGCTCGGAAACGAAAGAAGTGTTGTGATTTTGCAGTGGCAGGTCGGATAGTTGGATGCCAAGGTAACGGAGCTGAGATGTTCCAGGGTCCAAATAATGCAAGTATGCAGCAACCTGGAGAAGCAATTCAAAACTGAAGGTACCATCGAAGTCTATTTCAACTTCAGATTATATACCCACATGACTCCTTTGCTGCTATTAAGATGAACAAATCTGTCTTGGAGTAATACAATTAAAAAAATTATGAGCAAACCCAAAGCTCAAAAAAATGAAAAACATGCACAGCTTACAATTATGTCTGCCTTGTGTTTAATACAAGCTTTTTCTATGCAATTTCCCTCAAACTAGAACAGATTGCCAAGTATACAATTTACAAGATGGATGGGTATCTGCTATACAAATAAGTTGTGTAAAAAACTAAAAAGAAGTTGTGCGTGTTATTTACTACCAGCAATTGCTCGCAGTTCTCTTAGGTTGCTAGCGATTTCCTGAATAAACATCACACCTTCTTTGCCATTCCTGAGTGAGTTTATGCTATGTTCAATAAAGTTGCGGTCTCCTTCTAGCGTCTTCAATCTTTTGTTCAAGTTTGAGATTTCTTCTTGAAGCGTGCTAAGATCAGTCTTCCGACTCACTGTTGAAGAATGAGCTTCTTTAGCTAAGAAAACGGGCTCCTGGGCCTCTCTTGAGCTTTCTTGGCATTGCAGTGAGCCATCATCTACAACGTGCATTTTGTTGGAAAGGTAATCCTCTATGACATCTGAATTTGACAAGTGAATGTTAGTACTGTTGTTGGAGTAGGATTGAAGCTTCTGCTCCAGCTTCGTCAAGCAATCAACTATATATGCCCTCTCCTCTTCAAAGCTCACTAATGAATTTATACCACTTGGTGTGGTAATTGCAGGAGCTTCAAGACCAGTTTCATCAAGCAAAGTTTCGGCAATGTTTTCTTCATTAAAGGAGACCTGATTGGATTGTTTCTCTGTTGGTCCACCTGCAAACTGCATCCTGTAGTTTTCGAGCTCAGCTTCCAATTCCTCTATTTGTTGTTCCCTCTGAGCAAGTAGCTCGTTAGCTTTAGCAAGCGCATCACTATCATACTCTGCTTGTTCTTCCATCATCCGCTGGTAATGTAAAGCTTCCATCTGCATGGCAGCCTTGTCATCCTGCAATCTGGTAATCATAGCCAAAGCTTGACTTGCAGCAATCGCTGAAGCGTTCCTTTCTTCTTCCAGTTCCTTGCAGAGGAGGTGTATAGATTTTCGGTCAAGATCAATCTGTCGTCTCAACCGTTCAGTGGCACTTTCACCTTCCATCTCACTTACAGTGCTACCCTCCAGTGACTCCAAACCAGATGCATTTCTCTCAATTGAAATTCTGTTCGTGATGTTCTGCACTATCAAATCATCACCACGCCCATACGCACGTGGGCTAGGGCCTGGGTCGACCCATGGAGCCTCGAGTCCTCTGGAAGCCGAGAGCTGTGACAGCAGTAACCTCAATTCTTCATTTACACTAGAAGAGGAATCCTTTCCAAGAATCACATCAGTCAAGGTGGGGGATGGCAAGCTACTCTTGGCACCAATGGCAAGCTTGTAGGCTTCATTCATGCTAATCTGAGTGCTTAGAGATGGTCTCCTTTCACCAATAGTCGCGCTTGTTTGCGGATGTTCCTCGATGACATTGAGACCCTGAAATACCTCACTGTTTGGTCTAATAGCCTGTGGTGATATAGGAGCTTCTTCCACAAAACCTAACCAAAAGGGTTAAATGTAAGGACCAGTTTTTGAAATACTGTTGCTTGAGGGAAGGTAGAAATCAACTAACCTTTTGCTGTAGGATCTTTGGAATTTGTATTGGAAGGATCTTTGAGTGCCGCTTCATGTGTTACCATATCACAAGTCTGTTCAGCCTCCTTAGCATAATCTTCAGCTTCATCAACAGCTTCAGAACTAGAATTAACTTGTGAAACATGGTCATCTCTAAAATTAACTGAAAGGGAAAACAGGTCGGAATAAAGAAACCTTTCAGACATATATCTTGATTCTTGAGAAATAGTCAGTCCTGAGGTACAGCCTTACCTGGATCATCATCAACCAATGCACTTTTCTGGTGAAACTCTCTACTTGATGTAACAGTAATTTCTGACCTGTGACCTTCCAGATCATCTGACATTTTTTTATTGTGATGGGGGGTTAGACGAACAGGAAGAAAATACCATTCAGTTTATTGTTAAACTATGATTAAGATATACCTATTGTGCTGTTGTGCTCTGAAACAGCAATGTTTTGTTCTAGTGTTGTGGACTGTGATGAACATGGATCAATGGTGCTTTCACTCGCTCCATGACATGCCTCGTTGTACCCAAGATTCTGAGGTGACTCGACACTTGATGCAACTGGAACTTGGGAAACATTGACATCTGCATGATTATCTATGCTATTAATCTTTCAAACTGAAAAAGAAGTTCAGTAGGAGTCATCCCAGTTTGGGGAACTAACAGTTACCTGTCAAACCTGACTCTTCTTTGACAGCTAGGGGATCATGCTGGCATGTCTGTTTTTCTAATGAAGCATCTTCTGCTTCCATTTGGCCCTCACCAATTATACTATCAGGATGATCATCTACAAGAACATATGGCAAGGATATATCATATGAGTCACCAACATCGGTTTCCATCGGAACATTCATTTCTAATGGCCTGACCAACTCAGTGGAAGAAGCAGCAAATTTCTCGGCAGTGGCATCTTCATTCAAATCTTCCTCCATACAATTGGTTTTATGATGGTGTGAAATTTTGCCATCATCAGCACAGGGAGCCTCATCCTCGGAGCCAGATGTCATCTGCAGCACACTGTATCGTTCATGGATGGAGTGATCACTCTGGTGACAAATATCTTTATCCAAAGATTTATCCACTTGATGAAGTATGGAATAATCTGTGCAAATCTTTGGTGAGCAAACAGCCTCAGCAGGTTCTAGTTCTGTGATCATTCGAGAAAACATTGTCGGTCTCTGTTGTGTATAATGCTGTGCACAACATGAGCAAATTCTTGTATCATGGGAATATAATCCTTGATTACTATCAGGTAGAGTGGCAGCCATTGTTGGCTCATCGGTGCGGTCATCATTGTTTTCTACAAGTGAGTCACTGCATCTCTCACACATACTTTGGGCACCTGCAAGTTTCTGATGTAGACGGCAGAAGGCCAAAGATGAGATCTCTGACTTGTGAGTTTTGCAGATCAATTCCCTGTAGAAGCATGGTTTCTCATTACCCAGGACATGGTCTAGCCTTGAGCAGAAAGGGCACGGTGCCGGTAATCTGCAGAGGCGGGCAAATCTGGTGACCAAGAAGCAATAAACCGCATCGATGAACAGCAGCAGCATCAAGATCCACTCGAGCAACACCGATGACAGTGTGGCTGACAATCTCCGTAAGGTTGGCATCCTTGTACCCATCTTTGAACAGTATGCTCAATTCTTCACAATTGCTGTACTCAAGTTCTTTAGATTGGTGAAAGGTGGCTGGTGTTGAACCAGAATTTCTGAAGGAATCAAAAACAAACTTAATGAGTGAAGTGTATAATTGATCCTACTAATGAGTAATGATATGCTGTTCTGAATAACATAGCAACTACTCATCAAAAGCTGTAAACATCAAAGTTTGGTGGGATTAGGACGGCCTTTTATCTCATTATTGAGCACTGATAGAACGGTAAAGTAATGATGGCGGTGTCATTGTAGCGGATATGCTTGATTTTGGTGAACTAAAGGCGAGCTTAGCTGGAGAAAAGACAGGAAAACCGAACACCAGGTTGGAAAACCACTAGAAAACAGAAAATCAAAAGCGTCCAGCTCTAGCAGCAGCCATAATGGTGATCAATAGACCCAGGACCAAGAGAATGTTGGAAGCATCAGTCCAAGTAGTAATTGTTACAGGACAATTTCAAGAAGCATTAAGAACAGTGATGCTGCACAGAAGAGCTTTCTTTTGAATCCCACAAACTCCGATGATGAAAGAACAGCTCAAACTGTCTCTTTTGTAAGGGGAGAAAGAAAAGAACCTCTTTGAAAGCTTGAAAAAATTTTAACACCAAAACAGACTAAACTCTTCCAGAAACCACCCAGCAACAGAACAAAATCCGATCAAACAAAGAGAACAATAAGCATAAAGCTAAGCAACCTAGCACTACTATAGCCTGCACAGCGGATTCCCCTATAATTGACTAGCCTCTCCCATGTAAGAACAGAAAACTCAGCAAAATCACACCATCCACCGGGTGTGCTCCCGAGCTCTCCAAACTACAGAAGCAACCTAGAACCCGAGCTCACCAACTACAGAAGCAAACCTAGAAACGAAAGCTAAAGAAAGCAAGGGAAGAAGAAGAATGTTCCGAGGATCATCCAGCAAGAACATACATACCTGCAAGCTGCAGCGGGGTCGCCGCAGCGCGCTGAGCCGAGATCCCGATCTGCGATCGCGGCAGCCAGGCAGGCAGGAGCAGAGGGCAAAAAGAGAGAGAGAGGAGACGGAAAAGGTTGGCATGCGCCGACCAAACTCGCCACGCCTGAGCTATATTATTCCCACCCGCCGGAACGAGCCAAAAACGAAGGGAAGGGAGACAAAGAGAGGAAGCAAGTGGAGTGGGGGCGGCGGCGGCGGCGGGGGTGCGACGCCTCGCCGGGGCGGGGCCGGCGGGCGGCTCAACCGAAAGTCGGCTACGCGGGCCGGCCCGGGACAGCGACGCCACCCCGGTCAGCCAGCCGAAAGGTAGTATGGTTGGCTGGCTCTTCCTTCTCGTCTCCTCGTAATACTGTACAACATTTGTATTTTGGAACACGAAATTTGTTTAGCCCTTGTTTAGTTATAAACTTTTTCTTCAAACTTCTAACTTTTCTATCACATTAAAACTTTCCTACACACACAAACTTTCAACTTTTCCATTACATCGTTTCAATTTCAACCAAACTAAACACACCCTATTCACGGGAGATGTGATGACTACTACTCCATCATTTTGTTTATTTGAGAAATAAGCTAAACAATATATTTGTAAAGGAATACTTACTATGTCAATATAAGAGATTTTAATATTTTGCTTACACTGTTTAACCATTCGTCTTATTAAAAAAATTAGAATTATTATTTTTTTGACTTATTTTATTATCCAAAGTACTTTTAGCACAACTTTTCGTTTTTTATATTTGCACAAATTTTTTGAATAAGACGAATTGTCAAACAGTGCAAGCAAAATGTCAAAATCCCTTATATTAGGGGACGGAGGGAGTAATAATTTGTAAATAAAACTTTTAAATACGTGTTTTAACGATCTAAAAGCAAATGCTAAAAAATAAACTACGATGGAAAAACCTTAAATCAATGAAATTTTAAATTTCGGCTGATAAGTATAAGAGTCAATCCATTTTATGCCATCGACAAAGCGCGGGTCTACAGTATGCCACTGACAAAACTCAGTTCTACAATATACCATCGAATGACTCATTTTCTTCCTTATATGCAATCGACGTTAGTCAACCGTTAGTCAACCGCCGTTAAAAGATGAAAAATGACCATTTTACCCCTAGCATAAAATTGAGATTTTGCATAATGCCATATCGCGGTAAAAAATCTTGGATGATAAAAAGACAAGCAATTTCTATTTTTCATCAATGAGAATAAATAGTGGATCATGATCAGTGAAATCGATGAGGATGCATCGTACCCTAGGGGTAAAACAGATATTTTCTTGCTCTTAACGGAATTTGACTAACTGTTGACCGCCGGCGATGGTATGTAAGGAAGAAAAGTAGTTATTCGATGGTATATTATAGAACTGAGCTTTGTCAATGGTATATTGTTGAATCCATGCTTTGTCAATGGCATAGAATGGATTATCTTTATAAACATAAGCGAAAAGATAACATCGCACGAGTTTAAGGTTATGTGTATTTTTAATTGTTTGGTGCAATTTTTTTAATTGAATCGCACGAATTTCATGTGCTCCGAAGAGTGAATCGCGTGTTAATATGGTTTGACTGTACTGGTCTCAACGTACCTCCGGATGTAGTCAACAATGATGTAGATTGTTGTGCTGCCGGTCGTTGCTCGCAGACTATGGAGTTAATCAAATAGTAAATCAGCTCATATTACCTTTTTTTGCAAATTAGTTTAGGCCGTTTTCTATCGTACAGTGTCCTGTTTCAAACAGTATAATACTTGTTGGATACTGGATATGGTATTCTATCAGTATGAACTAATATATATTAGTACTAGTTGATATATATCAGTATATATAAGGCTGATACCCGTTGATGACATTTGATATCCATCGGCATCGGTTGGTGAAGGTTTTATTGTGAGCGTGGGACGCGTATTGTTGCCGCTCAGGTGATGTATATGCATGGTGCATTTCCCTGCGATTGGTTGCAAGTGGAGGGTGTTAGGCAGTTGGCTCTCGATAGTAGCACCTAATGAGCAACCAAACCTTTCTAGTTAATATATTATGAACTTTCATTATTTTTCAAACCTTTTAAAATTGTAATTTTACGAATAAACTTTTCCTAACTAAATTTTAAACTCTAAACATTTTGATCACGTCACATCGCCTTGTGTGGCAAAATAAAATTGTCATACCCCCCGCTAGACTGGTGTGACGAAACAATACTCACTTTTGGCAGACTGGCGTGGTCGGCCAAATAAAACACTGGCACACCAGTCAGTTCGACATGGTCTTTTTTTGTCACGGTTGACGTGGTCAAAATGTTCATATTCGAAAACAAGTTTTGGGAGAATTTATTAATAAAGTTAAAAATTTAAATGGTTCAGAAAAATAAAAAAGTTCCTTAGAGTTCCAAGTTTAGTATACGCATAGACTCATGTAAGCATGATAATTGTTGATATGGAAAAATATCACCTGATGCTTCATACAATTAAATATTCTAGCACACATCATGGTTTCCCAAACCACCGAGGCCGGGGTTACCGCGCGGTAACCGCGGTAACTGTGGAAAACTGTACGAAACCGTGCAAAATTTATCAAAAGTTCAAATTATTTTTAAACTTATTTAAATTTAAGAAGGTTACCATGGTTTTTCTATTATCGTACCCGCGGTAAGTCCGGTAACCACGGTAACCGCGCGGTTACCGACGGTACCATAAACCTTGTAACACATGCATATATGCATGAAACGTGGTGAATTTAGTTATACAAATATTCAAATAAGAGTTAGCGAGTCAAACTTCAACATTAATATTTCAAGCTTTAATTAAATCAATGGCTATTACATCGTTTGTAAAGGTGTTAGGTGCTTAGGGCATTAGCAATGCGTCCTTAATCTGTTATACCTGAGCTGCCAAATAGACTAGGAACTTCAAAAGCTACAAGGTTCACAATGCAATGTGACTTTAATCTGGACACATAAAATCCGGAGACAATCATGGAGGCTACTCAACCGACAGTGAGCGTGACCCAGCCCACCTCGTAGTCTTGTAGCCTCAAACTCATCGCATCTATCCCTTTGACTCGTCGTCTCCAGAGCCACGACTCCTCACATTGCATCGCATTCCCCTCCCGTGACGCATCGCCTTCCTCGCCTCCTCCCACGCCACCTCGCCGACGACAGCCACGGCTGTGCCAGCTCTTGCTCCCGGTGTCGATCCACAGTGACGACGACCTCCGCAGCTATGCCTGCTGCAGCTCCCGGCGTCGGTTTTGCCCTACTTCCACGGCGAGCGAGGAGAGGCGAAGAGCGTGGGAGGCGAAAAAGAGAGCGGCGCTCGCGCGGGAGGGAAGGGCGAGCACGGAGAGCGAGTATCACGCGTACGCGAGGACGACCAGGAGGGCAATTTGGGGATCGAGGGGGAAATCGCGCCGGGAGGAACGGCGCGGCGAAGCCACGGCCTTCCCAGTGCACCTCAACCTCCTATCCCCATGCCACCGATTCTCAATCCAGCCAAAGCACGGGTGCCTAACTTTGGTCACGCGCGCTTGTGTCTTGTGGGCCCAACGAGAAACGTGGCGGCGATTTTCCACCGTTCGCATACGTGGACCGCCCGGGCCAAACGACAGCACACGACACCGTGAATGGTCTTATCGTGACCGTGGTATATTCTAACCTCTTATTTTAGGTACCACTGTCTACTATGACAACAGTGATGGTCGCTATCTCTATTTATAATTTTTATGTGCTTTCACTAGATAATATGTGTGAATGACATGGCGTCCACGAGGTATGTGACGATAAATCCCAAATCCAGAACATGGAAATTCAAATCCAGGGACAAGACAATCAGCATCGGAATGGCCAAAATGGGGGAAAAAAACCAGCAGACCAGCTCATTGTCACCCACATCCCTGTCTCTCTACCCTACCATGGACAGCTCCCCCCCGGGAGCCGCATCGGGCGGCCGTCGTTACCCCCGTCGCCGACGCCGCGCGGGCCGTCGGATCCCCGCGCAATCATACACACGTGTCGCCGTCGCCCTCGTCGTCGTCGTCGCGGCCGCCTCCGCGGCATCCGTAGTACTAGTAAAATGCAGCGCGGAAGGCGGAAGGAGGCGGACCCAAAAAAAAAAAAACCGAAAGAAAGAGGGTAGCGGCCTCCGAGCTTGTGTCCCAGGCGGCCTCTACGTGGCTCAACCACCGCCTCGCGTTCCGCGGCCGGGGGGCTCGCATGCAAGCCTAGCTAGCTTCACATTCCCTTCCCTTCCCCGCATTGCTGCGAGCGACGCTGCTTCTGCTTGCTTGGTTCGCTTGGCCGCCGCCAGATGCGATCTTCTCCTTCCTCTCCGATCCTCTCCTTGGCCTCCTTCCTCCCGTTGCTAGCTCGTGCATGGTGGCTTCTTCTTCTTCTTGCGCCGGTTTGGTGATCCTTGTTGCGCCGGTTTGGTGGTGATCCGATCGAGGACGGAGGAGGAGCGCGCGGGGGATCCGGTGATGGGAGAAAAGCTGTGAAATGAGATGGTGGTGATGCGCTACTCCCCGAGGTGGGCTGCTGCATCACAGATTGATGATTGAGTAGAAATCTATTATACTACGTCGTCTTTTCTTGTAGATGGTTTCTTTGTGCTGTTTAATCTGCTTTTTCTGTAGAGCTTTAGTTTTTATTTTATTTTATTTTTACATATCACGTAGAAAGATTACAGGCTTTTTTTTAGAAGGTGAAAAATTGCAAATTTTTTGAAAGAACGAAAAATTGCAAATTGAGCGTAGATGCATTTTTTTACTCTTTATCTTGGTCGTCTGATCCATCCACGGATTCGTTTGGGTCTAGCTAAGACCGAAAGGTATCAAGAAGCTGGGAATATCTGCTTTTTTGGACAAAAAGACACAACAAGATTGGAGTTTTTGCATCTACTAGTTCATTTATTAGGATAGTTCGATTCTTGCATATGAGTGGAAAAGAACTTATAATAGACTAGTCTTGACTCTTGACTATGACTCTTATCAGTTAGATGGATGCCCAACTGCGTTGTTATTATACAGCAGTATAAGAAAAATATGTACTTTTGTCATTTGTAGGGGAACTCTAATTTATAATTACTTTCTACCTTGCATGTATGCTATGATATGAACAGAAAATTTTCTTTTTGTTTATCTGTTAATCTTTTCAAAGGGTCCTATTTGATATGCTCCAGTGTAAAAGAAAAACAGACTCATGCCATATGTCCTGCAAATAATCCTATTATCTTTTAGCTAAAAAAAAAATCCTCTTATCTTATAGTCTACTGAAGGCATATGGTGGCATTCAGGTGCAGGTGTAAATGCAGTCATAATATTCGGCATGAGATCTGTCTCTGAGCTGGTGTGGTCTCCGGATGAGGGTTTGAGCATTAAAATTGCAGCGTCCAGCTTAAGTACAAGGAAAACTTCTCTTCATTGGAATGCAGATACCTTGAGCATAGTAATATCTTCACCTCAACAGAGTGGTGCTGGGGAGAGTGGTCATATCATAGATGCTACAGTAGAAGACGCAGAAAAGATGCCATCCCAGTTACGAACTCGCAGTGACAGTTCAGCGAGAGTATTCATGTCTAGCCCAAGTAGAATAAGAAACACTGATGCTCAACAATCTACTTCTATAAGATCACATGGGCAAGATTCAAGTAAGTTTAAAAGACATGAAGGTTTTGAGTAGTTCAAAGGCAGTTTGTTGATGCTTTGATTTTATTGGCCTAAGGATCTGCATTTATCAGTTGTTGTTCGTCTTAGCAGCACAACTTTTTCAGGACAAATCTAACAAGAGTACTGAATTAAATTTTTGAAAAAAAAAAGAGAGAAGGAAACTGCTGAATTAACTTTTCAAGAAAAGTGGAGACTGCTGAAATTAGCATAATCAGCACAAATTGTAAAGCATCTCTACTGATTGTTTGCTATGGGCATCTGTTACCTATTATCCAAATAGAATAAAAATCTTATGGGTTTTCCATTTCTTTCATTGGATGGCCATTTCCTCACTTAATGCCTGGCTTAATACCTGTAGAATACTGTGGTGGGATGGATGTGATGAATGAAGGGAAAGAAACGTCTGACAACTTCTGTGTGGATAAGCTGGAGAAAGAGGACGAAGTGGGTAGCTGTCCCACAAGATACTGCAACGATACTTCCCACAGTCTAGGTAATCAATTAAGAACCATGCTCTTTTCAATTCCTGACAGTGGAGACCTTACCGTAGCATTTTACAGGTTCAGCTTCCAGAAAAGAGGTCATGCCTATTATTGCTGAAAAACAGGCTTTCTGTGCAACTACTGTCCATGATGAAAGATCTTGGGCAGCTAATGCTTGGCGTGCTCGATTAGTAAAAGCAATTAGTCAGAAGGACTCTGTTTTGCCAAAGAATGCAGACAATATACATTCAACTTCGGCCTTTGGGAGCATTGGTAATACAGAAAACATGCCTGGCAAATTGACAAGTATGCTAGGTAATAGAAATGACAGTAGCCAAGATCAGGCTATGCAGGAAAAGCATAAGGATGGGCTTATTGTTGCTAGATGTGAGTCCGTGTCTGCTGTGAATCCTGTTGCTAGATGTGAGTTAGCATCTGGTGTTAATCCTTTAGCAAGACATGAGTCGACATCCGGTTGTAATCCTAGAAAGCTCGAGAAGGGGAAAGAAAAGCTTATCTATGATATGAGTAATTGTGTTAGCAACACAAATGAAGGTGATGACAGCAATGAGAGTATAGAGAGCTGCCCAAGTACAAAAGCTCCGAAGCGGAAGCATGGTCAATTTTCTGCAGCTGAGATGACGTCTGGAAATAAAAGATGTAGAAGGGAAGATAATGAGAGTTCTTGTTCAGGATTATTCCACAAAAATGATAGCTCTTTCTTTAACTGGATGTCAACTCTCACTAATGGAGTAAAGGTGTTTGATGAAACTACTGCTGTTCCACTTAATCAGAAGTTTTCAGCAGCTACAGGAGAGGAATTTCCAACAAACCCTGTGCCACTTCAAAACAACTGTGGTGTTCCGCTGCAATCCGTTGGCTTCAATTCTCTTTTTCAATCTCTTTATAGTCAGAATGTTATGATAACTTCAAGAAATACCTGTCACCAGTCAGAAAGCAGTTACACCGCCAACAGGCTAACACTGGGTTTCAAGAGTAGCAAACCAGTTAGCATGGGCAGAGAAACTCTTAATGTGGCTACTGAGACTTTAGCTGCGGGCAGAATTCAAATGGATTCTTATGGTGACAGAGGGGCATTTCAAAATCAAATGGGAATTTTCCCTTTAAGAGCAGAAAGAAATCAGAATGGGTTCCATGGAAGCTCTTCAAATGCTGCATCGGGACATAAAGATGATTTCTCAGAAAGCTTATGGGTAAGTAGACTTTTGCCAAAAACACCCATGAAAGTGATGGACACAACGCGCTGTGATGAAGAAACTGATTTTTGTTCTGCTAACCCAAAAGGTTTAGGTGATAGTTCATCACCGCAGGATTTTAATGTGGAGAAGGAATTAAACAATTCACAATACTTTACTAGCAAAGGAAGTGACAATGAAACTACAAGTAGCAAATGTGCGGCGCCTCAAGACGAAAATAAACCATCAGAAACAATGGCATCAATTTTTGCTAAAAGATTGGATGCGCTTAGACATGCAAATACATCAGCAGTACATGTGGCCATTACATGTGACCATGGAACACCCAAAGGGCGTAATCACAAAACAAGTTCTTTTGTTGTTAGTTACAATAGTCATGATGAGCAAGAATCTGGACAAAAAACTCACAAGTCTTCTGGTGGAGAAGGAAGAATAGTTTTATGGACAGGTGACAAAGGTAAGGAACAATTATCTCCTGGGAATGACAAAGAATTAGGAGAAAAGGTTTTGTCTAAGCATGAAAATCAGAATTGTGAAGGGAGCTCTGATGGAAAGGTGGTACCCCCTAAATGTAATTTAGAAACAAACACATATATTGAAGAAATTGATCGGAAGAGACTACAAAATAAAGAAGGAGCACCAAATTCCATGGAGAATCAGCCAGATAACAAACAAATGGTACCTTATGGTATTGTGCCCAATGATGTTTATGACGAAGCAAGTGTAGTTTTTGGAGCCTTGCAGAGGCTCCGTTTGTCTCGCTCCGATATAATAAGGTACTCTAAAGGATTTTACGTATCATCTTTGAATTCTGGTACTTAATCATTTCTACCTTCTATCTAAATCATGAATGCTTGGGTTTGGAGATTCCATAACATTTTCTACATTTAAAGAAGGGAACATCGAAAGAATCACATTAAGGAATATTTCATTGGGCAACAGTAATTCTCATATAGCTTCATATGGTAGTCTGCTGTTTTTCAGTTATCAAGTACTTCATAGGGGTGACTGGGAAAAGTCACCGAGCTACTGAGCACATAAAAAAGTTACCTTCTATGAAAAACGACATGTGTCTCGGCTACTATAAAGTAGAATATGATACATCTATTTAAAGTGACCATTGCTAATGAGAAAATGAATAATGAGTTGTAAAAAATGATACATATGCCTTACATTCCCCTAGGAAGCCAAAGGTGCCTTAAAATTAAAATAGCTTTGAGAAATATTATTGAAACAGTGTCTGTAGTATTAGTAGGTATTTTCTCTAGTTTAATACTAATATCAGTGTGTTCTGGACTTCTGTTCATTGATCAAATTAATATACATAGGGGTATCCCTCTCTATGTAAGTGATCTCCAAGTTAGGGAAAATCCTGAGAACCTGATATTTAATTCATGTGTTTGTACTACTATTTCTTGACAGATGGATGAGGTCACCAGTTATGCACACCACCTTAGATGGCTTTTTCTTGCGTCTACGATTTGGTAAATGGGAGGAAGCATTGGGTGGCACTGGATATCATGTTGCCAGGATAAATGGTAAATGACTAAACAATTGTGCATAATATGTTGCAGAATAATGTGTTCCTTTCTTTTTTAAAAAAGAAAAAACAATTAGATAAAAGGAAAAGGAAGTGATATGCCTTCTCTTACAGGAGTACTGGATAAGAATCGCCTTTCTGTGACCATCAGGAATTCAACTTGCCAAGTAGATTCTCGCTTTGTATCCAACCATGACTTCCACCAGGTAATGTATCAAAAGATAGTACTGTTGTCCAAGTTGTTATGGACCACGGAACAACAATAAAAAAAATTCCAAGTCAAATCTTTTTTTTTCTTGGAGGGAATTTTATTGTTTATAATTCAAAGTCTAAGATAAGTGAATCTCATCTTTTCTAGGATGAGCTGAAGGCATGGTGGTCAGCTGCCATGAAGAGTGGCTGGAAACTGCCTTCGCAAGAAGAACTCAATACGAAGCTACGAGAAAGAGAGCTGCTTCGTTTTTGAAACGGAAAAGGCACAGACGCCCCAGCTCCAGATGACAGATGCCAACATCAATTACAGAGGTTTTTCTCTTGCTTGCCTCTGGTCTGAAAACGCCAGCGATGCAAGCATCATCACTACCGGTCAGGCTAATTAAGTTCTGCACTGTACTGCTGGGATTGCTATCCCCACGGTTGATGGTATATTGAGAGAGAAATCAGGCTGCCGTTTCGTGCCGTGGCGTAAGCAGCTTGTATTGTATTTTAAGTACACGATTTGACGATTTGATTTTTACGATCGGATGAGCAGTTGCACGAGTTGTTAACTACTTATTGCTCATCCTATCTGCTGTAAATAGGAAGCTACTAACAGTCACAGTGCAGTGCAATCGTACAATTTGTACTACTGCTGCTGCTGAATATAAATACTTCCTGAAAGAATAAAAAAAGTTATGCTGGCTGCCAATCTATGCTGTGTTGGGCTGGGCACCTATGGTTGGAACTCATCCTATGGACGTAAATGGACGTAAAACGACGCAACTCATGTTAGTATGAATTATTTAAGTATCATAACTTTTAAAATAGAGTAATACAATTTTCTGAAGCAATCTTTCCATATATATATATTTTTTTAAAAATACAGTTTATCAGTTCGGGAAGCATAAGTGTGAAAAACAAATAAATAGAAGTTGGGAAATAATATATTCGGACTCATGGATGATAGATTGACGGGTGAAAGTAAGTTTAGAAAGTATAATACTAGTATTTTTTAAAAAAAAATTAATAAATGTTTGATAAAGAAAATTTTCTTTAAAAAACGGATTACATTATCCAATTTAGGAGCTGTTTAGATTTTAGCCAAAATAAGCCTTACTAAACTGTGTTAATATTACCAAAATTTTGACAGGATTTTATATGTATTTATCAAAGTTTGGTATCAATCTAAGGGCCCTTTTGATTTGTAGGAAAAGTATACGAGATTTGGAGGATTTTAATCCTATGGAAAATATTTCTATGGAAGCTTTTGAAATAATTGATTGAATCCTATTCTATCCTCTAAAATTCCTATGTAATAAGTAATCCTATAGAGATTTTGGAGAAAAGTTAGCAAGAGGTTCAAACTCTTGGAAAAATTCATTTGAGTCTATCTCTTTCATCCGATTACTGTGTTTTTTCTGTGGTCCAATTAAACGGTCATTCTTGTGTTTTTCCTGTATTTTCTAATCATCTGTTTTACACTTATATTCCTGTCAAAATCCTACGTATTTTCTATTCCTCTGTTTTTCTATTCTTGTGATTCAAAGGGACCCTAAATGTAAATATTTTTTTAGCCACTTTACTTAAAAAAATGACATTAATCTGAACTGTCCCTTAATAGCTCGAGAAGTGTCTCCACGATGACGGGGCCTCACCCTTGAGAGGCGGAGATCACGCCCGATACCGTCGAACGGCGAGCGCGGCCGCTTGCGCTTTGGCATCAGAGCCGCGCGCGTAACGCATAAAACGGCAGATTAGTCGTCTGCCCGTGTCCGTCTCAGCTCGAGAAAAACCATCGAAACCTGACGCGATGCAGCGCTGCGTACGTGCTGCTGCGACGCGACGCGGCGATCTTTACCTTTTGCCTCGCTTCTTTCCCGCACGCGCGGCTCGCGCATGCATGCACGATGCGTATCCCCCTCCCGCACCGGTCCCTACCTTAGCTCCCTCCACCACCGCACACTTTTGGATCTCCCTCCCCTGCTCCACCCTCCTGGCCTCAAACTAACCTGCATCTTCGTCGACGCGCGACGCCCTAGCTTGGCGCGCGACGGACGGATCGATCATCGGCCGATGCATGCATGGGCGCCTGTGTTCTGAGCCAGCATGCGGCCAGCTGCATCGTCGTCCTCCTCCTCCTCTCGCGACCGGCTGACGATCAGCCGGCCGACGGAGAAGGACGACGTCGTAGAAGAGAAGAGGGACGGCGGCGACGTGACGGCGGCCGTGCCGAGGCTGGCGGTGTACGGCGCCGGCCGCGTGCACGAGATCGAGCGGTTCTCGCACTACGTTGGTACGTACGTACGGTTTCTCTCCATCGATCACCTAATTAATTTACGTTACTTTGTTTTTGTTTGAAGCCAAACCTTAAACGTACGTTGCTCTTCTCACGTTGTTAGCCAGCTAGCGCGTCGCGTCGTTTCTGAATTCTTAAATTCCATGAGACGTGTGCTCCGATAGTCCGATTCTTATAATGATTTTCATTGGGATCAGTTTTACATTCGTAAGAGCAAGTTTAATAGCATAACTCATTACTATCTCCAAATCATATATAGAAAATACAATAGTCAATTCATACAATAGCGCTTACTATACTATTAATACCCGATCTCACTTGTCATACACACATTACGTCTTGAAGCCGTGCTGCAGCTGGCTACATATCTATAGCCTGCTGTTTTTCTCTCTCTTTTTTTATCTCTTTAAAATATGTTTATAGTTGACTTATAGCCTGCTATTGTACCTGCTCTAACACATGAGGCAAAGAAGCAAAGCTAGTGGAAAAAAAAAGGGGGAAACTTGAATGCAGGTAAAGCGACTTTGGAGCCAGTCCATGGACGCATCCTCTGTATCGGATTCGATGCACAGAGTTTTGCATCTGAACATTTTGGTTAAGCTAGCTGTAGTGTAAAAAGTTCACATGGACCAAAACATTTTATTCTCAACACTTCACAAATGCAATAGAAATGACTCCGGCTCGGGCGCCTGATGGAGGGTTTTTAAAATCGGGAGCTGATTTCAGCATGACATCAGCGTCACGTATCCTTGCAAAACCACTTTAAATTGATTTTTCTCTTAAATTACTTACCCAAATTATGATCCGATCGCACTATTAAATTCATTACAATTAAAATTTCAAAACAAGACCACACATGGATATATTCCGACGAAAAAATAGCTTATTATTGAATTATTTTTAAATGTTGCACGATGTTCCATCAGGTATATCGGAATTGTTTCACTAAGTAGATCGAAAATGTTTCACTCGTTTAAATCGGGTGTTGTTTCACCTTATATAAAAACAATGTTTCAGCAAATAGCGAAAGAATGTTTCAGTTCACTATAACGTTAGATCTATGCATAGTGAAACATTGTGAGTACACTAGGTGAAACATTTTTTATGGAACAAAAAATGAAACGAATTCCCATAATAGAGGGTTTCCAAAATATGTAGGTGATTTGTTGCAATAGAGTATTTCAGTTCACTGCAACATTAGATCTATATATAGTGAAACATTGTGAGTGCACTAGATGAAACATTTTTTTGGAAAAAAAAATAAACCAAATTCCCTTAATAGAGGGTTTCTAAAATATGTGGATAATTAATTTGTTACAATGGAGTATATGTTGCAAATAAGTGGCAGGTGAGAGCAGAGACGTGGTGAGGCTCAGGGACAGAGAGCGCGCGTCGTGGAGGAGGGAGCGCCCGATATTTCTCCCTCCCCCGAGCGACCGATCCGGGGCATTCCCCAAATGCAATAGCCATTTTTTACGATCATCTGTAATAGTATATCGTACAGTTTTGTAGCGCCCGTTCCGTCGTGGCGCCTAGCGGGAAAACTATCTCTTAAAAACTCTATTTGCGAAATCTGTTTCTTTGCTTGTTGTCTAGTGTCCGTGCCATCTCAGATCTCAAATCCCCGATCTATCGCCGAGTTCAATCCCGAATCCAAATCCTTCCCAAATCAATTCCTCCGCAAAAGTCTATTTTGCCTCCCCGGGTTCGATGGGCCGAATCTCTCTCGGCCCATCTCCCCCTCCCTCCCCGGGTCTCTCTCTCTCTCTCTCTCTCTCTCTCTCCCTCTTCTCCGCTCTGCCCGCCCGTCGCGCGCGCGTGCGCGTGAGCCGCGCCGAGCCGAGCCCTCCTGCCTCGCGTGCGCGCGCCCGCGTGGCCGCTGCCCTGCCGCGCCTGCGCCGTCTGCGCCGCCCGGCCCCGCTGCCCCGCCGCACCTGGTGGCCGACCGCCTGGTCGCCGCCGCCGTCAGCCTCTGCCGCGTCTGCCCGCGCCTGCCGCCCGTGTCGTCGCCCCGCTCCAAACCGCCCCGCCGTCATCGCCGTCGTCATCGCCCGGCCCCCGCCACTCCGCGCGCAAGCTGCCAAGGGACGGAGGCAGAGCTCCTCCTCCCTCTGCCGCGTCGTCCCCGCTCCCTCCTCCTTTTCCCGAAGAGGCAAGGGGACAAGCCCCCTTTTCTCTCCCTCTTTTCCCCTTTTTCCTCCCGCCGGCGTCATCCTCCTCCCTCCTCCCTGTCGCCGCTTTGGCCGCGACCGCCGAACGCTAGCCCTCTCCTTTGACCGCCCTAAGTCGGTTCCCAAACCGACATTACCATCCTATAAACCCAAGCTTCCCCCTTTCCTTTCCTCTCCCATTCGCCTCCACGCCATTGCCGCCGCCTCCCGTGCTCTGTTCGCCGTCGCCGTTCGTCGTTGCGCGTGTCGGAGGAGCCGGCACGAGCAAGGACGCGGAAGGGGACTCCGAGCGCGCCCACTCCTTCCTCTTCCCCGGCCCGAGGCCGGAGAGATTACTCCCGCGCCGTCGGCCTCTCGTCACTGCGCCCGCCCGCACGGTAGTGCATCTCCCCGTTCTCCCTCCTCGCTCCATCTCCTCCCCTTAGACTCGGGTAGTAGCACGAGTAGCCTCCCCGTAGCTAGCCGGCGCCGCCCCGACCGTTGCCGCCGCTCGCCGTGTGCTCGCCGCCGTCGCCGCCCGAGCTCGGAAGCGCCGCTCGTCGCCGGCCTCGCTCGGCGCAGCTCCGCCCAATCCAACGCTAGCATCGGATTCCCGTAGCCGCGTAGATGCTCTCGCCGCCGGGAATCGGCCCCTCGTGACCTCGTCGCCGTTTCCCCCTTCTCCCGCCGCCGGTTGCCGCCGCCGCAATTCGCCGCCGTCGGGCATCCTCCGGCGAATCCGAGCAGTTGGCTCGTCTCCCCTCGTCCTGTGCAACCACCCGGTGTGCTCGCTTTCGCCTGTATCGCCGTGGTTCGCTCCGCCGCTCGCCGCTGTCGTCCGCCGTCCGTTTCGGCCGGCGTCGTCGTCTACCTCCCGCCGGCCCGCGTGGCAGCCACGTAGGCGCCACGTCGGCGCCAGCTCGGCCAAAACCGGGTCGAGTCGACCCCGGTTAGCCGCTCCCTCCCCATGCGCGCGGTCCACCGCGAGCCGTGAGGCTGCGCGTGGGCCCGCCGCATCCGCGTCCTCCGCGAACCGCGCGCGTGCACCGCGTCTCTCCCCCATCCTAGCGCCGCGCCGCGTGCTCCCTCCGCACGGTGAGCCGAGCCGCTGACAAGCGGGTCCCACTCGGGACCACGCGAGGTGAGCCCGGTCCACCGGCTCTCTCTCTCCTCCCCTCCCGCGCGCGCGTGCCTTGGGCCGCCTTGGGCCGGCCGGCCCATTTAGCTCGGCCGAGCCGCCCCTTTTCTCTCGGGCCGCGCCCTAGCCGTCCGAGGGAAGTGTAATTTCCCTCCCTCTTTTCTTTTCTTTTCTTTTCTTTTTCAAAAAGGATTTAATTAAATCCTTTTCCTGTAGACCAAAAATCCAATAATATTAGAAATTCAATATCTTCCCAACCGTAAATCCGTTTGACTCCGTTCAACTTCCAAAATCCCTCAAATCTTAAGATCTATCTAATGGCATGCTTAGAGGTCATTAATAGGGCTTTATTTTCGCCGTTTGTTGAGTTGTCCCGTTCTGCGCGTAGTTTCGGAGCCCGAAGACCCGCAGTGCGAGGATTTCGAGGATCAAGCTCAAGATCTCGAGCAAGGCAAGCCACCTTTGAACATTTCGAGCCTATATTTGAATTTAATCATGTTGCTTGAAAAATATTATGCATTGATAGGATCGCACTTAATCTGTTTGTCCCGTCTGCAAGGCAGATTGTCGGACCTACCTAGTTTGTTGCATTTGATCCTTCCTTTGTTAATTGTTATACCATGTTCCCTTGTAACCACCCAGTTGCGCCTCGAAAATCGTGCACTCTGCACGAGTATCGACGATCGCCTTCAAACTTAAAATCTGAAAAACTTCTTGGGTAAAACTTGGGTTTTACAAAAGACTTGGAAAACCCGACACCTGGGTCGGTGCTTGCGAACTAAATGAATTTTCCAAAACCGCGGACCGGGGAACGTACCGGGTGTACGGTTTCCCGCTCTTGCACTTAAGGACCGTTTCCTTGGAATTTCATCCAAACATAAGACAAGTACGACCACATGGGTGGAATGGGACACCCCTGGCTGAGTAACTAGCTTATCAGGGGAGCCTTGATGCCGAGAGACATGTGGATTCGCCGGGGTGGTGTCGGGGAGGACCCCTGGGTTTCCTGGCACAGTATGGTCTGGGACCTAATCTGTTGTTGGTCTGGGACCCCTCTCGTCGGCATATGGTAAACCTGTGTCGGCTTTGAAAATGCCTTGTCATGAAAGCTTGGAGGTCTCCCGACGTGGCTGATCCACACGGGCTGGGTGATCCGGGTTAGTAATGTCGTGTGGGTAAAGTGTACCCCCTCTGCAGAGGTTAACAAACTGTTCGAACAGCCGTGCCCACGGTCATGGGCGGATGTGAGGTGATTCCTAGTGTAGTTTTGTTTGACTACTACTTGTGAAATTGCTGTTGTGGAAAGGGGTTCGATGTTTAAAAAATCTGCAGCTGATGGGATCAGCTAGGCCCGGGTGGCCATTTGAAAGTTGTTGGCCCGGGTGGCCGTTTGAAAGTTGTTGGCCGGGTGCCAATCTTGATCAATTCTAAAGACTGATACATTTGCACATACTCCGACCGGACGAGACGCACTGTCTCATCCATGTTGTTTGAGAAGCACTCACTTAGTTGCTTTCAGAAAAGAGTTCAAATAAAATCAATTGCAAAAACAACAGCCTTTCCTTGAAGCCTGCATTAAACACTTATTTCCCATGGCTTGCTGAGTACTCCCGTACTCACACTTGCTCTATATAAATAATCTCCCCCCCAGTTGCTGAAGAAGATGAAGCGGATCCCGCTGACGAGAAGTTCTTCCAGGAGCAAGCCGGCTACGATGAGTTTTAGGGTTTCGGCCTAGTTCCCAAGTCGCGCCTGTGTTGTTTGGTCCAAGTCCTGGCTTCCGCTTCCCTTTTGTAATGCAGTTGTGAGCTCGGGATCTGTCCACAGCCTGACTTGATTGTACTCCTACTCTATAATAAAGAGACCTCTGTTGCTGTGATATTATGTCTTCCTGTGATACCAGCACTGTTTCCTGGGACTGGTATCGATTAACAGGTTAATTTGGAGCGTCACGGGCTAGTTTCGGTCGGTACTAGTTCGGGGCGTGACAAGTTTTCAACTGTATGTGTTCAGGTGTTCGATTACATCAGTGTTTTTGTCAAAGCTAATTCACCTTGCTGTTCATATCTATCCATCCATTATAAAAGATTTGAAAATATTTAACAAGATATAAATATGCGATATATCGCTTCACAAACATGTAAGTCAAACCAAAATACCCAATAAGCATAAGCATTAGCTCTCCCTGAAAAGGAGGTGATCTAGCCGCACCTTCCAGTATGGCTACCTTGTTACGACTTCACTCCAGTCCCAAGCCTAGCCTTAGGCATCCCCTCCTTACGGCAGTTTATTGGCTCGTTCATTCACTCGCTGGGTAAGGAGGCAGTGACTTACAAGATGTCGAAGGGAAAGTAGAACTTCTTCGGTGCTTGCCGCTACTGCCGCAAATCAACTCAAGCTCCTCGTTCCATCATGAAAGAGTAAAGCCCCAAAATAGGTACACAGCGTTTGCTATTGCAATAAGGGCTGCTCGCCTTTCCTTTTGACGGCTTGGCTTCCTATCGCTCCTATGTAGTGGTCGGCCTTAAAAGTATCTTTGGACGAGGTCCTACGGTAGGTAAGAGCACGCACAAGCACTTGACCGAAGGGGACCAACGCTTCTACTCCTCCACCGAGGAGCTTTTTTTAAGAATACCGAGTCGGGTTCTTCTCCTACCAGTATCGAATAGAACATGTTGAACAAGATCTTCTTCATGGAAACCTGCTCAATTTAGATTGGTAAAATCGTACAGATTTTGAAAAGAACCCCTAGGGGGTAGTGAAATAGAACGTGAAACAGTGCTGAGCTCCCAAGCAGTGGGAGGGGAAAGTGATCTCTGACCGCGTGCCTGTTGAAGAATGAGCCGTTTCATTCTTGCGAACGTACTCCCCAAGCGAGATACTTAACGCGTTAGCTACAACACTGCACGGGTCGAGTCGCACAACACCTAGTATCCATCGTTTACGGCTAGGACTACTGGGGTCCTGTCCAAGCCAAAGAACTTACCCCCGAAAAGTCCTGACAAATGATGATTGAGACGAGATTCCGCGTTTTTGAACCACGAAAGGCCAACTTTCATAATTAAACGCTGTCACTGTATGGATAACTCTTATTGTGAAAAGAGCTATTTACTCTATAATAGATAGGTAGAGCCAAAGAATGTGAACCCTTTGGAAGGCTGTGGGCGATGAGGGATTCGAACCCCCGACACCGTGGTTCGTAGCCACGTTTCGACTGTATATAAATTGCAATTAAATTTATAGAATTAAAAGTTAAGAGTTGACAAGATAGATTAAATATAATTATATTTATGGAATCAAAAGTTAAATAGTGTTGTACAATAAGTCCAATTAGCATTTCCAGCAACAGCCCCTAGCCCCCTATTGTAAAGCCTCTAAAGGTCTAATGGGGGTTGCCCCCATCTTCAGCTACAAACCCCATTTCTTAGGCTCCATCTCTGTGTGTGTGTGTTTTAGTACGCACATTATATTTATGTCTAGTTTAACACCAGAATAATTCAAACACGTAGAATTCAACCGTATTCAAATTTATAATTTTGAATACCATAATTCAAATTTAAATTCAAAATTTTCAACATTGCAAAATGCATAATAAAATTCAATTTTCACAATCACACACGTATGCAAGTTCACAAGAATTATATGATTTTTTTAAAATAACATATACTACAAACATGAATGGTTCAATCCGGACAACCGACTACTAGCGCGAGACATTGCTAGAGTTGCTACGCATGAGGTCAACGACCTGCGACGTGTCAGTGTGGAGATCACGTAGGTTGACGAACGACATCGGACAGGGCAACGTTGGACTATCCTAGCAAGATGGTGATCAGATAATAGCCGGCGGCACGACAAAAGAAAAGAGGGTAGCAACACAGTGAGAGCGCGAGAACAACGGGAGAAGCGCGCGCTAGGGAATTTTCACACGCACCAAAAAGAAAAAGAGATGGGGTTGGGTGTAGAGCCTCTAGGATTGAGGGCTATGGACAGAGATTTCGGTGCCTTTCTATTTTAGGGGCTTTAATAGCGGTCCTGCCGTCCTGCTGGATCTCAATTTTTCTCCTTTCACCCCAAAAACTATTTAGGGGTTTAATTAGTTTAGGGGCTCTGCTGGAGATGCTGTCTAGTCCGTGTAAATTTGCACGGCATAATCTGCTAGTTGTTCATTATCCTAAATATCAATCAAATGATATATTTTTTTTCAGCTAAGCAGATAGGGATTGAGGATGTGAGCGAGTGCCCCCACCTTTGTGCACTAGCTTACGGTTATCTGAAGAAGACTGAGGGTTATGAACAAAACCTACTCGCGTTCTTCCATAACAAAATAAACTCGGACGCTCTTCTCGTGCTGTTGATTGAGGAGCTAGACAAATGTATACTCGGCTACTTCTCCTTCCATTGGAAATTTGCCACTGAAGTAATCACACAGGTAGGAAAGATTTACTCATCCCGTGTTCTGCATTACCAATCAACTGTTAGTCCTTGAGATACTCTAAACACTGAAATGTTGGAGCCACTTAATTTCTTAGGTTCTAACAGCAGAGCAGCCTAGAAGAAAGCTCAAAACCATGGTGTTAGAAGCCACTAGGTAAATAATCATGCTTTATTAATCTGGAATATTTTTTGTAAGAATTAACCAGGATTGATTCTATTGATTTTGGTACAATTATGATCAAGAAAGAATGAAATCTGGTTCTTAATTGTTTTGTTTCTTCCTTTTTTGGACAAAAAGAAAGATGAGGTTTGAGAGGGTGTCAAGGAAGCTGAAGGTGACGAGGCTGTTCTCCACGCTGGTGGAGGAACTGAAGGTCATCGGGGTCACCTGCAACGACGGCCAGCTGCGCGACGCCGACGCCGACGTGATGGTCCCGGCGGCTCACCGCGACCGCAGCCCGGTCCTGCTCCTGATGGGCGGTGGCATGGGCGCCGGCAAGAGCACCGTGCTCAAGCAGATCATGAAGGGGTCAGTCCGTTCGTCCACTTCGATCACGGACTCGAGCAGGCACGCGTGACGCGGCGATTGAGCTGACCACCACCGTGGCGTACGTGCAAAATGCAGGTTGTTCTGGTCCGGCGCGGCGGCGCACGCCGTGGTGGTGGAGGCGGACGCGTTCAAGGAGTCGGACGTCATCTACCAGGCCATCAGCTCGCGCGGCCACCACAACGACATGCTGCAGACAGCCGAGCTGGTATACGTACCACGCTTGCCCTGAACCTGCTCAATCGTCAGCCGGATCGGTCTGTGTGGGTCTGGATGTGTCTGACACGTACGGTGTCGCGTGCGCAGGTGCACCAGTCGTCGATCGACGCGGCGGCGTCGCTGCTGGTGACGGCGCTGAACGAGGGGCGGGACGTGATCATGGACGGCACGCTGTCGTGGGAGCCGTTCGTGCTGCAGACGATCGCCATGGCGCGGTCCGTGCACCGGCAGCGGTACCGGATGGGCGTGGGCTACAAGGTCGCCGCCGACGGCAACGCCACCGAGCAGTACTGGGAGCCCGTCGAGGGCGCCCCCGTGCCCAGCGGGAGGAGGCCCTACCGAATCGAGCTCGTCGGCATCATCTGCGACGCCTACCTCGCCGTCGTCAGGGGGATCAGGTAATTAACCAACCAACTACAATTAACGTGTTCACGCGCCTGATCGAGCCTAGCTGACACGACACGATCGATCGATCGATCTACCCGTGCGTTAGGCGAGCCATCATATCGGGGCGAGCCGTGCGGGTGAGCTCGCAGCTCAAGTCGCACAAGCGGTTCGCCGGCTCGTTCCGCAAGTACTGCGACCTCGTCGACAGCGCCAGCCTCTACAGCACCAACACCATCGCCGGCGCGAAGGTATTATTCCTAACCCGTTCACCGATCGATTCCCCGTGTGATGATACCGTGCTGTGTGTTTGAGACGTTGTACGCGTGCGTATATATGTGCGCGTGCAGTTGATCGGGTGGAAGGACGTGGGGAGCAGGCTGCTGGTGGACGTGGAGGAGATCGGGCTGCTGGACAGGGTGAGCAGGATCAACGAGGAGGCCAACGGCGTGCACGAGCTGTACCCGGACGGCCACCCGACGGACGGCGCCGGGTCGGTGTGGGAGGATCTGGTGTCGTCGCCGGCCAGGGCCGCGATACAGCGGGAGCTCAGGGAGGCCATCCTCGATAGCGAGGCCTGCTTCCCGTCGCCGTAGGCTGCACAGCAGCAAGAGGCTATGTACCGATGCAGATTTGTTGGTTCGTTCGTTCACGTTCGCTCACGACACGATCGTACTATACGTGTCGTGGTGACGTAGTAGGTAGGGGTGATCTCTTTGTTTTTCCGTACACCAACTCTACTGTTTGATGATGGTATCGACGTTGACTAGTCGACCGATGCCATCCGTCGGCGATGGACTTTTCGGGAATCGTGACATCTGTCACGTGCTGATGCGCTGATGGGGCCATCTTACACAGGCAGCCCTCGACGCTTAGGGCCATCTTCCTTGAAGAGGTTAGAAACGTATTAGGCCTGAAAAGGGGCCCGAGTACAGCGCTGCAAGAGAAAAGAAGGTAGCAGCAACAGCATTTCGGCCCTGTTTCGCTATTTGAAATGCATGATTTTTTTTATTTTATTTTTGTGAGGATTGAAATGCAGGATTTTTTTTACTTTGGTCAAACATTGACATCATACTGTATCTCACACGTTTTCTTTGAGTAATTGTCTATATGATTCACATATTCTAGAACTGCACTATAGTAAAAGGGGTATTTTTTAAGAGAAACAGTAAAGGAGTAATAAGAAGGTCCTTTAGAAATTTATGGATTGTCCACTGGAGGTTTTCACTGATCTTTTCTGGAACTAGCCAGGTTCCCTTGGCTTGTAATTCTGCATCCAATGTTTTTGGAGAGCACGCAAAGTAGTGTTGATCTCTGTGAAAACCAGTTTCTTTTGACATCCTTAAGAGGAATGCGACAAATGCTAACTCAATGTTCGGTTGCAAAACCAAAAGAAAGCAAGAAATGGTAAGAAAATGTTCAGTTACAACGGCCTATTCAGAATGCGAGTCTTAAGGGCCTCAAACAAAATTGCTCTCTATTTCACCTGAAATACAAAAATGGACTGTGACCTGATGCATGTTGCAAGCACAGTTCAGAATGTTTACATACTTACTTACCTCAGACGAAAATATGATACCAACAAAATGAATTAATCATGAACGTAATATACTATGCCCAACTTAGCAAGCATCATGTCTTGTGCATTGCACTACCAGGTAACCTCTTAACCATAAAGAATCAACAGAATCTGCAGGTACCAAAGAGCAAAAAGACAACATGCAATTCTGAATTCTGCAGAGTTGAGTTTTCAATAGGAAGTTCAGAGAGGGATAACCAAGCTTGACCGAAAATTTAATCAATCCATCATGGTAAAGAATACAAAAGAAATCAAGATTCAACCATTTTGGGTTCTGCATTCAGTTTAGAACCTCAATGTTCACGCTTCATTCAGTAACTTTTCAAGAGAACCAGAGAAGCCCTGACAGAGCTACATAACCAAATATCAGAAACCATAAAATTCCAATTCGTTCAAGGCAAATGTGCACAATCATCTATCAATTAAAACGTTGTGCACTCGTCAAAGAAAATATAAGCACAAGTGCACAACCATATGCACATGTCCACACTGAATATCAGTTGCAGCACAGGATATAGATATACTAATGACTGAATCATCCAATTAAGTGGGAAACACACATTAGCAAACGGTGCACTGCAATTGTAGTACACATTGATCATAGCTGCAATAGCCAAGAGATTTATACTAGAAAAAGGTGTTCTGCTTCTGCTAATGGTTGGAGACTAATCAGAAACTACAAGCTCAGCACTACAATACTATCCAAACTTCCAAACTCAGCAAAAAGAAACAAAGACAATGGAGACGAAGCACACGTCGGGGATCACAAACAAGCTTACCCGTTGAGCAACCAAACTTGAGAGGAGTAGTTCGATGGGTCTTGCTCCGGGAAGCAGAGCTCCACCTGGAGTGCAGGTTTTCCCGTCCATTTCCCGCAGTCTCTGCAGGGGTAAAGCGCCGGTGCGCCGCCGCCCTGCCCGGGAATCCGATGATCGAAGAAGTAGACGCCGCCCTCGAAGCCGGGGTACTGATCCGTGTTGTACGATCTGGAGCAGCCGCGCCCGACGAACAGCATCCTGCCCTCCAGCGAGGGCAGCTCCCTCCAGATGTATCGAACCACGTCGCCGTCGGATCTGGAGCAGGGATCCCCGACGAACAGCATCGTCCGGCCATCCAGTAAGGGCGCGTCGCCGTCGCCGTCGTCGTCTTCCTCGGGCTGTGCCATCCGGAACACCTTGAACGCCGACGTGGACTCTCCGGGACGAGGAGAGCACCTCACGACCATGAGCAGCTCTCCGCTGGACTCCACGAGGTAGCGCGCCACGACGTGCTGCCCGTCGTAGCCGCGCCCCTGCGACGAGAAGCAGCGATACTCCCATTGCACTTGAGGCGGCGCGTTCGCTTCGTCATCGAAGCCCGGATTGCCCACGACGATGTGCTGCCCGTTGGTGAGGAAATGGAAGGCTCCATTGTGGCGCACGACGTCCACCGCATCCCAGCACGCGTCCTCCATGAAGAAGCAGCCGATGACCACCTTATCGTCAATTCGCCAGAACGCAATCTTCTGCCGGTGGTGGCCCGGTACGGGAGCACAATTGTTGACGAATCCGGCGACCACGCATCCATCCATAAATGGGTCCGACGAGAGGGTGGCGGCGTTGATGAACAGCGGGTCGCGCGGGCGCAGCCGCTTCTGCCTAGGCCGCAATACAGGCTCTTCGCGGTCCAACTGGATCCAGACGGGGAGAACGAAGGTATTCGGGGTTTGGTGGAGATTGGTGAGGAAATAATCTCGATAACCCTGAGCTCGAGGATGAGCAGTGGAGACGAAGGCCCAGCCGCCGTCGTACGAGCCGAAGTAGCAAGCGTGGCGAATCCACTCCGGGACGAAGAAGGGGTGGGTGGCGCAGTCGCTCAGGACGCAGGAGAAGGCCAGCTGCTCGGCGAGCGGCAGGATGAGATACGGCAGCTTGGGGGGCGGGAGCAGGGGCGGGAGCCGCTCGAGGTGCTCGCGCCATGGTCGGCAGACGCCGGCGAGGTGCACGCGGTTGTACACGCAGGGGAGGCGGTTGGCGATCTCGCGCACGACGGCGTCGGTGAGGTCCGCCCATGGCGGGAAGTCGGCCATGAGAGACGGAGACGGTGGGGGAGGGAAGAGGAGGGGAGGTTGCGGACTGGGGTGGAGAAGAAGAAGACCAGAGGGATGGGAAGGTTTGATTCCTCTTGTAGCTTCGGGAGGAGGGAGCTGTGTCTGTCTTCGGAGTGGATTAAGGGTTGGTTTGGTTTGTTGCCTAAATAGGTCTTACTAAATTTTGTCAGTGTCAAATTTTGGTAAGGTAAAGTTGTGTTTGGATTGAAGCCAAAATAGCCTAAGTTCACTATTGAAATGACCTATTTTTTTAGGCATGTCAAATTTGGCTTCAAACCAAATAGACACTAAACACTATTAAAATTGTCAAATATTGATAAGCCTAATTTAGACCTCAAACCAAACCAGCCCTAAATTACTTTTTATACTGCAATGAAATGGGCCGGGGAAGCTAGGGCTGTCTGGACCCACCCACTAGGGCTCGTGTGGGCCCGTACTGCCCATAATTCAAGAAACTTAACAAACCCATTCATTTTCATCTCGAATCAAATTAAAAGAGACTATGTCGTCATATTTTTCACAGCATGTACTGTACCTAAATTACATGTGTAATTCTAATGTAAGTCTCATAATTATATGTAGGTTTATAAATTGCGTATATAATTTTAGTGTATTTACAACTTAAATAGGAGAATTACTAATACTGATTAATTAACAAATAACATAAATAAGGGAAGAGACAAATCAGAAGAGAGGAGCGAGGGATATCTCTGTCCATGCCGGCCGTGATATACGGATGTGAGTCACCCACGACGCATGCAAAGCGCATCCTGCAATTCGGACTATCCGACTGAAATCGAACCAAAATGTGGCGACAGAAATTTAGCGATATCTAATTAAAAAAATGCATATTACACATTTTCTCGATTCCAATAACTTATCGAATAGGCAGTCTCTGCCTCTCTGGTCATCAGGCTGCCGTGAGGGGTAGGGGCGGGCCTACTTCAATTCAAGCTGAATACCCAAGATCTTTTTTAAGAAAAAAAAATATAGTATGTACTATGTATATGTGTGTGAAGAAAATGAAAAAAAAATGATGTATTCAGTTCATCTTCTTCACTGCTTGGGCCTGCTTGCCGCCTCCCTGCTTTCCTGGCCCAACTCGATGGCCTAAACAACCCAAAACTAGCTGGCAGCAGTGTTCACTCACCATCGTAGATGGCCTTGCCTGCCTGTGTCACATCGAGTAGCTCTTGAAAATTTTCCAATGCCACACGCCGCACCCCTAGACGCAACTGCGATGCACGATGGAGGAGTGGAGCACGGGACGTCGCCACATTTTCTTTGAGTAATGTCTATATGATCCACATATTCTAGAACTGCACTATAGTAACAGGGGTATTTTTTAAGAGAAACAGTAAAGGAGTAATAAGAAGGTCCTTAAGAATCACTGTAATTCTGCATCCAAATGTTATGGAGAACACGCAAAGGAGTGTCGGTCTCTGTCAAAATCAGTTTCGTTTAACATCCTTTAGAGGAATGCAACAAATGCTAACTCAATGTTCGGTTGCAAAATCAAAAGAAAGAAAGAAGTGGTAAGACAAGAACAGAGCAAGAAATGCTAAGACAATATTTGTTGGAATTAATAGATGGGCTTTAGCCCACTCAAAGATTAATTCTTTGAGTAATCACAAAAGCCCAACTCATAGGATAGCATGTATGGGGAGTTTAGTACCACCTTACTTATTCTAGGAGAGGAGGACCTCCTTAAAAGGGAGGATGCCCTCCTAGCCACTTGAATCATGTGTGGTGGAAAGAAGAGAGGAAACACGCGTGTGCACGACGATGCCAGCCTCCTTTTGCAGGGAGACCTATCTCTATATAAACTGAGCCAACGCCTTCACGCAACACACATAAACCAGGGCGCCCTGATCATGCACGACGATGTAGCCTCCTTTTGCGGGGCGACCTATCTCTATATAAACCGATGTAGCCTCCTTTTGCGGGGCGACCTATCTCTATATAAACCGAGCCATCGCCTTCACGCAACACACATAAACCAGGGCGACGATGCTAGCCTCCTTTTGCAGGGCGACCTATCTCTATATAAACCGAGCCACCGCCTTCACGCCGTCGCTCGTACACTACTCCATCCTCTCCGGAACCTCTACCTTCGACGTCCTGCACTAGGTTTTTGGGAAGCACTTTGCACCAGGTTTTTAGGAAACACTTTGCGCGACTGCTCCCTGTTCGTCCTGCACCGGGAAAGGCGGCAATAAGGTTTTTGGGAAGCGCTTTGCGCGACTACTCCCTGCTCGTCCGCGACGGCTCGTCTTCCTCTCCGCTCGCGTGCTACGAGGCGGCAATAAGGTTTTTGGGAAGCGCTTTGCGCAACTACCCCATGTTCGTCCGTGACTGCTCGTCTTCCTCTCCGCTCGCATGCTGTGCGGCGGCAATAAGGTTTTTGGGAAGCGCTTTGCGCGACTGCTCTCTGTTCGTCCGCGACGGCCCATCTTCCTCTCCGCTCGCGTGCTGCGCGCCTTCGTCGACGCCCGCAACCACGAGTAGTTCCTGCTGAGCAACCGGTCTTTCCGTAACCTCGGTACGTGTTCGACATGTTGCGCATATTTGATCTGTTCATGTTTTACTGCTTAGTTTACACGTGTAGATCCTATAATGCATTTATGCTAGTTTACATCTGCAATATCATGATTTATTTATGGAATAAATTAAATCATTATGTGCTTATAATTTCAACAATATTCAGTTACAAGGTCTATTCAGAATGCCATAAGGGCCTCAAACAAAATTGCTCGCTATTTCAATCTGAACAACAAAAATGGACTGTGACCTGATGCATGTTGCACGCACAGTTCAGATGAGAAATTATTCCGGCATCATGGTTCATGAGAATGTTTAGCTACTACTTACCTCGGACTAAAATACGATACCAACAAAATGAACAGGTTAAACATGAGCCCTAAAACAGATGAGGGTAAGATACCATGCCAACTTAATTAGCAAGCATTGCGTCTGTGTATGACAACTTTTTGAGAGGTGTCTTGTGTATTACATATCAGGTAACCTGCTAACCATAAAGAATCAGCAGGTTCCAAAGAGGAAAAATATAGCCTGCAATTCTGCAGAATTGATTTGTCAATAGGAAATTTGACTAAGCCAGCAGAATCTGCAGGCACCAGAGAGGCATAACAAAGCTTGACTGAAATTTGATAAATCCATCATGGTAAAGAATACAAAATAAATCAAGATCCAACCATTCTGGGTTCTTCATTCAGTTTATAACCTCGATATTCATACTTCATTCAGTGGCTTTTCAAGAAAAGCCCTGACAGAGCTACATAACCAAATATCAGAATCCATAGAAATCCAATTCGTGCAAGGCAAAGGTACAACACCATCTATCAGTCAAAACGATGTGCACTTCACAAAGAAAATATAAGCACAACCATACGCACATGTCCGCACTGAAAATCAGTTGCAACAGGAATATACTAATGATTGAATCATGCAATTAAGTGGGAAGCAGAAATTATCAAACGGTGTATTGATCATAGCTGCAATAGCAAAGAGATTTCTACTAGAAAAAGGTGTTCTGCTTCTTCTAACAGTTGGAGACTGATCAGAAACTACAATCTCAGCACTACAATACCATCCAAACTTCCAAACTCAGCAAAAAGAAACAAAGACAATGCAGACGAAGCACCTGTTAGACAGATCAAAAACTAGCTTACCCGTTGAGCAACCAAACTTGAGAGGTGTAGTTCGATGGGTCTTGCTCCGGGAAGAAGCGGTCCACCTGGAGTGCAGGTTTTCCCGTCCATTTCCCGCAGTCGCTGCAGGGGTACTGCGCCGGCGCGTCGCCGAGCTGCCCGGCGATCCGATGATCGAAGAAGTAGATGCCGCCCTCGAAGCCAGGGTACTGATCCGCGTCGTAGGATCTGGAGCAGCCGCGCCCGACGAACAGCATCCGGCCTTCCAGCGAGGGCAGCTCCCTCCAGATGTACCGAACCACATCGCCGTCAGATCTGGAGCAGGGACGCCCGACGAACAGCATCGTCCGGCCATCCAGTGAGGGTGCGTCGTCGTCTTCCTCGGGTTGTGCCATTCGGAACACCTTGAACGCTGACGTGAACTCTCCAGGACGAGGAGAGCACCTCACGACCATGAGCAGTTCTCCGCTGGACTCCACGAGGTAGCGCGCCACGACGTGCTGCCCGTCGTAGCCGCGCCCCTGCGACGAGAAGCAGCGATACTCCCATTGCACTTGGGGCGGCGCACCCGCTTCAGCGAAGACCGGATTGCCCACGATGATGTCCTCCCCCTTGGTGAGGAAATGGAAGGCTCCATTGTGGCGCACGACGTCCACCGCATCCCAGCACGCTTCACCCATGTAGAAGTAGCCGACGACCACCCTATCTTCAATTTGCCAGAACGCAATCTTCTGGCGGCGGTAGCCGGGTATGGGAGCTTGATCGTTGATGAGTCCGGCGACCACGCATCCATCCATAAATGGGTCCGACGAGAGGGTGGCGGTGTAGATGACCAACCGATGCAGCAGCGGCTTCTCCTCAGGCGCCAATTCAAGCGCTTCGCGTTCCAACTGGATCCTGTTGGGGAGATTGAAGGTGCCCGAGGTGCCGGCCAGATTGGCGAGGAAGTACACTCGATTAGCTTGAGGATGAAGAGTGGAGAGGAAGGCCCAGCCGCCGTCGTACGAGCCGAAGTAGCAAGCGTGGCGAATCCGCTCCGGGACGAAGAAGGGGTGGGTGGCGCCGCCGCTCAGGACGCAGGAGAAGGCCGGCTGCTCGGCGAGCGGCAGGATGAGATACGGCAGCTTGGGAGGCGGGTGCAGGGGCGGGAGCCGCTCGAGGGACTCGCGCCATGGTCGGCAGACGCCGGCGAGGTGCACGCGGTCGTACACGCAGGGGAGGCGGTTGGCGATCTCGCGCACGACGGCGTCGGCGAGGTCCGCCCATGGCGGGAAATCGGCCATGAGAGACGGTGGGGGAGGGGAGAGGAGGGGAGGTTGAGAAGAAGACCCTTGTGCTGGTTTGATTCCTCTTGGCTTCTGGAAGCTTCGGAAGGAGGGAGCTGCGTCTTACGGAGTGGAGTACTTTTTATACTGCAAGGAAATGGGACGGGGAAGGTAGGGCCGTCTGGGCCCACCCACTAGGGCTCGTGTGGGCCCATATTGCCGATAATTCAAAAAACAAAGACCATTTTTCATCTCAAATCAAATTACAACGATTATACATTTGCTCGATTCCTATAACTAATCCAATAATAATTCAAGAAACATATGGCTCATCCGAAGTTAAGAACATCCTACGTTTATGCGAGTGATTATGACAACTTATGGCATTGACTACAGGGCTCCACAACGGTCAACTTAACTCTAGCGGGAACTTTATCCTCGATGTATCTTCCGATAGCCACAAGCGCTGTACGGGCTTCCCTCAAAATACTATGCGCATGGTTCTGCACCGTTCAAATCTTTCGTCAGAACACCTAAAATCATACGGATACAGGGTGTCCAAAGTAAGACACTCGAGCGACACCGAGTTCTTGAGGATATAACAAGTTAGCTCAACCAAGCTCTTAGCAGAGCTAAACCCTGTGATCTCCACATTCTTGAGGTGGCAATGGTGGTCTTCAGCCATCTGCCTCAAATGTGACTTTGAGGAATGTCCTAGAATTGATTCATGCTTCATAGGATCATTTGTTACCTGAAGATGAAAACAAAGTATAGTCAATTGACCTGACACAGTGACCAGATAACTTTGCAGGATAGGATGAACAGAGCTTTACATCCAAGTTCAAAGTCTCCAAGGAAGGAGACGCATCAAGGAAAGAAACCAGAGAAAAATAGTCATAGGACGGCGAAAAGGTTCCGGAGCTCAAACAAATGGTCAGGTGCTTGAGGTAGAGGAATTTGGTAGGCAGCATTGGTGTATTAACCACCTGCGCAACCAATATGCCACGTCTCAGATCAATTATTCAAAAGCCATGTGATACACATACATTGCTAATCGACAACACAAAGTTTTAGAGTATACCTCATCATAGGAGCTTAAGGCAAGAGTATCAATATTTGGCATACTGGATGGAAGCTCAGAACGAGCATAACAGACAACATTTGGATGGCGCATGCTTAAGTTCTTCATTTGCAATGTTTCCCCAAGCAACAGTTCCGCCTTTCCGCTAAGGTCTAAAGTGGAGAGATTTGGAACTTTGCTCTCTATCAATTTCAGCCTCACGCATCCATGAACCCTCAGGCAGCTGAACCGCTGCAGCACACAAGGTATCCTTAGGCAAATTATATGATCGCAGTGAATGAGTGCCAACTGCTCTAAAGCAAGAGAGTTTGAAAGAAGGCACTCTAACTCATCCCCTGTAATACGCACGTATTGCAGATGCAACTTTGTTAGTCTTCTGAAGGGGCCAAGTTCAGTTGCGGGACGGAAGATACAAAAGCCAAGTTCAAGATACCGGATTGAGTTCCGAACCCCATCAGATAAAAGTGCGCAGGGAAAGTTGTACGTTATCTCCAGTCTACATACCATAAGGGTGAGTTCTTCAATGCCTGGTGTAACAGCAACTTGAAGCCAATTGTCAAGATTGTGATATGCGGTACCAGATAATTCAAGCTTCAATGTCTTCACACCAATGCCTGAGTGGTTTCCCAGAATAGAGTCAATTCTGTGGCTGATATCCCCTCCATACGTAAATGCTTTGGGTCTAAACACATACTTATTGAAGGTGAGGTTGGGATAGCACCTCCAGGAACATAGAAAGGAATGAGACAGGCAAGCAGTGCGAGCAGCATCACGCATTGGCATTAGGGAATGTATATGACGCCAGATATCCTGCATGGACAAACATAGGAAGAGAGGTTCAAATTTGGGATTGTAAAGCCAAATGGTTACTTAAACCAGATAAAGAAGAACAGTGCGACGACATGGAGTACTAGCTCTCCACATGATGCATGCAAGGTGCGCTGCCTTGCTTAGGTACATAGTGCAGTGGAATGTAACCTTCGTAGGTAAATTGAGCCTTGCATAGAAAAGTTTATCACTAACAGTGTTATCACTTATCAGTGATTCTCTGAAAGAAAAGACAGTTACTGGTGGGTAGCAGTGATTAACTACTATGAAATATACTCAATTGGCATTAGAGCACTGAGTAGACAACTATATTAGTTGCTGTGCAATTGTGTCAAACAAAAATGCACGGAGATGATGTTTTATTGTGCAACAGAAAAAAAATGCAATTTCTGCATAGGGTAGTACACCTGAGAGCCTAACCAAACTGGAGCCCAATAAATAGAAACTAGCAGTTTTGAGTTTTGACAGTTACAGAGTAAGATAGACATAAACCTCATTAAATACATGAAAGAGATAATAGATCAGAAAGGACCATACACATCATGAAATTCGCTATTCAACCCATCAGATAGCATCATAGCAATATGGTAAAATCAATGCCCCATAGTGAATTGTGAAGCCAGTGACAATATTGATCAGTTCTCCTTTCCATTTTTTTTATAGAAAATGAAAATGTCAATCAATGTCCCCAGGAAATTGGTGACAGCACAACATTTTCACCAGGGTATGACAAAAGCATCCCGCTTATGTTAATCTACCAACAGTGGACTTTTTTTTTCCGATTCTTCTGGAATGAACACACATACCTGACATGGTTAGGTGTGCTAATACTTGGCATACCTGCTTGTATTTGGAGATCACAAGTTACAGTTGCTAGACTTTTGAGGGGAAATAGGACTTAATGATGCTTGCCAGGCCTTCTGGCCATTGGCCAATCTAAAACACAACCATCTCATAAGTTTACCTTCTTGGGAAGCTAAAGACAATGTTCAATGTTATAAAAGTGCACCAGTACATAGGGGGCTGATGATGATTTAACAAACTCTTGGTGTAAAGACATGCTTAATATGTATCTATGGGGTAAGGGTGATTGAGATCTCAATATGCTTAAGAATAAACACTGGAGTATATTACTGTTTTTAATCCGGAGGATTAAAGATTCCAGTGAAGCTGCTACTGTAACTGTTCTCTGCAAAGGTTGGTAATACCAGTCGCATATCTCCAGAATTTGTGAGATGGACAGCTCACAAGGTGGGAAATCTTATATTAAGAGTTTGCTTAACAGTAAAATTATATATCTTTATTACACATTTAGGGGAAACCGTATTACTCAACAGTCATATGCTTCATTATTAGTGAATACACACTCAAGCTGCCTGGCGAAAAAAAAATATGCACTCAAGCTCTAGACGGTAGGAAGAGCAATGTCATGGAATGAAATGCATATCCATCTGATAATTCGAGGAGGCAACCTTAATAGGTGAGCAGTGTATGGGGTAGCATGGCATGTTTATGTGGAAGAGACTAAGTTGCACATTTAGAGTTCTGGTGAAAGTATCTGCACAACAGTGGGTCTAGTGCACAATAATAGTCACATGAAAAAGAAGAACAGGCCTCTGCTAATTTAAGAGAAATTAAGATAACTCTTGGGAGTCTACTCATCAAGATAACATGTGACCTAAGACTCATGGCAGACAGGAAAGCTACCAAGTTAGGAGCGTAGGGGCTGTAGCCTTTAGCAATTGGAGATCCGTTCCCTGCTTACAGATATTATTTAGCTAGCATAGTCCAAAGAACTTGTTTGTTAAAGGCCATTATGGTGAAAATGTGCTTGCAACATAAGCCCCCCATCTTCAAAATTTATGTGGCATACCTCTGGAAGGTCTGGGATTGAGCAACCCTTTTGTTTATTCGCTGAAGCAGCCGATTCATCTGCAACCCAACAAGGTAACAACCATGGTTATGACAGCCCAATCCCAGACATGAATATATTTTCTTAAGATAATGGATAAGAATTCGGCCTCTATATCTGAACATGAACCCCAGACATGAATAGATGAAAGGAAAAAAAAAAAGAAACGAACTCAGCAAAGGCAATGACATCTTGAATCTCCTCCCAATCTCTCTTTTTTGTTCAAGGAATCAACGTATTTGTTCCCACATGAAATTTCTCATTGCTTACTCATGTGAAAGAGAAAATTTTGGTTCAACAGGGGGAAGCAACGACACTAGCTAATTACCTCTACAGCTCTACTGTGAACAAGCGTCTAGTTTTTTTTTTTAGATAATAAGCGCCTAGTTAGCAAAACAAAATTATTTTTTTCTTTAAAGAAAGAGCTGCATATATGAGGTTAAAAATACTAGTAGAACACAAGAAGATGATTTCCGGAACATATGCACGTAACAGAAGAGAGGGTGCTAAGAGGAGTTGGTAAGAGGAGAGGAGAGGAGGCTTACTCCGGGCAAGGATTTTCCGGCGACGCCGCTGCTGGTTACGCTGGATGGACAAGAGCCGCTGCAACCCCATGGTAGGAGTAGACGACGCTTCTTCCTTCTTCATATCACTGCTCCTCTTCCACCTTTATCTATCTGCAGCCTTCCCTTCTTCAAGTGCGCCTCGCGGCGGGATAGCACGCGGGCAATCGGGTTGGGGGTGCGCGGGGAGGAGATGAGGGGGAGCCGTGCCCGTGACGAGGTGGGATGGAGGGAGGCGCGCGGCGACGGTGAGGTAACGCCGCCGAGCAGTGTTGATGGCACGATAGTCTAATCGGAGGATGCCGATTTGATGAGCATAGGAACTGTTAGCCCTCTCTGTATTTGATTTGGTTTGGAACTCAATTCAGACTACAGTACGATTACTAGACCAGTCTTGGGAAATTTAACTATTTGTCACTTTTACGTTTCACAATTAACCAAATACCCTCCCCTTCGTTTTGTTTACCAGCCACAAGGTAGAGGATACGCCTCCGCTACAGCCGCGCACGACAACAAGACATGGAAAACAAGTTATTATATGATCTCTGAACCCTGTGAAAATCAGTTTATTTTAGCATCCATCCATCATAGGATTGCAACAAATTAATGCTAGCTCAATGCTCAGTTGCAATACTGAAAGAAATAAAGATATGCTAAGGCGTTGTTCAGTTATAACATATAACAACAGAGCAAGAAGTGCTAAGACACACAATTGCTAGGAAATGTCGGCACCAACTACAATTCCTTGATTTGGAAATCTTGGTCACCTGCGAAATGCAAATTTTATGCGTGGCTTATGATACAAATAGAGTTTGGACATCCGACCGGCTAACTGCAAGAGAATGGCAAAACAATGGATTGTGCCCCTTATGTCGGGAGACGAACGAGACGGTATGTCACCTGGTCGCCTCTTGTAGATACACCATGAGTATTTGGAGGCTAACGGCCAGCTGAGTTGCCTATCAGCAATTGGATCTGAACCATTGGGACCCATGCCAAAGCGTTCAAGAGTGGTGGGACATGCTAAACAACAAAAAGGAAGTGCCCAAGAAAGAACTGTGATCCTTGACCCTACTCATTGTGTGGGAAATTTGGAAGGAAATGAATCAACGGATCTTCAAGCACAAGGAAACAACGGCTCCCAATCTTATGGCGAAAATAAAGGAAGAGACAAGAACCTGGATCATGGCAGGTGCAAGGCGGCTTGGAGAATTCCTCCCTTCGTAGCAATAGCCTCTTTGTTTTTGTGTACAGTTTCCCTTTTATCCATAGGGGCTGTATTTTTTTTACCTCTATATCCAATGAAATAGCACAATCTCGTGCTGATTCTTTAAAAAAAATAAAAGAAGAAGTGCTAAGACAATGTTCAGTTCCAACTTACAATGGTCTATTCAGGATATTAACTGTGTGGGGGTGATGCATGTTGCTTGCACTAATTCAGAAAAAAATATGGTACTGCCAGCAAAATGAACATGATCAGGATATTAGCAGGTAACCTGCTAACAGTAAAAAATCAGAAGAATCTGCAGGCACCAAATAGAGAAAACAATCTGCAATTTCTGCAGAATTGAGTTCTGCATAGGAAGTTTAGAATGGTATAACCAAAACTTGGTAAAAAAAATGTGGGCAATTAATGGCAAAGAATATAAAATAAATCAACATTCAGACAATTTGAAGGCTGCATTCAGCACAGAACCTCAATGTTCAGACTTTCTTCAGGAACTTCTCAGAAACCCCTTTATATACTGATAGAATTGCATAACCAAACATCGAATTCCATGAAAATATAATCCACTTAACGCAAAGAAAGAAATACACCGCCATCTGTCTATCAGTAAAGGTGTGCTCCCGTCTAAGCAAAATGTAAGCACACAGTCATAAGCACATCTCCACACTGAATATCAGTGGCAACACAAGGATAGATATGACGGGTTATCAAGTATCAACTATTTCCAAGTCTTGAATCATCCAAAATGGAAACAGAAATGTAGCAAACGATGCACTTGGATCGAGGTACACATTGATCATATCAGCAAGAGATTTGTACTAGAACAGGAGTTCTGCCTTCTGCTAATTAACAGCTAATATCTCAGCACTACAATACCATCACACTCACCAAAACAGCAAAGAGGGGGAAACAAACACAATGCAGAGGAAGCACACGTTAGCTAAGATCATAAACTAACTTGACCTGCTGATCGACCAATGTTCCCAAACGAAACGGCCAAACCTTGCTGTGTGGTCCGCCGACTCAACTCTCAAGGGAGACACCAACCTTGGGGGGTGTAGCCTATCGCCGGGAAGCAGCGCTCCACCATGGAGGCAGGTGTTCTCGTCCATTTCTCACAGTCGTTGAAGGAGAATAGCGTCGCGACGCCCAGCGGCAGCATCGCCGGATCCTGGATGTCATCATCGAAGAAGTAGACGCCGCCCTCGAAGCCAGGGTACTGATCCGCGTCGTAGGATCTGGAGCAGCCGCGCCCGACGAACAGCATCCGGCCTTCCAGCGAGGGCAGCTCCAGCCAGACGTAGTGCTGATACGGGAACACGTCGTCCGGCCCGGCTTGCGCCATCCGGAACACCCTGAACTCCGACGTCGGCTGTCCAGGATAAGGGGAGCACCTCACCACCATGAGCAGGTCTTCGCGGGACTCCACGAGGTAGCGCGCCTCGACGTACTGATCGTATTCTCGCCCAATGTGTTCGAAGGCGCGCATCTCCCAGTCGACCGGATCCCCACCATGGAAGTCCGGACCTGCCACGATGATGTGCTCCCCTTGGGTGAGGAAATGGAAGGCTCCATCGTAGAACACGACGTCCTCCACATCCCATGGTGGATTATGTGTCTGGAACAAGTGAGGGATCACCCGATCGGAGGCGCGCCAGAACCCAATCGTCCGCTGGCCCCGGGGGACGGGGTCAACGCTGATGATGCCGGCGAAGACGCATCCGTCGACGTCTGGTTGGGACGAGAGGGTGGCGGCGACGATGGAGAACGGCAACTGCCATTCCTGCCCGGGCGCTCCGTCCTGCTGCGCGATGAACTCGGTGGGGAGGTCGATGTGAGGGCGGGAGTCTTAGGTGTCGAGGAGGCGGTGCTCTCGAGGACCTCGAGGTGGAGCAATGGAGAGGATGACCAGCCATCGTCGTACGCGCCGATGTAGCGTGCGTCGTGCGGCCACTCCGGGAGGACGGCGGGGTGGATGGCGCAGTTGCTCAGGACGAAGGAGACGGCAGGCCGCTCAGCAAGCGGTAGGATGAGAACCGGAAGAGCGGGAGGCAGGGGCACGGGCGCTTGCTGCTCGAGGGACGCGCGCCATGATCGGCAGACGGCGGCGAAGTGCACGCGGTCGAACTCGCACGGGAGGTGGTTGGCGATCTCGCCCACGACGGCGCTGACGAGGTTCGCCCATGGCGGAGAGGCAGCCATGGGAGACGGGAGGGGAAGGGGAGGTTGGGGTGGACTTGGTGGCAAATTGCACGGGACGCTCACCGCTGCGGTGTCTGTTACAAGTTTGATTCCCTTTTGCTTCTGGAAGCCACGGAACGGAAGGAGGAGGAGGGAGGGCTTCTTATACTGCAAGGAAGAGAGATGGGGGGATTGGGGGATGGCTCGTTTGGCCCACTCGAGCATGTTGATCAGGATGGGCTTGTGCCCCAAGAAAGAGGAGGAAGGCTCGCTTGGCACCTGAGCACATTGTTCGTTCCTGATGGGCTTGTTGCGGACCATTTCATGGCCTGATTTGATTAAACATGATAAATGGACATGAAGGTAAAACAACCCAAATATGAAGCCGATTCTAAACACAGAGTATATCCAAATCAAAACGAGTTTTTTTTTTTGGAAAAGTTAGATTTGTTTTTTATTTGTGTAATTTTATCGTTTTGAACAATGGTGAAGTCAAACTATAAAATATTTGACTATGAATCATTTAAAAATATTTCTCTTATAAATATGAAGACCATATGTGCATATTAGTCTTAAAAAAATACTTCAATAAAATTATATATTTGTTCATATTTGTATGTATATTATAATAGAAAATAGTGGTTAAAGTTGCTTGATCGTGCCCTTATAAAAAACAAGTATTATCAATCCAGAGAAAGTACTACATAAAGCATTTCCTATGTCCCAAAATATAAACATTTATAGTTATGAATCTAAACTAATGTGTGTCTATATTTATAACTAAAAGTTGATATGTTTTGGGAGGTAGTAATATATTGCTTTGTAACTACTGGATTTATTTATTTAATAAGAAAAGCTGCATTCTTAATGCAGTTCTTTCTACGTACTAATTAATACTCTCGCCGGATTATAATATATGCGGCATTGGCATTTTAAGATATTTTTAATCATTCTTATTTAAAAACTTTTATATAGTTAATAATTATTTTTTATCTGATTTATCGTTAAATATTCTTTAAGTACAATGATTTGTATTCTTTTATGATTGCGCTCTACACAATTAGTAGTTCTCCACAAATTTTAAATAAAAACAAATGATCAAATGTATATTAAAAAGTTAATGATGAGTTCATCACAACAATAAACTAGATAATCCACGAGAATAATTTGATGAACAATATATTTCTCGGTCTCGCGTAATCGTGTTCGTTTACATATATACAACTCGTCCCACCTCGCGAACAGCACGGCGACAAAAACACGCAAGCAACGGCTTTTCCAGACCAAACCACTGCACGTACGTTAGGTGACATGGCGTCCATCGGCCCATTGCTCTACCGGCGTGCGTACGTACGTCGACGTGTGGCATGGCATCTCGCTAATATTTGAGAGCACTCACAGCAAAACTCGCCGAATCCCTGAGACCCTGACTCCCCTGTTGCGGCCGTCGCGCGTGCGCGGTGCGCCGGACAGGAGGCTAGGGGGTACCGGCACCAGGCAGGCAGGCAAGTACGCCCGTGGGACGAGCAGGGAGCTAGCCGGGTAGGAAGGGCGCGCGGCGATGGAGTCGGGGCCGCGAGCGCCAGTCGTATCCCTACGACTACGTGCTGACACAGCTTGCCGCCGTGCCGAGGCCTGGCTCTGGCTGATTTCCGTCGCTCGTGCTCGCGCTGATGCTGTCGCTCATATGCCATTATTTCTACAGGCAGGCAAGACCGGAACACCAGGCAGTAGCTACTCATTGTGCTGCTAGCGGCGACGCAGGAGTTCGACGACGGCGCCAACACGGGGCTGGCGGGTCGCGTGCTGGCGCAGTGCGCGGCGGGCCGCGCGCCGGCGGACTGCGTGCAGTGCCTGCAGGACTCGGCGCGAGCGATGCCGAGATGCTGCTGGAACACACGAGGGCTGGGAGAGAGCGTCGCCGTCGTGCTGAGCGACGACTGCGTGCTCCAGTTCACCATGCACCTGGCCTATCTCCGGCGGCAAGCCTTGGTGGAGCTCTCCGTCCGTTTGTCCTCGGTGCCGTTGGAGCAGCAGCGCTAGCAATTATCCCATCACAAAACTTTACACCCTATAATGTTTGAACACCCTGTCACATGGAGTATTAAATATAGGTTAAAAAATAACTAATTGAATAGATTGCGACTAATTTGCTAGACGAATCTTTTTAAACCTAATTGCTTTATGATTGGACAATGTGGTGTTACAGTAAATATTTGCTAATGACAGATTAATTAGGTTTAATAAATTCGTCTCGCGGTTTACTAACAGATTTTGTAATTAGTTTTTTATTAGTGCCCGAACACCCCATACGATACCCTATATAATTTCCGATGTGACATGCCAAAACTTTACACCCCTGGATTTATACACCCCCGTAGTAATAGTAATCACGTTCGAATCGAGTGAATTGAAGACAATTTGTAGTAATATAACTGTGGGATACACGGTACACACCGGGTACCCAAGGAGAGGCCTTTGGGCCGTACGACATAGGGTGGGCAAAGAGCCGTAGGCACATGCGGCATACTTGTAAATAAAGAAAGAGAAATTTCCAGAATAAGATATAAATCTGGGGGATCATACATATCTTTATAGATAGAATAGGGAGATCTAGTTACAATCAACTAGATACTTTACTTGTAACCCCCCTCATCCTATATAAGAGGGGGCAGGGGTCCCGAGAGGGGGAGGTCGGATTATCTCCACAACCTAGGCATACATCATCTCCACTCCATACCGGACATAGATCCGATACACATACAACTGGATTAGGGTATTACCTCACATCAAGACAGTTGGATCATCGAGACAACTGGATTTGGGTATTACCTCACATCAAGACAGTTGGATCATCGAGACAACTGGATTTGGGTATTACCTCACATCGAGACAACTGGATTAGGGTATTACCTCACATCGAGACAACTGGATTAGGGTATTACCTCACATCGAGGACCTGAACCAATATAAAGCTTTCATCGAGTCATGGTGCTCGATCGAGTAGTAGAAATAAATCGTCATATGTAGTAGGGATTATGTGTTAGGATAACAGTAGCTTATCATGTGTGTTTTGTTTGCAAAATGCTATGCCCAGCTAGCCGCTAGCGTTACGAGCGTCCACCGCCAACCCATTCTGCAGGGTGAAAGATTGGACCCCTTTGTGCGGCCCATGGGGCGGTGAACAGAATCACCCCGCACGACGCACACGCGTTCGCCGCGCGCGCGCGCGACTACGCGACCGTGACCGCGACGCGGGCATATTTGAAAAAAAAAAGAATTTGTGAATAAAACTTTTATATACGTGTTTTTACCGATCTAAAAGTAAAGACTAAAAAATAAATTTCGATAAAAAAACCCCTCAAAATTAACTTTAAATCTAAGATAGAAAATTTAAGTTTTGGCTGATAAGTATAAGTATAAGTGAAAAGATAAGGCTTTTGAGGGCCAGTCGTGGTATCGGGGCAAGGCGGGGATGTGCCGGACTGCCGGTGCGCCACCATACACTGTGAAACTAAAAGAAAATCTCACAATTCACAACTATACGTTATGAAATAGCCTGCGGCTAACTCACACCGTTTAGTAGTTTAGGAAGCGTGCGCGCGGAAATCGAAACAAACTCACTCACAATCAGCCAGGAAAGAACACAGCCTTAAGTTTCCAATATTTTTGATATTTTTTTTCAGCCTCATCGTTATCGTTCCCGTTTTCAAGAAATATATGATTATTTAAACGGCTGATGTTGTTTTCCAACCGTTTCATCCCTAGCCATGGCTAGCAATGCTTGGTACGTGAAGGTGCAGTAGTTAATGACCCATGGGAAAAGGTTTTTGAATGGCCAAACATGATGATTGGTGTTATATTAATAAAAGAAGTTTATGTACATAGCAAGAGGTGGAAGAAAAGGAAAAAAAATGTACATTACTTACTGCAAATTACATGTCAGTCCATCTTAGGCTGTGTTTTTTTTAGGGGTTAATTAAGAACCCCTTCCCTACCCACAGAAAACGGAATGATAGATTAACATATAATTAATTAAGTATTAGTCTATAAAACTTGAAAAATAAATTAATATGATTTTTTAAAACAACTTTACTATATAAACTTTTTGTAAAACATATACCGTTTAACAGTTTAAAAATTGTGCACGCAAAAAATGAAAAAGATGGGTTGAGAATCATAGGAAAGAACACAGCCTTACTGACTTACTCCTCATGGCAATAATCTCGCAACGTGTTTTGTGCCAGCCAAGCTCCAGCGACCCAACTCATGAACCCATGAGAAATGGTTACTAAACTGGTAGCACACACCATAGTCCGTAGGACTTAATTGCACCGGAGTTTCGTGCCGAACAGACCTGCCAGGAATGACAACGCTTAAGACCGTAAGCTCACGAAAATAGAAGAGCATAGCGCTTAATAAGCGAGTAAAGGGAGAGAAGTCCAGCCAATTCGAGCAACGGGTGAACTAGCTAGGGAAACAACTTTCGGCTGAGTAAGTTCGGAGTGACGCCCTCTTGATTAGCGAATTCGGCGGAGCTTTTCGCCGCAATTACCCGTTGGCCATTCACAGTGCTTACTTGCAGCTACTGCAATGACGCGTGCTAACCTCCCGTGCCATTTCGAGTAGTGGAGCGTGCGCGTGTCCGCGGTTATAGCTGCACAGTGTGGTGGCATTTGAGCTCACTCGATCGCCTACATAAAGAGCGGTATAGCTTCGAGCTACGGCATGCAATTCGTCTCCAGCGCCCTGGCGACCTAGCTAGCTCCCTCCTCCGCCATTGCCACAGAACACACCTTGGTGTCGTGCAATCCATCGCTCATGGCGCTCACCAAGCTTTCCTGCCTCCTCGTCGTCGTTTTCCTCGCCGGCGTGACGTCGACGGCCACCGGAGCCAGGTACTTCCCACAGAACGGCACGGCGTTCCGCGAGAACATCCTCGTGCTGCCCACCGACCTCCCCGCCCAGGCCGCTGCGACGAGGTTCGCCTCCACGCAGGCCGGCGACGGCGACGACCGCGCGCTCGCTCTCAGCGTCTGCCTCGGCGACTCTGCGCCGGCGCAGTACCGCGAGAGCCTCGCCGCCGCAGTCGCGGACGTCGTCGCAGGCTGCGGCGCCGCCAGCCGCCGCGCCGGCGCCTGGCTCGACGGGTGCTACTGCTACCTCGCCGCCGACACCAACATGACGACGTCGCCCAGCGGGGGGAGTTCCACCGGTGGCTCGTCACCGGAGACGTCCTGCCGTTCAGCGACAACCTGTACGCGACGTTCCTCGACATGAGCAACGGCGTGGCGGCGCGGATGCTGGCGACGACGGCGACGCAGGCGATCGACGTCGGAGCAGCCACGACGACGGGGCTGGCGGGGCGCGTGGTGGCGCAGTGCGCCGCGGGCGTCGCGCCGGCGGACTGCGTGCAGTGCCTGGAGGGCGCGGCGCGAGAGATGCCGAGATGCTTCCGGGAGGCACGTCGGGAGGAGCAGGGAGAGGGCGTCGGCATCGTGGTGAGCGACGACTGCGTCCTGCGTTTCGACATGACTTCTTCGCCGGCGCCTCGGACGTCAAACACCTGTGATGGGACTTGCAAGCTGTTAGCCTTCGCCTTCGGAGCAGCACTAGAATGATCGTGTCAGTCACTTTAATTTGTGCTCCCTCCGTCCCAAAATAAGTGCAGTTTTAGCACTGTTCATGTTCAACGTTTGATCGTTCGTCTTATTTGAAAAACAATTATAATTAGTATTTTTATTGTTGTTATATGATAATACATGAATAGTATTTATGTGTGACTAATATTTTTAATTTTTTTCATAAAATTTTCAAATACGAATGGTTAAAATACTGGACACGAATATCTATGGTTACACTTATTTTGGGACGGAGGAGGTAGTAGTAGTAACCATCGCTAGCTAGCTTGATGGAATCATGGTGCTTGAGTGGTAGAAATAATATAATGTCTGTCTGGGGGGTAGAATGGTTGCCTATATGTTAGCAACTTAGTAGTACTACCATGTTTCTAGTGCTTTCGGTGACACTATTCTAGCCGGTTGTGTGTTTCTCTTTGTGATTTGCAATGCTATGCTCAGCTAGCTGAATATATATGCCAAATTGTCACCTTGGGAACTAAATAGAGCTATGTGATCCATTGTATTGCTGGGAAAAATATATGGTGCAAACCATATATATAATATAAACATAGAAATTACTGAAATTACTATAGGATCGGAAAATAAACATATGAGATTTGTCTATGTCATACCAAAATAAAAATTTACTCCTGATTAAATCTTGAGATAATCCCTTATATACCATTGAAAATCGGCTCTTCCCTTATATGCCATTGGTTTAAATTTGCGCACCCTCTCATGCCACTCCCATCAGTTGACTGTGTGTTGACCGTTAAATCCAAAGTAAAAAAAGACGTATTTGCCCTTCTGGGTATAGGACATGCCTAACAACTCAGAAGGGCAAATATGTATTTTTTATTTTAGACTTAACGGTCAACACACAGTCAACTGACGGTAGTGGCATGAGAGGGTGCGCAAATTTAAGCTAATGACATATAAGGGAAGAGCCAATTTTCAGTGGCATATAAGGGATCAAATCAATTTTCAGTGACATATAAGGAATTCTCTCTTAAATCTTAGGAGTAAAAATTTTACTTAAAGTGTCGTGGATAAATCTCAGACGCTCAATCTTTTTGTGCTACGGTAGTTTTTAGGTTTGCCGTGAAGCCGTGGACGCAGGTGGGGGGAGACGGTAGCGGAAGCATCAATCTTTTTCCTACCTCAATGCAAATTATAACTATGATGAGTAGTAATATTTTATATTTATATTTTTTTTAAGGCACATAATGAAAAACCTCCGATTTATTATTTAATCAACACCAACTGCAAGTCTGCAACAGCCGTGAACGACAGCAAGACAGGGAAAACAAGTTATTGTGTGATCACTGAACCCTGTGAAAATCATTTTATTTTAGCATCCATCCATCATAGGAGTGCAACAAATTAACGCTAAGTTCCATGCTCAGTTGCAGTACTGAAATAATGAATGAAAGAAAGAAAGAAAGAAAGAAGGAAGGGATGCCAAGACATCGTTCAGTTATAAGATAAGAACAGAGCAAGAATTACTAAGACACTGTTCAGTTACATTTCAGGCCATAAGTTTCTCAGACCAAACTGCTCTTTATTTCATCTGAACAATAAAAATGGACTGTGTGGAGTGATGCATGTGGCTTGCACTAGTTAAGACAAATTTGTGGTGCCATCAACCGAATCCCAAGATAGAAGAAAGTAAAGTATCATATTAGCAAGTAACCTGTTAACCATAAAGAATCAGAGGAATCTGCAGTCACCAAAGAAAGAAAATAACCTGCAATTTCTGCAAAATTGAGAGCTCTGCATAGGAAATTTAGAGCGGCATAACCAAACTTGGTAAGAAAAAAAAAACAAGAAGTGCAAATTCATGGAAAATAATAGAAATAAATCAACATTCAGACAATTCGTAGGCTGCATTCAGCACAGAACCTCAACGTTCAAACTTTCTTCGGGAAATTATCAGGAAGCCCCGACAGAAATTGAATAACCAAACATCAAGTTCCATGAAGATAATCCACGAAACGCAAGGCAAACATACGGCCCCATCGATCTATCAATAAAGGTATGCTTCCATCAAACAAAATGTAAGCGCACAGTCATGCACATCAATCCCCACATTATATATCAGTTGCAACACAGGGATCAATAAACTACTTCAAGTCTCGAATCATCCAAAGGGAAACAGAAAGGTATCAAATGGTGTAACTTGGATTGATATTATCTCAGCACTACAATACCACACACAGCAAGAGGGGGAAACGAACACAATGCAGAGGAAGCACATGTTAGCTAAGATCACAAAATAACTTCCTCTTTTGATAGAGCAATGTTTCCGAACCTTGCCGTCTTCTCCGTCTCAACTCTCAAGGGAGACGCCAACCTTGGGGGGAGTAGTTCGATGCGCCTTGTGCCGGGAAGCAGCGCTCCACCATGGGGCCAGGTGATTCCGTCCATTTCCCGCAGTCGCTGCAGCTGTACTGCGGTTGCTGCAGCATCACCGGGTCCTGGATGAACCCATCATCGAAGAAGTAGATGCCGCCCGCGATGCCGGCGGGGTAGTGATCCGCCTCGTAGGATCTAGAGCAGCCACGCCCGACGAACAGCATCCGGCCACCCAGTGAGGGCACCCTCTGCCAAATGTACTGCCGACACCGAGCCCGCTGGCTTGGCACCATCCGGAACACCTTGAACGCCGACGTCGGCTGTCCAGGATGAGGGGAGCACCTCACGACCATGAGCAGGTCTTCGCGGGACTTCACTAGGTAGCGCGCCTTGACGTGCTGCTGGTTGTAGCCGCGCCTGTTCGATGGGAAGCAGCGAAACTCCCAGTCGACTTGAGGCATAGCCGGGACCGGACACCAATAGTGGAACTCCGGTTTGGCCACAATGATGTGCTCCCCTTGGGTGAGGAAATGGAAGGCTCCATGGTGGTGCACGACGTCCACCGCATCCCATTCCCTGCGCGGGTTCAGTGGGCCGCTGAACAAGCCAGGGACCACCGGATCGAAGATGCGCCAGAACGCAATCATTGGCCGGCCTTGTGGGACGGGACCGACGTTGATGATTCCGGCGAAGACGCATCGTCCGTCGACGTCTGGATAGAATGAGAGGGCGGCGGCGACGATGGACAACGGCAACAGCGCTCCGGTGTGGTGCTCGATGTGTTGGAGTTAATTTATTTCTAGAACATACCAGCCTACTCTCTAACCCTCTCTACTACTCGTGAAACTAAAGTCAAGGTTGAAGTCCTTGCTCTGTAAATTTTCTAGAACAGTGTAGTGTGTAGACATGCATGATGTGATTTTACAGTAGTACTAGTACCAGTGAAGTTTGACAATGTAGTAGTACTACAAGTCTCTAGCTAGGTCCTGAAGCTTCCTACATGTCGGTTTATCAAGCCTATAAATAGAAAGCCAGTGCATGTGTATAGACTGATGATGGTGTGCTGCCCAACGTACAAGCAAGTGTACTGTTCAGCCCTCAAGCAAGCAAGTAAAGAAACCAGTTAAAACTAGCACAAGCTTCTCTGCTCCTCTTCTCTGATCCCCTGCTTAGGAAATATTTAGCACCAACACGATGAACGCGTCGGGGAGGTTGATGTGACGATCGAATTGGTAGGTATCGAGGAGGAGGTGGTGTTGGGGACCTTGAGGTGGAGCAGTGGAGAGGAAGACCCAGCCATCGTCGTACGCGCCGATGTAGCGAGCGTACCGCACCCAATCCGGGACGACGGCTGGGTGGGTGGCGTAGTCGCTCAGGATGCAGGAGACGGCAGGCCCCTCAGCGAGCGGTAGGATGAGAAACGGCAGAGCGGGAGACCGGGGCAGGGGAGCGAGCTGCTCGAGGGACTCGCGCCATGATCGGCAGACGGCGGCGAAGTGCACGCGATCGAACTTGCACGGGAGGCGGGTGGCGATCTCGCGCACGAGGGCGCCGATGAGGTTCGCCCATGGCGGAGAGGCAGCCATGGGAGACGGGAGGGGAGGGGAGGGGAAGGGAAGGGGAGGTTGGCGACTGGGTGGCGAATGGCACGAGATGCTCACGCGACGGTGTCTGTTACAAGTTTGATTCCCTTTTTTTTTTGCTTCTGGAAGCCACGGAACGGAAGGGGAGGGTGTTAATACTGCAAGGAAGAGAGGATGGGGAGGAGCACTGCTCCCTCCGTCCCATAATATTACAACCTAAGATTGAATGAGATGTTTCATAGTACAATAAATCTGAACATGCATCTGTCCAAATTCACATCTATCTAGATTCGTTGTACCATGAAACGTACCATCCAGTCCTAGGTTTTAATATTATTGGACAGAGGGAGTATACTTCAAGCAAGGGAGGATGGCGGATGGCTCGTTTGGCCCACTTGAACATATTGTTCATGATGGGCTTGTGCCGCAAGAAAGATAAGGAAAGTTCGCTTGGCACTTGAGCCCATTGTTCACTTGTTCTCGATGGGTTTGTAGCGGCCCATTCGGTTGGGCCTATTAGATTATTGGATCTAAGTTCATTTTGACTCCCTCAAATATAGCTCCAATCTGATTCGTGTCCCCCAACCGTAATATCAGATATCTAGACACCCCCCCCTCAAACTATTAAAACCCATACAATTTGACTCCCTCAATAGTTTTAGAGTGTATTTTTGCTGACATGGCATATTGACTTAGTCCACTATGTTGACGTGTCAGCCCAGTCACAAAAATACAGGTGAAGCCCACATGTAAGTGACTAGGAAAAATATATAAAAAGTGGGACCCACTTTTCATCCCTCTTCTCCTTCTCTATCTTTTCCCCAACAAGCAGCAGAGCAAGAAGCGGTGGCAGTGGTGGTGTGGGCAGAGGCAACAGAAACAGTAGTGACGTTCCTGTGGGTGCTATGCGTGTCGACACTGCGGGCCTCAATAGCGGTAGTCACCTCCTACCTCAACATCTAGGAAGGGATCCACTACGCTCTCTTTGTCACCGTTTGCCACCTCTTCGTGCTCCTCTTCGCCTTTAACTTCCTTTGTGACGTCCTCAACGGCGCCAGCTTCAACCTTACCGCCATCGCCACCTTCCACGCCACCAACCTCGATTGGCACTTGGGCAGGGTGCAAGGGCAGTGGGTGGAGCGCTGGCAATCTCAGAGCTGATGCCAACGCAGTACAAGCACATACTCGAGGGCCATCCTCAAGGTGGATCTCCACACTGGTGGTGCCGTTGAGTTGGTGCTCACCGCAATCGAGCTCGTCCATGGCGTCGCCGCGACGGTGGGGAGAGGAAGGGCCGCCGCTGGATCGAACTGCAAGAGCCACCAAAAGCAGCCCCACCGTATTCTCCACCGCCGCTCTGCATCCCCGCTCGACCAACCACTCCGCGACAAACGCTAGGGCGAAAGGGGCCAGGGTGGGAGAGAGAGGAGAGCCCTACTTGTCGTCCCGCCGCTGCCGCTTCCCATCGTCATCCTGGCGCCCTGCTACTATCGAGCCTAGAAGAAGATAGGCAGAGAGGGAAGGAGAGAGAGATTAGTACATAGAGGGTGATTTGATGATAGGTGGGCCCCACCTTTTTTAAAAAAATATTTGATGACTAGGGTGCCACGTGAATGCCACGTCAGCACAAAGGAGTAAAATTGCAACGGTTTTGATAATTTGGGGGTTGAGATATCCAGTATTGTGGTTTAGGGATACAAATCGGATTCGGCCAATAGTTAAGAGAGTTAAGTGGACTTATTCCTAGATTGTACCTAGACTAGGCGTATGATGACTGTACAAGAAGAGCTAAAACAACTCCAAGTATGAAGCCCATTCTAAATTTAGAAAGAACTATCTAAATCAAAACGAGGTATAATAGCTTTTGGTTGGAAAAAAGACAGACGAGAAAATAGCTTTTTTTTCTCTGTGTAATTGTGTGTTGCTAAATAGTTATATAGTTACGTAAAAGTATTATATTATTCTTTATAAGTAATGAATTTATTTATTTAATAAGAAATTTTAATTATGTTCTTTTAAGTTTAGCCATGTTTACGATATTCTTTTTTAAGATACCGAAAGGTGTTCTTCAAAAATTTGATTATTATAGATCACGTTTCTTTTGGCAAGGGAATGATCATAAGAAAAAGTACAAACTCATTAGATGGGATATCATTTGCCAACCCAAAGACCAGGGAGGATTAGGGATTCACAATCTGGAAATTCAAAATAAATGTGTTTTGAGTAAGTGGTTGTTTATAAATTAATAAATGAAGAAGGTGTTTGGCAAGAATTATTGAAGAGGAAGTATCTTTATAATAAGTCTATAATGCAAGTTGATAGGAAATAAGGCGACTCTCATTTTTGGTCAGGTCTCATGAAGGTCAAAAGTGATTTCTTAAATATGGTTTCCTGAAATGTGAATAATGGGGAGCAAGTAAGATTTTGGGAAGATAAATGGCTAGGAAATTTGGCCTTTAAGGATAAATATTCATCTCTATATGCTATTGTCCGAAGGAAAACCTCTTCTATTGCTAATGTCATGGGAGCTGTTCCGCTTAATGTTTCATTTAGGAGAGCCTTAGTTGGGCAGAACCTTGCATATGGGCATGAATTGTGTGCTTCTAATGTGCATATCCAGTTGAACCATTCTTCTAACTGTTTTAGATGGAATTATCATCAGAATGGTCGGTTTTCTGTTAGGTCAATGTATCTAGCTTTAATTAATAATGGTTACATCGAGAGGAATAAGTGTATTTGGAAGCTTAAGATGCCACTTAAGATTAAGATTAAGATCTTTATGTGGTACTTGCTTAAAGATGTTGTGTTAACTAAGGACAATTTGGCAAGACGGAATTGGAATAGTAGTTTAAGATGTTTGTATGAAAAATGAGACTATTCAACATCTTTTTATGGACTGTCATTATGCAAAGTTTATATGAAGAGCAGTTCAGTTCTCATTTTGTTTTAACCTTCTTACTAACATATCTCATATGTTTGATGCTTGGCTAATGGGGGTTGACAAGAAAATGAGTAAACTGATACTTGTAGGAGCATCTGTCATATGTTGAGCTCTGTGGTTGAGTAGGAATGATATGGTTTTTGACAAATCACCATCTATTTCTTATAAGCAGATAATTTTCAGAGCAACACATTGGCTTTGGTTTTGGGCACAATTACAAAAGTGTGAAGCAGATGAAGAGCATCTGAAAGTTGCGTGTCGTAAGCTTGAAACGACGGTTATGTAACTTTTTGCTAACTATGCTGGAGATTGACAAACAATCTTAAATAATTGTGTTTTCCTTGTATTGGTTTGGTTTTTTTATGGTTGCTGTGTTTATTTTATTTGGACTACACTTTTTTTAGAGTGCTAGATTGTAATAATTAGCTTTAACTCTTTTAAGCAAATGTCAAAATATTATATTCCATTATCTAAAAAGATAATACACAACAATAATAATTTGACGAGCAATTCATTTCACAGTTCACACAGTCGTGTTCATTCCTGTACAACACGTAGCGAACAGCACGGCGACGAAAACACACAAGCAACTGTGTTTCCCGATCAACCACTGCACGTATGTCAGGTGACATATGTGATATGACATGGCGTCCAGCGGTCCATTGCTCTCCTGGCGTGCGTGCGTGCGTACGTCGACGTGCGGCATCTCGTCCCTGACCTCCCCCCTCCCCACTCTCCCCTGCGGGTGTGACCCCGCGCGCCGTGTGCATCGGACAGGAAGAAGCTAGGGGGCGCCGCCACGTATACGAGTCATGTACGCCGTTGGAGCGCGTGCGGGCCCGCGGGGTCGATTCGGAGTCGACTCGTGGCCTCGTGCCGAGGTCTGCCTGATTTACACCCTTCATCTAAACACCCCCTTGCACAGTAAACTGATGAGAAGAAACTGATGAGAAGAGAGAAGAAAGGTACAACACATTGCGAACAGGACGGCAAACGAACACACAGCAGCAATCGGCCTTACGCGATCAACCGCTGCACCGTCTGCACGTACATGACATGTGTCGGTCGGTCCATTGCTCGAACCCACCGTGTACCGGCGTGCGTATACGTACGTACGTACGTGCGCGTCGACATGCCGCGCGCCTCCCGCTAATCGAGAGCACGCACGTACTCCCCGCAAAAACGCCCCAAATCGCTGACTTCCTTTAATTTTGCGGCCGTGACCGCGCGCGTGTGATGGCCGGTGCGAACACGGCGCGTGGCCGTGCCGAGGCCTGGTTGATTATTGGCTGATCGATCATTTCCGTGATTCCGTCGCTCGCGCGCGCTGATGCAGAGGGATGATCCCCCGTGATTTCTACAGGCAGGCAGGCAAGACCGGGACACCAGCTGGGCGTGGGCGTGGGCGTGGGCGTGGGCGCAGGGGTTCTACGCAGTTGCCGCCTTGCCGGGCCTTCTGCTGGTAACCAGCTGCGCGTCACGATGATCAAGCATGAAACCGAGCGCGCGACCACGACATTTTGTGCGCTACCTGGAAGTAGGGGGGCGATCGAGCTGAAAGGCACTATACTCCGTAGTACAGATCGCGTGACGGCTCGCGATTGGAGAATCATTTGCTGATGTAGACGCAACCGATAGCTGAAGGAAGATTAATTTGACAATTCTACTGCTGCGACCTCGTTTGACTCGTCTGGTCTCTCTCAGCAGTTTCCAGCGAGGTGGGGCGTACGTACACGCGGCACGTCTCTAAAACGAAGAACGGTTAGAAGCGTGTCACGCACATAACGCAAATGCGACGATTTTCTTTAAAGATTGTGAGTTTGTGACAGGTGCAGGCTACTGGGTTCGACCGTTGGAACCTCGATCGAAGTTGTACAACGCGGGCATCGGATTTCACATCAGGTTGACAAGAGGAGAAACAAATTTATATCTACTCACAATGTGAGAACATCCTTCACACTACTCCACTGGTCAATGCAGGCCTTGAAGTATAAAAATGTTAGTACTTTGGGTGCTTCTTTATGGTATGTCGCAGTCATCACCTAATATTACAATTACAGTTTTATGGTGTCATACTACTCGTATTCCACTTGATAAACATGTGAGGCTGCTTCTTTATGGTGTGTTTAGTTCTTTAGGTGTAAAGTTTTTAAGTATACGGACACACATTTAAAGTATTAAATGTAGACTAATAACAAACAAATTACAAATTTCACCTATAAACTACGAGACGAATTTATTAAGCCTAATTAATCCGTCATTAGTAAATATTTACGGTAGCATCACATTGTCAAATCATGGTATAATTAGGCTCAAGATTTGTCTCGCAATTTACATGCAAACTGTGCAATTAGTTTTTTTTCCCATATTTAATGTCCCATGCATGTGTCCAAACATTTGATGTGACGTTTTTGACTAAAATTTTTTGAGCTAAACAATGCCTTATTGCATATACGTACGAAGGAATAATTCATTGCTATGAATTATTATTTTTCTCTCCACGTGTAAATCAAGTTGACCTCACTTGCTTCTAAAGCAAAGAACCATAATCAATGCTTGTAAATTATTTTTATTTTTTACTATAATTATTTAAAATGACATTAAGAAAGTAGGATGTGCGTGATGTACAATGACTTTCGGGAGATGCATCATCATTTATTTCGGGAGAGGATTCTAATATATGCCTCAAGAGGTGATGTTCCCTCATATAACCTTTTTTTAAAAATAATATAAATGGTTGTGAAAATTATAATAAAATTTGGTAAGGTAGAGTACACTAACACCTATACCACTCCACCAAAAATCATATCAAATTCGATCTATACATTTTGAGAAAAAAAAAAGAAATTCAAACTAAATAGTACCAATACTATTCATGTCTGATTTTTTCTCTTTTGACTCAATGTGTGGGTTGAGTTTAGACTTGATTTTTTAAAGTAGTTTATTCATATGGTATAAATATTCTTAATTTTTTTAGAGTCCTAAATAATTATTTTGATAGTATTTAAACAAACAAGGACATCCCCACAAGAGTTTAAAATACCTTTTCCATTTATTCATTACTTTGCTTACTTGTAAAGAACATCGGCAGTACTTAATTAGAACACCGAACAGTAATCAACTCATTAGTAGTACACCACTTTCAACTTGACAACTAAAGCTCGTCCCACTTCTCATTGGATCTTGCAAGCAGGAGTATTCGGAGTATTCGATCTCCTGAAGTTCCTTCAAGGCATTTGTTATTGCTTTGTCCACCTCTCGCGAAGATATCTTTGCGTACGAGAAAATTAAATGGAAAATTTAATTAGTAAGTAGTATAAGGAAAATCAAGAAAAACAATAATATATAATTAATCCTCCTTCTCCTAAAATAAATCAAATTTTGTTATATATTCAGATTCGTATACATAATTTATTATTTTGGGATGTAGTACTTGTTGTTAAACCACACAAAATTAATTCTCATCTGCATAACTGAGACAATAGATGCATGCATGGTTGATGGAGATCAATGCCAGTATTGTCAATCCTCCTAAAATGTGCTAAAATTAAGCTGGAATGTGAAACATCTGGCAAACTTATTCTGGCCAGGGAAGAATTTTCAGCGCCTGATATATTCCTCCTACTTTTAATATCTTGTGCATTGATTAATTCATGCATGTCATTTGTTGTTGCATACTGTTTTTTTAATGAAAGCAATGAGATCAAGTTGATCCAATTGACACTACTAGTCGTAAATAAACAAACAAGTTCAGCTTTACATTAAGTTATCTAGCCACACGAAATGTGGGGTTTATACTTTATACTCGACTTTTGCAGTAGCGACAAAATCAATGAGTTTATAAGTTTAATCTGGTCCACATATATAAAACTGTCACTCGTTTACATGACTCGCTATGAAGTCATGCATTCAAGTCAACTACCACAGTTCATTTTTTCTTTACACATGATCACCAAGTAGCACATACTAAACATATGTTTTTACGACACTAACTTGTTATTTTTTTGAACTTTTCAACCATCAATCAATGGCACACAGTTGATGTTGATTAATATTAACAAATCAGAAGCACATGAACTTGTTTTCTCATTGTGCGCGACATTTGTAATGTACCTTGGACTCCACCGCGACGTCCATCCACATCCCGCCGGCGCCGAACCACGACTGGATCGCCGTCACCTGCAGCTCGTCCATGGCCTTGAGCCGCCGGAGCACCGCCTCGAACACGTCCACCGTCGAGCCGAGCTCACTCTCGGCGCGCACCTTCACCACCATGCCGGCGCCGGGCTTCGGCGTCGTCCGCTCCAGCAACTCGTTCTGCGCGCAGAGCCACCCCTTCCTCCCCTCCAGCTCCCGGATGTAGTTTGCCGCCGCGGCGACGATGGTGTTCTTGCCACCCTGAGGTACAAATGGCGGCGAAAAATGATGAGCCGAGCAGGACGATCGAACAATTGAAAAGAACGCACGCTCATGTAGTTCCTGATGAGTGATTTTACGAGTACTTTTGATGATGATGCGCCGGTTGGGAGGATGGCTTGGAGGTCGGCGTAGCCCTGGCTGAGGCGCTCCCGACGCAGCCGCTCCCGCATGATGTGCCGGAACCGCGCGCTGCCGCCGCTCGGCGCCGCCTGCTGCTGCTCGCCCTCCGCCGGCTGCATTTCCGCGGTTGCCCCCGCGTCGTCCCCGGCGTCGTCATAGATGCTCCTGAGGAACCTGTGCATTCTCCGGTGGACGTTCGACGCAGAGGAGTGGTACCGCCGGCTCAGAGACTCCGACGACGACGACGACGACGCCATCGCCGCGGTACTCTGGTACGCCGCGAAGGCGCTCCTTCCCTGATCAGGCTGCGGTGGCGGCGGCGGCGGAGGAGGAGGAGGGAGGAGGAAGCCGAGGCTTGCCAGCAACTCCTCGTGGTCGTCGACGCCGGCGGCCGCGTCGTCGTGGACGAAGTAGTAGAAGGGATGCTCCACGTCGTCGTCGTTCTCCATGGCTGTGCATGCATGCCGTGGCGCCAGCTCCCACGCGTCTCTGCGCTTATATATATACAACCTACGGCGCTGCTACCGTGCTTTACTACGTAGTACGATCGAGTACGACACACACGAAGCGCGCCAGCCGCGCAGCACGACGACCGGTCGTTACGCGCGCACGGCTAGTTTGACCGGTAAGCGACGCGGCCACGTTGAAGGCACGCCCTGGGCCCCACCGCAGAGGATGGCCGGGTGGGTTAACCACTTATAAAATCATTTTAAAATTTAAACTCTTTTTGGTCGTGTTCTTTTTATGTCGTTTAAATTTATAAATATAGTCAGTTGTAGAAAAACTTTAAAGAGGCTAATGAGATAGCTTATTTCTATGTACGTTACTCTACAAATGTGTAAGTTAAAACGGATAAGGATTTTCTACACCTAAATACCATGACATCCATCATTTGCATGTGACTTAAATAATTAAATAAAATATTAAAAAATATTAGTAACAACGATTGGAATGATATAAGTCTATACACAAACATACAAGACTAAATTTGATCTACATCTGGAGAAACAAAAATAATAAAAATCAGACAGTGAATAGTACCCGTGCAGCGCAGATAAAATTTGTTATTTTTGTTTTTTCATGTCGATCGAATTTAGACTTGCATGTTTATACATTGTCTTATATTATCATAGTCTACCTTATCAAATTTTATGTAATTTTTATATAATTGTTTAAATCATGACACTACTTTCTCAAGTTAAAACTTGATCTCTACATGTTGCAGAAAAAACAATAAATTAAACTTTAGTTAGTTAAAACTAAATTTGTTTTCTTTGTTATAACTTATTGAATTTAAATTTAAACCTATATGATTGTAAAGTGTTATATCACATATTAATTTATTTGAGAGGATGTCCCAAGCTTAGAATCGTTTTACACTTAATTAAACCGCGGCTTTAGAGTCCACGGGAAGAAAACTGACTCGGTTAATTTTCTCAGTACGTGTAACGTGTCACGTGTGCTTTTGCTGATGTAAGTCGCGTCACGTGGAACTATTATACTAGTATTATCGCCAAGTGGTTGGTGTGTTGAGCTTGAGTAGACGCGTGCGCGGCATGTGAGACCTTGTCGTCGAGCGCTAGGTAGTAGTATAGGAATTGATTAGATAACTCGATATTAATTGGGATGGTTAATCAGGTTAGATAATGGTAGGCGGTAGCGATTGGTCAAAAACGAGCGGAGTTTATGCTGCTGTGGGTTTGAGATAAGGATTTTGGAGGAATAGTAGTATGTACGTGTCCCGTCCATCCAAAGTATTTTACATTAGACTTGTTTTTTAATCTCTTGCTAATGGGTGGTGTCATATATGAACTCCGAAGATTATGAGTAGCTTTTCTCATTTCTCAATCGTGTATCGTCTCCGTTCATGCAATTATGTGCCACACACTCTGACAACGCGTTAATTAGGATGTAAGTGCTCTCAATAAACCAATCTCTCTTGGGATGGCATGCTGGAAGACATTGATAGTCTGGTAACCAGATTTAGCTGAGTCCATTAATTTATTAGGAAGTCTTTCCACTTAAAAAAAAGTACCTTATATTTTAGTACCATGGAGATAGTAAATACAGTGGCCGTCTAATGGACATTTGAAACCGTCACGTGTTCCATGTGCACTCCCCTTTCCCACGTGTGGATGGTCGATCTGCTTCTGCTTGATGTTGATGCAATCTGCCAGCTTGAAATTGTTCTAGAAACGTACGCTCGAGGCCTGAGGTTCAATTTTCACTACGAGGCCATTTTTCCACCATGAAACTGATGATGCTCACAACTCTAAGTTATAATGGGCTGGCTTAATTAGGTCCACTGCTGGAGAAAGATGCTTTACTCTCGGTTGGTAACCCCCTGTAGTTCCGGTTATATAACCGGCACCACGTTCTTTACTCCCGGGTGAAATAACCGGGATTAAAAATTATCACAAATACATCACATATTCACTGCACACAAATCAAATACATCATAGATGAATCACAAATCAAATCCATGCAATGAATTACAAAATCTAAAAAAAAAATCTCAGATCCAGCAGAGGCGTAGGCCGCCGGCCGCCGCCTGCTGCACGGCCCTCCGCGCCGGCCGGCCGGCGCCGTGCAGGCTACCGCCCGCCGCACCTCGCTAGCTCCCTCGCGCGCCCGCCTGCTCGCTCGCTTGAGAGGATAAGGCAGAGGAAAAGAGGGAGGAAAGGGAGGGGATAAGGAAAGAGAGGAGGAGGATAAGGGAAGAGGTGTGATTGGTAGAGGATAAGTCCGACGGATTATATACTATGCGCCAATTTTTTGTCCTGGTTGGTGTTTCCAACCGGGAATAAAAAGTAGGGGGCAGACACTTTTGCAACCGAGAGTAAAAATGATCGTTACCAACCGGGACTAAAATCATAAAATAGTTATGGGCTTTTCAGCCGGGGCTAAAGATAATTTTTAGTCCCTGTTTTTAAAGAATCGAGACCATTGTGGATTTTGGCCGATCCGACAAAGATGGTCTCCAGTAGTGATCATAGTCTAATTCTGATCCCCCTACTTGCATTTACACCTACCTTTTATATTTCAGCACTAGGCGACGTTCGTGTGTGCGCGTGTGTTCATCTAAAGGTAAAAGGTGTGTGTATGTGTATGTATATGCAACAAGAGGTGTGTATGTATATGTATATGTGTATGAGTATTTTGAAAACACGGCGGTTTGGGAGTTCTGCTTAGCTCCAGTGCAGATCCAAATCTCGTTTTCGGGTTCAGGGCATACGTGATAGTTGGTTTGATTCTGCAACCAACAAGGATAAATAATAAAATGAAGTTAGAACACGATAGCCGATCGATCGATAGGCCGATGACGTATCGTACCGACCTAGCTGATGCGATCTGACCAAATCGGCTATTAGGTATGAGATAATCAAGAAAAAACAAACCCTAAACATGCTCCATCGGCTGTAGATGCAATCAAACAAATAATCCCTAATCTGATCTTTCTCTGAATTGTGAGCAAACGGTATAGATCGAACCTAATCGAGCAGTATGGATTGCTCATAAATTGGATTTAATAGATTGGAGATTACATGTGTTTATATCATAGCTGCACACAATACTTAGGTTAAAAAGATACCGTATTAGCTATTACTCCAATAAATCCTTACAAAAGTACATCAATCTAGGTAAATATATCCAGAGAAAGCTTGTTATATTTAAATAAAGTGATATACTCATATAAAGAGCAGATACGATATGAAAAGCATGATTAAAGTAATTAAACATAGCAAAACAGTCATATCATGTAAGATCGGCTGAAACTTCGATTATACATCTATTGGCAATCAAGAAACAAGTTAGTTTTTATGATTCTAAGCACGACTTAGTAGATCAAATTTAACTGATGCAACACTAAGTATAAAAGAGAAGCATAAAGTCTAAACAACTAAGATTTTAACTGATTTTCATGGTGGTGATACCTCAGCTAATCTAAACCGACAAAAACAATTTAGCCGATGCTAACAAAACCCTATAAAAGGGCTCGGCTGATATAGGTAAGTTGAACCATTGAGTTAGATTAGCCATGATATTTGATAGTCAGCAGTTTTATAGGATAGATTAGAACATCTAAAACTTAACAAGCCATACCTCTTGCTAGAAGATTGAAACCGATGCCCTAACTCGAAGCAAGAACTTGTCGAGAAAGTTGAAAATTTAAAAAGTGTGGCGGTGCACCGAGATTATTATTGAACTGTTGTTGTTTTTCTTACAATATCTTGGGCATATATTTATACCCGTAGTATAAAACTTGTCCATATCGGACACGACTCAAACTTTATAGAAATAAACACACTAGCCCATTGTGGACTCTAACATAGATTTCTAAAATATAAAAAGGAAAACCAACTCTTACCCCAATTAATAGATACAATTGCTGTATTTTGGACTCCATCCTTGTATGGCAATAATTTTGAATTCTTAACCCGAGCTTGACATGAACTCAAAACCAGTATGTATCGACGCTTGATTCTGTATCGGCCGATACGGTTCCCAGTCGATGCACTGCACCGTTTTGAAACCATTTTAGCTCTTCCAAATACGCTTTGGATCTATATTTACCCTTTCGTATTTTACTAATTTTTATTGTTAACAGTTCTGTTTCCAAAAAAAAAAAAGGTAGTTCTCATATACTACAATACATACTAGCAAAGAATAAGATTCGAACCGGTGGAATCACAGTGCACAACTACACGTTCGAAAAAAAAAGAGCAGTGCACAACTACACGTTACATAGATGCTACTCCTATTAATTATACTCTGCTAGAAAAATAATATGGTGGTATTGTATCTGGCACACCCTCACCGACTCTTTACCAAGTACTACTTCATGTACTTCAATTAATATTAAAAATATTTATATTCTATATGTTGGTTATATCTTATTTCATGTTTAAAATACAAGTTTATTATCCAATACATATATAGGGACAATTTGTTCTAAAAAACATCACAATAAATTTAGAGAAAAATCTATGAAATGCCATTGATAAGCATTCAATTCCAAGAAATGTTATCAACAAGTGTGAGTTCCATGAGATGCCATCGTACAAGCGACTTTGTCCCAAAAATGTCATCGCTGTTAGAGTTCCGTTAGCGATTCCCAGTTAAGTGCTATAGGATGGATAGTGTATTTGGCGGTGCGGGATGGATGTAACCCTAGCGACAATGATATTTCTGGGACAAAATCGTCTGTACGATGGCATTTTATAGAACTTGTACTTGTCGATGACATTTCTTGGAATTAGACGTTTGTTAATGACATTTCTTTGATTTTCTCATAAATTTATTTTAAACAATATTACTCCCTCCGTCTCAAAATATAAGAAGTTTTAGAGTTGGACACGATTATTAAAAAAGTAGGTAGAAGTTAGTAGTGGAGGGTTGTGGTTGAATGAGTAGTAGAAGTAGGTGGTAAAAGTGAACAGTGGAGGGTTGTGATTGGTTATGAAGAGAATGTTGGTGGAGAAGTTGTTATATTTTGAGACGAATCCTAAGAGCTAAAAGTTGTTATATTTTGAGATGGAGGGAGTAGCATATGGAGTAACTTATACTTTAAAGCACGGACATTTAGCTCATGCAAACAACTGGACGGCAGAGAAAAGAAAGAGCAAGAGTGAATAATTGGCCTTAATTCGTAGTATATCTGCGCTAGAGAAAAAAAATTCTGGTTTAGCCCGCTACACTACTTGGCCCAACTGAATCCGCTGCGCAGACGTCCACTCATTCGTTTCCGGCGTGGCATCAGCATGTCCATGTGGCGACTGCGGGTTGGCCACGACCGGATAGGCCATGCTCGCAAGGATAGCCACTCCCGCGCCTCACCCAATCCCGGTGGCGCCAGGCGATTCGTGGCCACGCCAGATCGATCTCGCGGATAATTTTGACATATATCGCCTTAAAAGGGAAACGCCACCGACGCGAGCCACACACACGCGCGTTACACACCACTCCCCAGCAGCGGCAAAGCAGCCAGCGAGAGATCGAGGCAAGGCAACCGCCATGGCCACCGTCAGCGCCGCCGCGGCGACCTCCGTCGTTGCCCGCGCCGTCCTCGCCGGGCCACTTGGTATGGCAACTTCAGTAATTCCATGCCATGCATGATCCATTTTGCACTGGTCGTCGTCGTACGTCGTTGTGTCTGAGCATGGTGATGAGCGTGTTCTGTATGTGTGCAGGGCTGCCGCAGATGAGGGCGAGGAGGAGCGAGAGGGTGAGGTGCAACTACTCCAAGGAGGCGGCGACACCGGCGGCGGCCGTCAAGGGAGCCGGCGCGTCGCTACTGGCGATGGCGGCGACGGCGGCGCCCGCGATGGCGCTCGTCGACGAGAGGATGTCGACGGAGGGCACCGGGCTCAGCCTCGGGCTGAGCAACAACCTGCTGGGGTGGATCCTGCTCGGGGTGTTCGGCCTCATCTGGTCGCTCTACACCATCTACACCTCCGACCTCGAGGAGGACGAGGAGTCCGGCGGCCTCTCGCTCTAGAGAGCCTCTATACATGTAAACATGGTGGTTGTGAACGGTGTAATTTGAGGAGAACGTACATGGCTGTGTTGTATCTAAACTGTTCCTATTCTGAGAGATGTTTTAGCATCAGATAAAGTACTTTCTCCATGGGGGATTGTGCACGCATCTGGCAACTTAACAAGATAAATTTGCAGAACTCAGTTTTGGATGGAATCTGGCCCATGTATGAGTCATTTGGACATTCAGTTTGTTGATTGCTCTAGTGTACAATACTATACAGCCGCTATTTGATCAGAAGAATCTATCGGACCAGTACAAAGTTACAAACAGAATGAATCAAGGAATGCTCGTTCTAAATTTGTCAGAAAGAACACAGCTGATGCCTTGTGGTAAATCCAAATGTTGTGTATCGAGACCACAGATCCACTCAAGGGTAGTCCCATTGCGAGATTTTTCATTTTCACTATAATTCAACTGTGGTCAGGAGGTACTGATCTATGGGCCTTGTATCAACACTTGTTGTTTTGTAACCTGACGTGCAGACTTGTAATATGGTAAGCCCTGAAATGATGGTATCCAGTTTAAGTGAAAGTTTTCGTTCCTACATTAGGTCAGGTATCTTCCTTCGGTCGGTTGACTACCCTGAGAAGCGATCTCTTTGTCATTGATTTCTTTCTGTTCAGAGACGCTCTCAGTTTCCTTAACAAGATCCTCGGGGTGGGATGAGGCGCCGGCAGTATCAGTCCCTACAGACTCAGCAGTTGCCACAATGTTTGCATTGTACTGACTTCTGCCCGACGTAGGCTCCTCAGTTTGGCTTGCGACTGGATGCGATATCAATATAACAGAACTTGATTGAGCTTGGACACTGGATTTGATCACGTGTGATTCATCAAGATTCTCACTACTTCCAGAATTCTGCTGTATTGAGTTATCCTCCTCGGCAGAGTATGATATGCCAAGTTTCTGGGCATGAGTTAATCCTGGACAAACTCCCTAACCCAAAAAAACATTGTGGTTAGAAAAAAAGACTAAGCTACTAAAAATGGATACATCATCTAACTTTTGCCTATGTATTACACGATGATCAATGTGGTAACATTCATAGAAGATCCTCTTAGCAAGCCAAGCATTTCAAATAATGCCCGAAAAATTAGGCCTTCCAAGTATATCAGCTAGCTAGCGCGGTACTCCAACTACTTATAGTTCATGTTGCATTGCAAATCTTATCAATTCTGTGCAGCAACGAAAGGTTTGTTGACAATTTGATGTTAACATCTCCAACCTATATGTTTCATCTGATGCATCACTTGGACAATGCAATCCATATGATTCCATTTTTCTTTCAATAATGCCTATAAATGCAGTGTAAAAAAAACCGCAAATCAGATATGCAACAGACAATACCTTGATGTACCCTCTTGTCGTAGACAAAATATTGGATAAAGATTGATCGGAAGGTGTTCGACTATCATCGAACGGAACAGAGTTTGCATTTTGATGCTTATTAGAACTATCACCGGTACCATATCCATGGCCTGCAGTACCATTGCAGAATGCTCCAGCATACAAGCAATGCTCATCTAACAAGGTTATCTGAGGAGTAGCAGGCAACAGATGACCTTCTGTACTAAATATGTATCTGCAAAGTTGATTTACAGTAAGCAGGAAGGATGCGTCTGAATAAACAATTGAACTTATTGAATCTACGGCGTCGTACTTACTTATATGGCCCATTTTCAACAATATTATCAGGGCCTGCAGCTAAATCAAAAAGAAGCCAGAGATATTTGACCTGGAATGCGCTAATAATTAATTAGATTTAACCAACAATAGAGAATAGCTCAACGAAAATATGCAGTAAATTGTTGCATTGCTGGTTATTTAGGCAAAGATCTAAATATATTTGCAAGTTTCAGTTCCCTTGTGTTTGCTGATGCTAAATACCTTCCAAAATAAGTGCGTAAATATTTAATGCTAGTATACTAGTAATTATGCCAAGGAATGCTAGTTAATGTCGCATGTTACAAAGTTACTCCTAAGTTTCTGGCTATATCTGTAAAGCTGGTTCATGAGAGAAATCATGGATGTAACCACATTATATTAGAAAATAAACTCACTGTTTCTGCAAGGAAAAAACTCTCCATGTGGTCATCCTGCTGGTGGGTTTCTACATCTGAAATATGGCAGTAACCACATGGACATTTAGCACCATATTGAAGGCTTGCTAATATATCCCTTCCAACATCAAGGTACCTGCATATTAAAGCTAAAACATTAAATCCAGGGCACAAAAGTATTAAAGAGGGCACAAAAGCTTAGTAGAGTCAGTTAAAAAGCATATACATTTATTCATGACAACTTTAAGTTACTGTTTGTGTTTGTAACTAATAATCCGGTCAAACCATTGATACTTTTGTCCATATCAGCATGCCATAAGGAAACAATACGGGTGCGTTTGGATCCTTCGCTTACTTTACCTAGCCAGGCTAGATTTATCTAGCTCCTTTGGGCTATAACCGATATAAGCAAGACCTCTCATTTGGTTAGCTAGCTTTTACTGAGTCAAATGGGTAGTTACACGAGATCTACTACGCGCACTGCGTTCGTCGGGCAGGGAGGGGGGGGGGAGCCGATTCGGCTCTCCTCATCAGGCAAGTTTTTTCAGGTAGTTATGGGCTTGATTGCCATCAAAAGCTAGGTTTTTTTTTATCTTCTACCAAACACTAAACCTTGCCGGGCTAGGCTAAATTCAGCATTGCTCGAGATCCAAACGTCCCCTGCATGGCCACATATTGAACCTCGCTCAAATCTCGTTTCTTTTCACCATTGGGGAAATTGCATTTAAAAACCTAAGAGCATTATTAAAAAAGAATAACTTCTATTTTCACCTTGTAGATAAAGACACACCTATAATCTCTAGTAGCCTTGAACAGCCAATATGTGCTTTCAATCAATTCAGGCCGCAGCGGGTAGCTCCTTTGTCCATTCTGTGAAATATACCAAATGGTGGGGTTAATGATAGTATAAATAAGTGGCACGTACTTTGTGCTTCAACATTTTGGTGCCCCAAACTTTATAATCAACTCTTCAACCAAAAGCTCAACGGTTCATCGTTCTGTTTCAAATCTCTTGAAAAAGAATGATTCCATATGAGGCTCACTGCTTATAATGATCCTACCCAAAGTTTTTTTAGTAAAAAGTTAACTACCTGAACAGTGGATGTAGCAAGATTAAACCCTTCTGGGGTGAAGCCATATTTTTTCCATACACTGAAGAAGGCAGCATGAGTTCGAATGGCAGGATCAACATCTCCAGCTAACACCTTAAATCTAAGCAGAATAAGAAATCATCTAGAATGTGTGCATCATTTTTTTTTATCTCTGATATACGAGTAATCCAAACCTGAAGTCCTGGCCAGAATGCCTGGAGACTGTTGAATAGTGGCCAAACAGTAGCACCAGAATTCATATTTACCTCCACATACCTGGAATTAAAATTGTAGGTTTTTATTTGAAACTTGACAAGAAAGCAGCTGAAGAACCTCTAGTGTAACATGTACAATTAAACTATGCAATCATCACCCACAGCTAAAAACATGATTGAAAATATGTACTTATGCCTCTTAAGGTTTCATATCGAAGGCATAAATACAGACAGATTTAATCCATTAGTTTATTCACTGAGTACTAGCTAAATATCCTCAAACAATCACAGGTCACCTGTAATTCATTCAACACTGCATTAACAGGATATTTTTACCAGGGATCATGATGGAGATAATGCATGGCAGCCTTGTAAGCCTCCTGAAATATATACAAATATTCTTCATCTCCAAATAATAAATACGCCTGTTGAGTGTTGACACACAAAACTGTTAAAATACATTTAAAACACACAAAAAAAGGGAAATGATGAGATAACCAGGTAGTTGATGACCCAAGTTTTGTGCATGCTATAGGAAAATAGAAGCATAATTTGAAAAGTCAATTGTGGATGCTCATTTTATTATATTAACAGTAAACAACTAACAATAGCTAATAGCTTTCAATACAATCCCTGACTAGCTAGTTATACACATTATGCAATGGAATACAACACTGCTATAGCGCATGCACTATATTGAGAGGGGGTAGGGAGATGAACTCTCTTATTTGGTCGATGATGATACTGGATTGGTGAAACGAAGGTGAGGAGACAGCTAAACAGTTCATTTTTTTCATGACCTTTAAAAGATATGGGTATATAGACAAAAAAAAACCTGTTTATTATAGTACATGTATGTAACAGTTCTGAAATATACAAGGTCTGAAATATGCAATGCTATAATACAGTGGATTCCTTACCTTTAGAAGATACTCATAGAATGAGTCAATGCTTGTGCCAATTCCTGCATCCTGCAATTAGGGATAATTCCACTGAAAATACTTCATGATGATAATTGATCAATAATCTCATAAACTAAACATCGCATAAAATTTGAAAGCACATTTTGCTTGTTTATGTACCAACCATATAGTGACAATTATATTAGTAAATTGTAAGCATAGTCACTCAAGAAGCAAAAGGGAGCTTCTTTGGTACATGGCAAAATGACTATGTATCCAGTCAACTGAACCTATCAGTCATATATCAATTAATAAACAAAACTATTAGGTCGCTCTGCCGAGAAGAAAAAAATATCCCTAACAGTATGTTGCATGCCTACACATATGACACGAGGTAGTTCATTCTACAACAAGACGTTTGCATATCAGCAACACAACGCAAGCGATATAACATCTAGTTTCAAAACTATCACTGAGATAATGAAAGTTAATACCTTCTGTGTCCATTCACCAGTAAATACATTTATATGGGCACCAACAAGGTCAAGTTTCGACCTGCGTGCCCATATTCCACGCACAGAGTTTTTTGTAACTCGTTCATAAACTGCATCGTGACAATCAGTGAGTTTAACAAAGAATAACAGACTGGCGATAAGAACTAAATTAGTGTTCAGAGGATAAACAACCAAAACTAATGAAGCATGAGACAATAGAACAATAATAATAAACATGATCTCTATGGGGACTAGGGAAGTTCATGGTCAAAGATATGCATAAATTTGTTCTGAACATCTAACACACAACGAATGGACACAGATGTTGACATCACGACTCAGCACCTTAAAGGACTTGTTAAGTACCAGTAAGGATACTTTCAGACTATTCAACTATAATATTTCAATTCCATAAAAAATATATGAGATTTTAAAACATAAACTACCAAAAAAAGTAGGGGCACCTTTCTAGCACATGGTAGCTATTGTAGTTGTGTAATAATGTAGAATACATGATATAGAGATCTTCAACAATATAATATATTGTCAATACTAACCGCTATCATTAGTCAAACGACTCAGGACACCAAATTCCAGTGTCAAAGTGCCACCACCAGCTGTTGAAGTTATCTGTTATTACTAAAATGCTGTGTCAGTAATTAATCTCAGGAATGTTTATGTCCATCTAATAGCCAGGTACAATTTTCTACTTTCAACGCTTGTACTGATGAACCAAGCATAAACATGGGAAATTAGACATGGTTGATGGGATAGTACTTGGTATTTAAGTTCTAAATGAACAGAAGAAAATTGAGAAGTCTGATAAATGTGTGTGTGTGTGCGCACGCGCGTGTGCCTCTCGTATATTATTTATGTGGTTACAAAAGCAGTAGAATATTTCAAGTTAAATCATTCCAAAGTTACTTAAGCAACAGCGTAAACACTTGGAATTTGGAATTATGCTAATCTCCATATCGACCATAATTAACATGAGTCCAAACTCTGGGCCTGTTCCTGATTGCAAGCTCTATAAACAACAAAACGTAGGACAAAATAAGCTTGCCTTGCTTTCATTTTCATCGACTCCATACAATAAATTTACTGATCCAAATGGAATACCTGCAACGAGAACTGCACATGTTAAGCAGAACAGGAAGGAAAGAACATATCATGATGCTAAAAGGATGAAAAAACTCTTCTATTACTCCTTTGCCATTTGAATAACTCATGGGATACTTTCCATCGAAAAGAAATGCTCAAATGTCGGCATATTTTATTAAGCGTGCAACGTGCATGCGCTCTAGTGTACATGCATATGTGCATATACTAGGTAAAACCCCGCGTGTTGCTGCAGGAGTTTAATATGATAGCAATAAGTAGAAATAATGTTTACATCAAATAAGTAGAGATAATGTGTAAGATAGCTAGACGACATAAGCTTACATAAGTTGATATGGTTTATAGTAATTTAAATAGTATATAGAATGATGATAAGGTGATGTGACTTTATGAGAGAAGAAAAGGAGGGAGTTAATTTGGACCATAGATTAATCATCTAATGGCTAAAAATAATTGAGGTGATATGACTTAAAGAGAAAAAAAAAAGATAAAGATAATTTGGACCATAGATTAATCATCTAAGGGCTAAAAACAATTGATGTGATATGGCTTAATGAGAGAAGAGCGAAATAGCATTAACTAAGTGAGGATGAACTACATATGTATATAGTAGATATTATAAAAAATGATGGAGAGATATATTTAAATATTATGTGAATTATATGGGATGATTTAACATTCTTGCATTTTAAAGCTCTAAAATTTAATAAATATAGAATTATAGATAATATAGCATGCTTGCATGATGTTTAAGATGTAATAATTGTTAGTTGAGAATGATGTGGCATCTTTGTATGTTGAGCTTTAGGATTTAGTGGGTTGCAACTATATAGTAAGATATGATTAATGGATATCTGTTTTAGCTTGTATGTGAGGGTGTATTTACTGCGATGGAACATGATATTTTTGTCATTATGTTCAGTAGTCCAGTTATAATCCCAAACCATGGAAAAGTTTGTTACACAAACAGCTTTGGCTGAAAAAGAAGAGTTTGGTTCGATGTGTGTTTTGGTGGGCTGGGGGTTGAGAACGGTGGTGATTGGGGGATCAAATTTCTGATATGATACATAACATATTAAGATATTCCATTGTTTCAAAGAAACATGTGTGAGTCCACAAAGTAACTAATAGACAACGTAGTAAACCTGTTGGAGTGTCAAATGCAGGTAGCAATCTTTGAGCTAAGTCAGCCGCTAAATGAAGCAACTGATCATCATAAGATTGAATTCTCATTCCCTGTCAACAAGAAGCTAAAATAAATATCGGAACACTTCATTGAGTAAATCTTGAGAAAGTAACATAGAAGGTTAGGAAGATTGAGACATCTTCTTATTGTGCACTTTCTTATGAATGTAGGTTATAACTGAATACATCAGCATGATCATATTTAAGATATAACTAATCGTATGTGCCATATTAAAGAATTATTCTAACCAGCCGTATTCTGAAAAGAACCTATTATGGTCAATATGTTGAACAGGCAGAAAGGCACCTTTCTACCATGCCACACCTCCATTAACATCACAACAGTCATGGTGTCAATAAGCTTGCACGTTATCAATATGGTCTTTCAGAAGTGGTTTCGTGTTACAGCACAGGTATTCCTTTGCTCCAATCAGATTTTCATGTCCCACTTTAGTATATTTGGTTTGCATACAATTTTTCAAGTTCTACTTAAAAAGTTTGTGTTTAAGATTAACAGAAATTTAGCAAAGATCATCAGGAAAATCAACAAGAGAAGTGGTAAACACTGGCAAAAAAAAGGACCAGACAAACATACAGTTGCATAATCACTGGCAATCAGGTGAGCTGATAGCAGACCCCCAAGAATGCGTATGTTGGTTTCAAAAACAGAGACAGTTTTATTCTGCATATACAGCGAGGAAACATGATTAAGAAACAGAATCATGAATGTAAGTTGTAAGCGAACACGTCAATCTTCGCACAAGTAAAATAAGTAGGCTAAGAAGAAATAGAAAGATCAAATATATAGATGTATCTACAGAACACATATAACATACTTGGTGCTAGAAGATTATGTTCATTTCAAATGCAAAACTGGTATTTCGAAAGGAATGTTAAAAAAACATACAGTGAAAAGTTATTAGACCAAAAAAAAGCAACAGGACTAACATTTATTCCTTAATGCATTGAGATCCCTATCACCAACCATAATAGATTGTGAGTCATACTGTAAGAAGCACCATATAATAAATTAATCTGAGAAAGGCAATATTGAAAGCCTTGCAACATAACCAATCTTCAAGACTGATCTATTGGACTATGGTACAAATAAGAATCTCTCTAAACTGTCAAGCATAATGTTTCTTCATTCTGAATCAATGAATATGGCACGTCAGTTGAAACCACCCAACATGGCATATTATCTGCTTCAATATTCACGTAATACGCTAATCCTAAATTATAAAGTGCTTCAATCTATAGGACAGACTGAAATACAAGCAAAAAAGTACTGTATATTTATCATATGTCAATAATGGTTGAATGGTTAATTAGTTATGGTGTCACCATGGTGTGTATTAATTAATCTATGCAATTAGTGAAAAAAATTGTAAATTGTTTACTTACAATATCAAAGCGGACATTCTTACCAACCCACTCCACGGCAGCATCAAATCTCTCCTTATCCCCTAGTAAAGCCAAGGTATCCAAAGAGTCTATCTGTTTAATGAATAAGCATTCACAAATCATGATAATACATGAAGGCAAAAACTGATAGGAAATGTGCATGAGGAAGCAGTTTTTTAATTGCTTACAAGAGTAAGTGCATAGCCACCAAGTGAATCTTCTCCTTGGCAACTTAAAGGCCGCAATTCATCAAGTGGAAAAGCATGTTGCATGTACCCATCAAATGCATGATAGAACATATCTTTGACCTACATAAAAGACATTTCCATATGAATACTAGATTCTGCACATGTTAATTGTAAACAAGATGGCGTCTTGTTGAAGTGGAAGATATCTCTTAATGAGGTTTGGCATCTCACCATCAATTAGAGGAAAAAAAAAACTTAGAACCACAAGCATTACCTCTGTTACAGCAACCTAATATAACTACTATACCAGTCAATTTGGCTCGGTTGTACAAAATCCAAAAATTCAAGTGTGGTAAGTTTTGTGCTAAAAAAATCCTATAATACAGCATATCTCGTTGTGACACACATTCAAAATCAACCTAGCACTGAACTTTAGTCAAAAGCTTTCAGCAAAGTCACCAGTGGGAACTACTAACAGTCGGAATGCCTGGCGTATATAGCTAATCGTTCCTGGAGTAACCGTGTAACGATGAATAATTGAGTATGATCAAAACCGGAAATGTGATAATTAACTAAGCATACTAACTAAACCGGTCGAATCGCCGAGTCCGCCGCCGCCCGATTGCAAAACCAGCCCAAATCGGTTCGTGAAGAGTTATGCACCAGCAAATTAGCACCAACACGCAACATCCGAACTAGACAACGCCTCCGCCGCAGCTCAGGATCACGAAACTAGCTTACAACAAACTGGAGCTAGGAGCGGGCGGATCTGAGGAGCGCGGGCACTACCTCGTCGCGGAGCCGGCGGGCCTCGGAGGGCGTGACGCCATCGGCGAAAGCGGCGCCGGGGAGCAGGGCAGCGGCGATGAGGGCGGCGGAGAGGCAGGCGAAGGGGAGGAGGAAGCCTTGGCGCCGCCGCCGCCGTCGCAGCGCCGGCTGCATCGCGTCCGGGCCCGAGGTGGGCATCGGGATGGTAATAATGATACAGAGCACGCAGCACGCAACGCTGTACGCCTTCGGTAGATTGGTAGAATCGTACTGCGGATATTGGGTAATTTTTGGACTTCCAAGATGCAGACACGATTCGTGGAGAATGGGCCGACGGCCTAATACCGGAATAAGGTAGGCCCATGACCTTTTTGTACGGACTGGGCTTGAAACATTGTTTTTGTAGGGCGTAGCACTTTGAAAGCAGTAAGTCTATTTTGCCTTCACCTCCTACTTCCTCCGTTTCACAATGTAATTATTGAATTGCATTGCTCAACCGTGAACCTAGGTATAATGCCTCACCGGCTTCCTCATATTGAATTGCATTGCTCAACCGTGAACCTGGGTATAATGCTTCACTGGCTCTCCCATATTGAATTGCATTGCTCAACCGTGAACCTGGGTATAATGCCTCACTGGCTCCCCCATACTCTAAAACCACTAGCCCGCTTCCCAAATCATAGAAGGAGTCGATTTGCACCCCTTTTTAAAGATGGCTGCTTCTCAAACTATCAAAGGAGTCGATTTGCACCTGTTTTAAAATATGACTGCTTCCCACACCACTGAAAGGAGTTAATTTGCACCATTTTTTAAGATGGGGAGGCATTATACCCGGTTTTGCAGTGAGAATGTGATTCGATAATGAACAAGATATGAGGGATGCATATTAGACTTATTTTGCCCACATTAAAATTTACTCCCGTTTCCGGCCCAAATGACCAGGAATAAGCCGGTCTCGGCCTGCTCTGCCTCGCCGTCGTCTCCGCTCGGCGCTCCGGCCGCCGCGGCACCACCGCCGCTGCCACGACCTTGCTCCGCTCACCGCGGCCGCCGTCGTCACCACCGCAGCGGCCTCGCTCTGATCTGCATTGCCATGGAGCAGCTGCGCCTCTGCGACTGTCTCCCTCCCCCGCGCCACGTATCTCTCTCTGCTTCGCTACCGGCACCTCGGGGGCGGCCTCGATCCGCCACCGCCGGGCCGGCCTTGCTCCTGCTGCGCGCTGCCGCCGCCAATCCGGCCTCAATCCGCACAGCCTCCGCTCTCTTCCTAGGGATTATGTGCATAGGTGGCACCACCGCCGTCGTTGCCGGAATTGCAACCGTCGTCATCCCTGGTCTCTATCCGCACCAGCACGACGAGTGAATTAATTACGGCAACAAGCTCCTGCGGCCTAGGCAGCAATGAAATCTTCAATTCATCGGGAATTTTTGCGGCTAGAACGGCTAATTGCCTCGTACGACCACGATCTGGAGTAGGCAAGGTGTGTGGATTTGGGCTGTTGGTTTTATTTTTTTGGTATTCACTTTGTTGTTTTCTTGGCGTTGAGCACCTGAAATTCTTCAATTTGGATCTGAGTTGAAATTCTCTATGAGCACAATAACTTCAGTAACTCCAATGAAGATTCGAGATGCTTAATGTCGCAATATTGAAAAATACTGTCAAGTGGCTCAGTTGATGATTCAGTTTAATAATGCCTTAATTTCCAAGAAATTATAATTATTGACATTGTGATTTCGTATCTGGCGGCTGCACCAATATTGTGGTTCAGTTTAACTTCTTGCAAGAGACCAGTAGTTCCAGGAGCAGAGCAACTAGTGTTCCAGCTGAAATTGTGTGCAGTATTCTTGCTTGATCTGTGCGCATCTGCCTTATGTTTTATCAGTTCATGATGTTACATATACATGGCTGTTTTTGCCTAATAATTGGATCATTTGATGCATTGATATTTAACTTCATCTTTTGCAATGACGGGGGGAAAGAAATTCCAGCCATTTCCAGTTGTATAGAGAATGTTTTTTTGGTGTGACCTACAAGGTGTTAAAATATTTATAGGTGGTGACAAAACAATACTTACATATACTCTTGCTAATTTATTTTATACCTTCCAGATTTTCTATGAAATATGATCAAATGAATACCTCTGTTATCTTAGGTGGAGTACTTCTTTTACTTATTGCTGAAGAATCAATTTATTGTAAAAGTTTTATATTTTGAGAAAATAACAGGAGCTCTGCTTTTCTTTGTAGATTGAAGAATAACAAAAGGAGTTTTACCAAGCCAGGGAAAATGCAGAAGGAACAATAGGAGAGAAAGAATGTATCTGAAGCAAACTAGCTTAGAAACACCAAATATGACTCAAGGTCCCCAAGAGGGGCTAGGGGTGCTCCTAGGCGAGGGTAAATATCATTGTCTCCTCATCTGTTAATATGCATCCTTGCTATGGTTATAGAACAACTATTGAGGAAACATGAAATGTCAAAATTATTGCACTATAAAAATTCTATGTATGTAACTTGACAACCCTTTGGAGCACTGGTCTCATGAAAGCTGATACAGAATACAAGGCATTCATTCTTCTAATTGATATTGGATACACTTTGTATCAAATATAATTGTACAAACTTCCAAGCAGATACTAGTTGTGGAATCTCTGAAAAATTCCCAACAACTGCAAATCACTCTTCAGTAAACCACTCAAACATTGAATATTTATGACAAAATAATCAATGAGATAAATAACTGACAATAACAGGAAAACATATTGAGGCATATCTCAGTTTGTAGCTGTGGCACAACACATGCAACTGGCAAAAATGGAAGATCTTGGCTTCTGCTTTCTTGTGCTTCTAGGGGAACTAACCATGGTACTGTTGTTTGGAACTTCCTGTTCCTTCAATGAAGACTGCATACAAACACTTTCCCCTGTCGTTAAGCTTTGAAGTGGTTTCTTGTTTCTTACAGAATGGTTAGGTACCATGAAGTTCTCTCCTTCCTGTTCCCTGGGGCTCAGCAGTGGACTCTTTTCATATTCTTCGTCACCATCATCTTTAACTTGCATCATGGAGATGCTAGTCATGGGGATGCACTCAACTACTTTGCTATGCTGTTCATTAGAGAAGCTGAAAGAACTCGTATTTTCCACCATCTTAAGCAAGGGAGTCTCTTCACTGGCATCTCTCCTTGAAGCTGGTATCTGTAGCAGATATCCTTCCTGACTAGCCTTATCAGTATCCGCAATGATTTTCTTTTGGTTGGATTCAGCAGGAAAGTCTACCTTCACCATGACTTTCTCCAGATTGGATTCAGAAGTTAAACCTATTGCTGTAGTGGATGCGCTATCTTTCTCCTGTTTTGAGCCATGAGGAAAGAATGTGTCTGTCTTTGAACTTTTTTCCACTAACTGCATGCAACTAAGAATGCTGCCATTCTCAAATTTCACAACCTCAGGTTCTTCAAGCAGCATCTGTTGAGGCCTGTCAAATTGTGAGACAGCCAGAGTATCGTGTATATCTGTAGTCTCTACTTCATATGTGGAGATGATGGTCTCTTCATTATTATGCGGACTATCAACTTTTAGATCTCTCTTGTGAAAATCTTCTATCAATTGAAGAGGAGATGATGGTCTAAATAATCCTTCTCTTACTTCTGTCTGCACCTTTTCTTCATTCACAGTAGAAAGCTGATAGGACAGAAATGAATCTAAGCCTGTAAATTTTTTTCCGTTGACTTCAACAAGACTGACTATATCATGGGTGCAGTCAGACTTCTTCTCTTCATCAGAATTATCTGCTGGATCCTTCACTGCAGCATCTTTGGCATCTCGTTCTTGATCTGTGTGTGTTCTTTCAATAGCATTATGCTCCTCTGTTCTAGTTAGAGAATCAGATATCTCTCCTGCTACATCATCCCCCCTCTTATTTAGTTCATGTTTCTCCAGTTCTATGGCATCTGTTGCACTTGTATCTGTTAGAGATGACTGGAACTTTGAAACAACTTCACCAATATCAAGAGCACCACATGTATCTTTGTTCTGGTCTTTCAATCCATGGGTCTTCTTGCCTTCATCTATTACTTCGCAGCTTCCAATCCCAGTTTCTACTGTTGCTCTTTGGCTTATTTCACTAATATCTTCCTTCTCATCTGGTATACGGGCTCTGTCATTCTTAAATGTCTTCAGGTTGGTATCATCTGCGGGTCGAACATACAATGAATTTCTTTTACCTGTAGGCTCATTTTCTATGACAACCTCCTTTATATCAGAATCATCAGCATCAAGATAATCAGTGGTAATTGTTTCTGTTGATGATGTAGATCCTCCTTGCATTGGCATCAATAGATTCTCTATTATTGACACCGCAGTCTGTCCTTGATCTAGTTTTTCAGCTTTATCTTCTCCAATTAGATCATCACGCATCCCTGATTCCTCATCTTCTAGTGGCCCTTCCATATTTTCCTTTAACAATGATTGGGAATTACCTATGTTAATTTCTTCAGATCTCTCAGTTGTCTTGTGTACAAGTTTGATTTTTTCAACTAATGTTGAACTGTCCTTGTTGCTTGTCGTATCTTCAATTGTGATGCTGACAGAGGCAGTTGTTTCTGGCAAATTTGTGACTCTTTCAATTTCCTTGTTGCTCAATGGTTCATCATCTGTGCCATATTTTTTTTATTTTGTTACAATAATGCTATAAAAAAACAGCCAAAAATACAGAGCACAGCTTACATGTCTCTACTAATCTATTTTAGTAAAATAGATTGTAAAATGCGACATTGTTTTGGTAAGGGGTAGCAACTATGTTCCCATATATACCACACTCTTACTGAAAGCAACTACATGCCCTTCTTTCTATCTCATACTACAAACAGTATTTCTGATGTTCTCAAAATAAATCATGCTTATAAACAGCTATGCTAATTGAGTATAGGATGACACAAAAATAATAAAACAAGCTAGCTAAAAAACCGATTCTGATGACTGAACTAACCTTGAGTTGATGGTAAATGGCAACTCTGATCATTATCTTGTGTTAATGAGTGATCCTGAAGTGAACCCCTGTTCTTATCATCTAAATCTTTGTTCTTATTGAATGAATCCCCTTTAATTGAGACCATCTGCTCATTTCCACCATTTGTTATGACAGGGTCCTTTAAGAGCTTTGACTTGTCTAGATCCTTGGTGCCATCCTTTCCCTTGTCTAAAATAAATACAGATTAAGATTAGTGATAAAAGATTCCCAGTGGTGATTCATCATCTCCAAAATATTTTTATGAGTCTTATTAGATTAATACGCTTCTCACCATTTGTGCTGTTTAGGCTAGGTGGGCCATCCAAATGCTCAATGGTTCTGTCGAAACCCTGAGCTGTCTCTTCTGATACTGATCATAGCAAAAGAAGCTAATTAGTCCTATATTTCAAGTCATGTCTAGATAGAAGATAAAATTTAACATAGTGCATACCTTGTTGACCGGTGACATTGTTGTTGCCCATCTCATTACCCATCACACTTTCAGCTCAAGCTCTGAAGTACTAAGATGTAAGAGCAATCAAAACAGTCCGTTAGACAGACCAAGCTCATTCTGGAACAGAGGCTATTAAAACATAAGGGAAGCACAAGTGAGCACTACATACCATGATGGTGGCAGACACTTCAAGTTTAGCTAAAGAGAGTGCAATAGGACAGCACAATTCCCCTGTGAGCCTCCTAGTATTTGTACTGCAGGGAGCACATTAGGGAAAACAAGTTTTGTGGGTCACCATTTCCTCTCTATCATAAGAAAAGTTGAGGAAACTAAAGTCAGAGATCTGATTAGATGGCCCAACAATCTTTGAATTATATCTTTCATCAATGACTAAATTTGTTCAGAGTACAGTTTAGTGCATTATAGTAGGAAAGCTGAACCTTTTTTTGTTCAAAAACATAAAGGCTTGTTCATATTGGGTGCATGATTTAGCATGGTGGCTTTATGCTTTTTAACTGACACAGGGATAAAATTTATCTAATCGCTTGCAGTGATCTATTGTATGATCTCACAGTTACGCCAATCTGTTCTTGTGACATTCATAGGAAATGGAAGCACTGGATTTAATCAGCTAGAGACATGAACATGGACCATTATGCGGAAACATGAGTTCACTTGCTTTCTGTAGGTAATGTCGATGAGTTCTCATAATAATTTCACCAAATTGGATAATAGAAATCCTATACCTTCTTTCAAAATGTGATCGTGCAGCCCTCATGTCCTTTCTTTGCTAGAAGATGAAGTTCAATTAAACTTTTTCCCTGAACTTCCATAGGAATCATAGTGGTGTTAATGCTTATCTGTCATGGCTAGATATGTAGAGTATTTGTTGCACATCGTTTCTCTTATTTGTCTACTTTGTACAGTGCCACATCAGGGGCCTCCTGTTTTCACTCAAAAAAGATGTGATGACCCAGAGCTGCATTTCTTTCAACCAATCAAGCTTTCGGCGCAAGTTCCATGGTTTAAGTATGCCAACAGACCCATCTGATTCGTCCTGAGTCATGCTCCCTGTCTCAGGGTCTTCTTTCTAAAGCACCATCTCAAGGTTTCTTTGGCTCTAAAAGATTGGATCCAGTTGAGTTGGAGGGGGACATGAAGCTTTGGTGCTGTTAAGTTTTTGGTGTAATCATGGCCTACACGTCCTCCTCTTTCTGCTGCCACCCTGACTTCCACAGGGGCCTTCTTGTGCTGCTCCCTTAGCACAGGGTGGAAGTGGTTCTCCACCTAACACTTTTTTCCTTAGAAAATCTGTGTATGATTGCTATGAACAGCTCTAATTCTTTCATGCAGTTGTTGACTGGTTGTAAATTCTGACCTTAGTGCTCCTTGCTGTAACCTTTGCTCATCCAGCTCCAAGTAAAAATAGCTTGGTATGGTATGACTAGGATTTTAAAATTTTCTTATGAATTGATTAGCTGGTGAGGTGGTCATCTCATCTACTGCTTTGAGTTAGTTGCAGCTCTGGGACACCTGTTTTGCAGTCAGTCCCAACAGCAGGGCTATATATGGTCTGCTAATCGACCAATATTTGCGGAATAAATTGGCACCGCCATTATACTATGGTCCTGTTTGTTTTACTGTGCAAATTAACCGCACCATAAAATTGGCAATGCCGATAGATGGGGCATTTAATCTTTTGCCACTTTTAACTTTTAAGATGTGACAATTAAGGATTTGCCACTCGGTGTCTATAACATATGGGCCTAGTGGCGAACTGTAACAGCCCTCCCTCCAGAACCACGTAGCCAGCCTATCCAACGGGTGGGCCCACTTACACATACCACCCCTCTTATAGTTTCATCTTCACTTCGTGTAAAAGGGTTAACCCAGAAGTGGCATGTTTGAAGGGAAGAGATTTTATAAGTTGATTCCCTCCTTGCTAAACTAAGCATCATCCTGAGCCAGGATGTCACATACCCCCCTCCCCCCCCCCCTAAAGAACCCGACGTCTCCGTCGGTCTAACTCACCCACATAGCCACACAGGCATATAGCAAATGTCCAAGAACACACCCCCTCTTAGCGCACATCTGTACGTCCAGTGTCGGCGTCATATGCCATGCCATGTGCCTCACATAGAGCACACATGCGTCATGCGCCATATGCCCTCACACTGACCCATATGCGCAACCACGAGAGTCCTCTGATACCATTTGTAATAGCCCTTCCTCCAGAAGCACGTAGCTAGCCCATCCGACGGGCGGACCCACTTACACATACCACCTCACTCACAGTTTCATCCTCGCTTCATGTAAAAGGGTTAACCCAGAAGTGGCATGATTGGAGGGAAGAGGCTTTATAAGTTGGTTCCCTTCTTGCTAAACTAGCAACGTGATACAAAACATGCGCACACAGCTCTCACGAGCCACACAAGTCTCATCCTAATTGGGCCACGATATCACACAAATCCTTAATTACCACTTGTAAGAGTGGCAAATAGTTAATTATTCCAAAAGCGTAAGCAACTTTATCAAAATCTTTTGTCATGCAAAACATAGGACATTAAGGGGGTATTTGGCAGGGTTTGAAATCCATAATTTGCTACTCTAGACTTGCAGTTTTGGAGTATCCTCTCCATACCATGGATTTGAATCTATCTAGGAGAGTGTTTGACTAGAGTTTAGCTTAAAAAATAACACGAAGAGAGTGAGAGTAGAGCAGGGTTACGGGTAATTCGTATGTAAAGTTGTTTTTATGTTGAGACCACACTACTGCCACTGGGACCATGGAGACCCCCCCCCCCCCAAAGCCCCCACTAAAAATTATTTGCATAGATCCATAAGATATGGGGGCTGAAGGCTCTCCTAGTTTATTTAGCCCCTATTATTATTTTGTTCTGGATCCGCCCCTTCCTGCTCTACTTCTTATTTTTTAGAATAATTTGATGTTTGGTTCCGTTTCACTCTAGGCCGATTGCTCACTCTTTATTTTTTTTTCTTGAAGTACTTATTGATGTTTTTTTCAGCTTCATCTTCTCTATACGAGAAATTGAGATTTAGAGCTCCACCAAACACCCTCTTCAATCTTCATGTTGCCAGAGCAAGGACCCAGCACCTCCAAATCTATCGAGACCTTGAGTCTACTAGCAACCTTTTGTACAATTCGAATGAATACAGGAGTGCAAGCAATTGCGACACCCACTGTCCGATTCAAAGCCCATTCGAACACTAGAAGGCTTGAAAATATCCCATCACTCCACAAGAGAATTCGAATCAGGCGCCGAGGAGTTGAAGGCTAGAAAGACAATTGAAGAGTAAGAGAAATTGATGTCACCAAAGGAATATATGAGAGAATATACCATATTACAGCTTATCACTGTGACCTTGTGAGAAATAACAGCTAAGTTTTATGGTCCCTAAATAGAACACTCCATCCATCCTATAAAAAAAATTAAAAATATAAATCACGCATAAAGCAATATTCATGTTTTTATCATCTAAGAGCAATAAAAATACTAATCATGAAAAAATATTAAAATAAGACGAACGATCAAAGTTGGACACGAAAACTCATGACTACCCTTTATAGGAAAGAGGGAGTAGTTTTGTACTAATTTGTCCCTGGACGTTAGTCATCTTTATAAGGGTGTCATTGTTACTTCCTTACATATATGCCATTCAACCTATATAAGGGCGGCTCCAAATAAAGAGGGTAAGGCTATGTTCTTTTGTGGGGTTGGGCACTCTTCTCTCTGGACACGTAAAATAAAGCGACAGGTTAACGCATGATTAATTAATTATTAGCTAAAAATAAAAAAATAATAATATGAATTTTAAATCAACTTTGCAATATTTTTTTTAAAAAAAACATACCGTTTAGCCGTTCGGAAAGCATGTCTGTAAAAAACGAGTAAAAAACGAGTGAGTAGAAGTTGGAAAAAGGGAGAAAATAACACACCCTAAGGATGTGTTCTTCCCTACCTTTTCCCAACTTATATAGTTGTACTATCTTGTTTTCCGCACGCACGTTTCCCGAACTATTAAACGGTGTTTTTTAAAAAAAATCTATAAAAAATTACTTTAAAAAATCATATTAATCCATTTTTTAAGTTTTTATTAGCTAAAACTTAATTAATCATATGACAATGAGCCGTTCTGTTTTTCATGCTAAGAGGATGAGTTCTCGACTTGTAACTTCGAACACAGCCTAAAAAAACTTTCTAAACCAAAATTAGCAGTGTGATTTCTTATCATGTTATCCATCTATTTTCGAATATATTTTCAGTTAAGGGCTAGGGAGGGAAACTCATTCATTTTCTTTGTCTATCTTATTTTGTGAACGAAGTTACCATCCCAATAAGTGCCAATGATTTAAGAAGAACGGTAGTGCATCAGGAAGAACTGACAGCAAGTTGCATGGCCGGAGACATGCCTAAGACTAATTTGTGAGTGTTTGGTTGCTACCCTGAGGCTCCTTCCACCTCACCTGGCCTGATGTAACTCAGGCGCATAATTAGCCTGAGCCAGGCGACCAAAATCGGTCGCCTGGGCTCCAGGCGCAGCAGCGCGCTGCACATTAGCACCATAATCCCCTCATCCCCGCCGTGATAACTCCACATGAAGCCGCCGAGGCCGCCTCCGTTGCCGTCGCGCGAAGCCATCGCAACCACACGAAGACCCCTCCGGAGTGTTGCGTCATGCTTCACATGCAGATGCTCTTCTATGATAGATGTATGGATTTTGCAATTCTATTCTGATGGATGCGACATGGATCTAGGGATCTCTTTGCTCATGTTCTTCTCTCTTTTTTCTCTTCTTGATGATTTCCTTGTTGATCCTGGTGTCTACGCAAAGCAGCACCGCCGCCGTGCGGAGGCATCGTGTCGCCAGGCAAGGATTTCTTCCGCCCGTGGTTGAGTAAGCAGATCGACTTTGCAATCTGGGTGCAATCTTTGCTTTCTTTTTTTCCTTTTTCCCTTGTTTGTTCCCCTTGTTTTTAGATTATTTTTTCCTTTCTTTGCTTTATGATTGATTTGTGTAGGGATCTGTTGCGCTAGATGAATTTGGTTGTAGGTCAGATGCAATTAAATGCAAAAATTTGTGTCGGATATTAATACTTGACTTAGCGGCATAATAATCAAACATCTAATTGAATTTTTTTCTCAGGCACAAGTGATAACCAAACAAGCACAAGCTCAGGCTGCCTGACCAGGCAACCTACATTACAAACTTGAATGACACTCAGGCTTACAAATTTCTCAGGCACGAAGGTGAGGGCACCAACCAAACAGGCTCTCATGAGTGTTGTCTCAGGTAGCACAACAGTCACTCTTTCCATCTACTCAGTCTATCCCATAAAAAACAAATAATATGTGACACATTCTAATACTACGAATTTGGATATAACTTATTTGTAGTAAGATATATCAAATCCCGTAGTAGGTTAGTTTTTTTGTGGACAGAGGTAGTATACACAAGCTTTGTTTTACCATAACTCTACCGGTGCTCACATTTTAGCCTCAATATCACGACGCTCACATTTTAGCTCAGCATTGTTACGATTCAATCACACTGCGGATAATTTATTCAACCAGCCCTCCCTACACATACTGTATTATCTGTTGGTCCCTAGTTTTCTTTTGCCATTAATTTTAGCAGCCCAAGTGCATCCTGATCGATGATATACGGAGCACAACGATACGCATGTGCCGATCTGCTAACGCACGCTTTGCTACTAGCTTGGTCCCTCGTCGTTTGTTTGACCTCACGCCATACCAAGCTTTGGGGATACGGATGACAAAAGCGTATAACCACGTTGCTTTCCAGTGCCCCAATTCACCGTACCGGCGTGCGTGCCGCTAGCCCCGCTATACGATTATGCAATATCGTGGCATGCACCGGCGGCGTCACACGTGGTGGTCCAGGAGCACGGCCAATTTCCGAAGGAAGGAAAAACCGGGCCAAACGGCGCGCATGCGAAGCTGATCGGACCACATCGATCGCGTCGATCCATGGACCAGACCAGTTTGCCACCCCCATTGGGGTTTGGTTTGTTAATTTCTGGTCCCGGCTACCCAGCCGTTCGATCTGTACGTACCCCTTGGCTTGGCTAGTACTAATGTGGAACTTACTTTCCTCTCGAGAAAAAAAAAGTCAATAATCTGACAATATATAGTTCGTGAGACAGGCAAGAGCAAAACTCTCTCTTTCTCGATCCGAGAAAAATTAAACTGTACAGTATTGTTACCAGCTGCTCTAACTATATGCGGCCAACCTCTCATGTACTTAGCTCTCTAAGGTGTGGGTTTACAAGCGGTGAGATTTGTATGTCAGTTATTTAAAGTGAGAGAGTAATAAGCTAGCTAGTTAGAGTAGTACTATCTCGTTACGGTCTCTCGATTTGTACATGTTGCCACGTGATCATGAGCTGACAGATGGCTCCACGCGCTCGCTAGCTGTAATCAACCGGACGAGAGAGCTCGCGGTTGATCGATCGATCGATCGCGATCGATACA